CTCTCTCCCACACCACCCCCCCTCCTCTTTTTGAATTTTCTTTGTTCTTTTGTTTTTGTGATGTAAAAGTAGTCGCTGTGAAATGTTGTCGTCGCCATGAAATAGTTGCCGTCTTTTAGACAAGAAAGATGTGGAATTACATTGAATTTAAATTTAGTTGATGCGGCATTATAGGTTTAACTGGTATGATGCTATGGCTCTTTTTGAGAGAATTTGGGTGGTGGTCTTGTTTTCATTTTGTTTCATTAATTTACTGCCCGGGAGGATGTATGGTCATGCAATCATAAAGTAATAAGTTAGTTGCTGCCCAAACAATTACAGTTAAAGTGAGCAGATCTTAAGAATAATGTAAGTAATGCCGAGGAAAAGAAATGTTGTATATGGTATATTAACTTCAACTAGTTGACTGCTTTTTTGCCTATAAAAGTTTATAGGAGACAATGATCGAGGTGAAAAAGTGCATCCATGATTTCTGAATAGGATGAAATGAAAATAAAAAATCATTTGATGTAGAATATGATTTTTTTAGGGAATATCTTTGCTCACTATTTTAACTCAAAGTATATCTTTACTATCATTCTCAACACTTGACATGTGTTCATTGACATAATCATAGTTAACTTTTTAGTTTGTATTTATGGAATCATGGTTATGTTAATAGATACGTGTCAAATATTGAGAAGGGTGATGAGGATACACATTGGGTTAAAGTGGTGAGCAAAAATGATTCCCTTTTTAAAAGACAACATATTCTATTCATACGCCAAATTAATATTGATATAAGAACAACTAGCTTAATAATAACAATAATAATATACAGCGTAATTTGCTAGGATGAATAAATACAATCCATATGATTTTTTTTTAACAATTTTTATTTATTTATGATATAATAATCTAAACTACTCTAATGTAATTAAATTTTAGTGTAAAGAGCATTGTCCTGATCCTACTCATGTACACGTGTCGATCCATATAATTAAGATGGTCTCTAGTTATAGGAGTTTTTCAACACCATGAGCTCACATTATATATTACATTGGAAATGATTTTTTATTGTAAAAAATAGGGCCCTGAAATTAAATATATACTTATAATAATGACGACATGTCATCTCTATAAAATGAAGAAATCACATCAAATCATCAACATTTACAATCTCTATATCGTGATCTTCTTTCTAGTGTACATATCTACTCAATCACTTTGGCCTTAGCTTATACTTTTAGGTTTCATTCCTATTTTCTAAATATATATATTGGGTTGATTCATCAATTAAATAATGGAATTGGATATCCTCGAAACTGGTTTGTGAACATGGCCTATCTATCTAACTACCAAAATAAACACTTCAAGTCTTCAATGAATACTTTATCTATTATGCACGTAAGTATCACACGTGTCTCTATAGTTTATATATATATATATATATACACACTATAGAGATGTGGACTTCATTTGCATTAACCATGGACCCATGATGATGGGTACATTTTGTTAGAGGTAGTCCAAGCAAAATAAGGACCAGAAGGCTCATTGGCCAAGGGTACAAATAGATAATTATATAAAGGGGAATACTAGCAACTTTTCTTTAACTTTCTTATTTGGACTTTCTCCTTTTTTCTTATGACATGTGTCATTATCCTTATATTTAAAAAAATGTAATTAATGCATCGCACAAGCTAATTTTTGTTTTCCAAATTTATCCTTATTAAATGTATTGATTTTTTTACAACTTTATTATCACCTTATTAAAAAAATATATATAAATAAGAAAAATGACAATTTTATTTATTTATTTTAAAAAGTGTTTTCTTATTTTTTTCAAGAGAACGTTTGTTTTTTGTTTTCCAGAACAAAAATGATATCACTTCCATGAATAGTCATTTGATGAAAAAGATGTTTTAAAGATATTATTTTCAAGTAGTTATAAGAAGGAAAAAAAAACAATAAAACATAAATATTAATAACAATAAACATATCAGTAAAAGAAACTAGTTTATTAGCAACATCTGTTTTCTAGAAGAAAAAAACAGACATTAAACAAAAACTGACGTTTAAAGTAAAAAAAGGTGATAATAAATAAAGTTTTAAAAAGACTAATTTCTTGTAATAAAAAATCAATATATTTAATAAGGGTAAACTTGGAAAATAAAAATTAGTTTATGTGGTACACTAATGACATTGTTTTAAGTATAAAGAGAGTGACACATGTCATGAGTTAAGGAAGAAGATCCAAAAGAGAATGTTGCTAACATTCCCCTTATATAAAATATCGTAACTTTTATTATGTGCATGTACGAGTGTTATTATCGCAAGAATGCTATGTATTTTTTACTATTCCTTCTTGCATCCGTCCCTATTTATAATAACATCTGCACATTAATAACAAAGTGCAGACATCCGAATGAGATAATAATTGTATAAAATAAATAATTATAATATGAAATAATATTGGAATTGTAGCACTCTCATATCATTAGCTTCATGGAAACTACTTGTATTTTGCTATAAAGGTAGCGTCCTTTTCAAATAGTCTTCATCGACCAACAAGAAAGCTTCCTTTTTAAGAGATGATGATCACAAAATGATAGTGAAAGTAAAGCCATGGAAACCCATTTCTTTCCCTTCATCCTTCCCCCAAATGATTAGGTCCTTTGCCTGGCTCTCATACTTTTTCTTGTCCCCATAGAAAATATTTATACAATATTTCTTGTCGTCAAGGAATCACTCCTCTCTCCTTCGAGTGCATCAATCTTTCATGCCACACTTTTTATTTATTTTCATTTATTTTTTACATTCCACTTTTGTTTAAATCTTGACATACATGAATTTTAGTAGTCTAAACAAATAATTTACCTTATACTATCATCTAAAATTCAAAATTTAAAATCAATTCATCCGAATGAGCCCTAAAAAAACACATATTTGATAGAGTCCAGTTGAATTAGACAAAAGTATTTTGTTAAGAGATTAAAAACTTTTAAGTATATCATGAAGAAACCGCTTAAAATAAATGTGTTCCGTGAAACAATATTGTCATGTACATGAAAATATGCACGAAGCACTTGCATTTTTAATGATTTTTGTTTCTCCATGTAATTCTTTATAGAACACTAGCTCTCAAAAACATACCCTTACAAAAGATTGTTGAGGAATCTCCTCATCTTTATAGATGGCTGATTGTGAAGTTTAGACACTCATGAACATGATCATGAACAATTGGGGTTAAAATGGGAGAATTTGTTTTTTTTAAATAAAGAAAAAGGCAATTGAGGTAGTTTAGTGATATGATGGTCCTTTCCTCTTGTGCCAGCCAGGTTGTTTTAGTGGTTTATAAATAATAATTGCCCTAGTTAACTTCAATTTGGGGTTAATTATGTGGTTTCAACTCCTCTATTAATGAGGGGTTTAGTTTTAAGATTCCTTGGTCCCGCTTGAGCCAGTCCCACCCATGCACCCAATCCACTACAAATCAAGTCAAAAGTTGTAATTAGGGTGCCTTGAGAAGAAAAACCATCCATGTCTAATCACCAAGCTAAGGAGATAACCCTCTGATTAAAATTTCATGTCCCCAATTGATAACCAAATTTTTTGATTTGACACCAATAAATATTCTAATTAACGCCTTTAGTCTGTGTGTCCACATGCTTTTGCTCTCTAACTAAAAATCTTTTTTTAGCTATAGCTGTAATAATAATAATTGGAAGTAGGACTAAGTTTTCATGGTTTAGAACTTAGAATCATATCTAAAGTGTGATCTATAATTAATTTTAAGGTCAATGGACGAGGACAATGCTTTGTTTGCATAAAAGTTTCTCTGATTGAGATCAATTACATTCTTATTAGATGACTGATTGCCTGCAAAAAATCCCTTTACGTCTGAGGTGATTGTCTTATTTTCAATGTCAGAAGTTGTTTCAAATTCGAATCTCGGCTCTCCCACTGATTAAAAGAATTCAGGGAAAAGATGTACCTCAACCATCTCAATATCAAACTTTAATTTTTGTTAGTACAAAAGCACGATAGGGTTGGCTTTCATTTGGTTTACTTCGACTCTTATGTGACATAATTTGGCGTCTTATATATAAGATCATTCATTCATCCCTTATTACATAGGATCCACGTTTGCCTTATCATTGGTGTCATGTAATTGAACATACACAAGTGGAAGACATATCAAATCTTTTTCCTTTTCAGGGTTTTGATTCACTTGCAAGTTATTTACAATTACAAGAAAATGGCACTTCTCTCGTTTTATTACTATTTTAACTTTCAAAAACTCCTTATAACTTTATAAAATTACATTTATAATGATAAAACATTTTACTTCTTATTACAAAAATATTATGTAAACATGTCAATTCATCAGGCTAATGTTATTGTCCACTTTGCTTTATACGAACAAGATCATAATTATTGTTTAGAGAAAGGCCCGTAGTGGCGAATAAATTGTATAATGGATAACCTTGTGGTAACCAATGCTTCCAGTTAATGAAATTTACTTTCTTTCGGAAAAAAAATAATTGATTGTAAATTAAAAAAAAAAATTAAATTCATCATTGTATAGCATGCGCATGTAGCAATTTAGTAATGGGCTTCAATAAGATTTGCATTTTGCTTATTTATTTATTGGGTTTGAGTTTCGACCCCACAAAAAAAATTCATGGGTTCGAGTTGTATCAATCTTGGGCCAAAACCAGCCACGTAAGAGGCTTTGCCAAAGCAAGCCGACCAAAACGACAAGTCCCAGGTTGGTTGGGTTTCTTTTTATTAAGCAGGCCTCGCTGGGCTCTTCGCTACCCGCTTTTTTTTCTTCTTCTTCTTCTTTGCTTTCTATTGTGAATAAAACGACCCGTCGGTCGTAGCTGGTCACCCCCCCAGCAACCATTTTACTTTCACAGCCTAAAAAATAGAAAGAGCGAAAGACAGAGAGAGAGAGAGAGAGAGAGAGAGAGCGAAAGACTGAGAGAAAGAGAGAAAGAGAGAGGGAGAATCAGATGGAGTCGGAAAGCGGGGCGTCACTGCCGTCAGGACCAGACGCGAAGAAGCGGCGAGTGACATACTTCTACGAGCCCACCGTGGGCGACTACTACTACGGCCAAGGCCACCCGATGAAGCCCCACCGCATCCGCATGGCCCACAACCTAATCGTGCACTACGGCCTCCATCGTCGGATGGAGATCAACCGCCCCTTCCCCGCCGGCCCCAACGACATCCGCCGCTTCCACTCCGACGACTATGTCGACTTCCTCGCCTCCGTCAGCCCCGAGACCCTCGCCGAGTCCTCCTACTCCCGCCACCTCAAGCGCTTCAACGTCGGCGAGGACTGCCCCGTCTTCGACGGCCTCTTCGGCTTCTGCCAGGCCTCCGCCGGCGGCTCCATCGGCGCCGCCGTTAAGCTCAACCGCCAGGATGCCGATATCGCCCTCAACTGGGCCGGCGGCCTCCACCACGCCAAGAAGTCCGAGGCCTCCGGCTTCTGTTATGTCAATGATATCGTCCTCGGCATTCTTGAGCTGCTCAAGGTTCACAAGGTAATAATAAACCACACTTTTGTTTGTTTTTTATTATTAAATTATTTTATTATATATTGAAATGGCGATTTTTTTCTGTTCTAATTTCAATGAGCTTAGCTACTGATTGAGGATATTGATGTTTCTGTGAGGCATTGTTTACTTACAATAGAGCTATGTTTAGTAACTGAGCTATATATGTTTTGTGCTTATTACAACGTTATATTTAGTGATTTTTAGTTACCGAGATATACTTGTTTTGCTGTATGCTTGCTTGCACTTAATTGGTAACAAGTAGTTTGGGGGTTAGGAAAGTTGAATCTGATAAAAATTTAAGGGTGATATTTATTTGTGAAATTATCCATTTTTATTTTTCTGATTATACATGCGGTTTAAGTGTCAAATCTTTATTCTGCTCATTTGTTGTATTATGTATGCCATCGTTACCTTTTCATTGTTTGATAATTTGCATATGTAATCTGGTCATTGTTGCTGGGCAGCGTGTGCTTTATGTAGATATTGATGTGCACCATGGAGATGGAGTTGAGGAGGCATTTTACACCACTGACAGGGTCATGACTGTGTCCTTCCATAAATTTGGGGATTTCTTTCCTGGGACTGGGCACATTAAGGATGTTGGGGCAGGGACTGGGAAGAATTATGCGCTGAATGTCCCGCTAAACGATGGAATGGATGACGAGAGTTTTCGTGGTCTGTTTCGGCCCATCCTCCAAAAAGTCATGGAGATGTATCAGCCTGATGCAGTTGTTCTACAGTGTGGTGCAGATTCGTTGTCTGGTGATAGGTTGGGGTGCTTCAACTTGTCTGTCAAAGGCCATGCAGATTGTCTTCGTTTCCTTAGATCTTTTAATGTTCCTCTGATGGTCTTGGGTGGTGGAGGTTATACGATCCGGAATGTTGCCCGTTGCTGGTGTTACGAGGTTTCGTTCTCACCTTTCTGTCTCCATTTTTGGCAATCACATTAACATCTTTTACTTCTGTCTCCTATTTCTTTGAACTTTTTTGCAACAACTCTTATGCAATGTAACGTCCTTATGATTGCATCTATTACTTTGCACAGACAGCAGTGGCAGTTGGGGTGGAACCTGATAATAAGTTGCCTTACAATGAATACTATGAGTATTTTGGTCCAGATTATACTCTTCATATTCCCCCATCCAACATGGAGAACCTAAACTCACCTAAAGAGATGGAGGCAATAAGGTGTGTTAGTTGCTGCTAGTGGGTTGTATTGTCATTCAGTTTACTTTTAAGTTGAATTTTTAATTGGTGATTACTGACACCAATAAGGTGAAATTTATTATACCTTACCCCAAGCATTCTTGAACTATTTATTAGACCTATGAAAAAGACTTAAAAATCTACTAACCATATGCATTGCTTTAGTATAATTTTGGTAAAAGGAAATGGTTCTGAACTTAAGGGAACTCATATCATGTTGTAAAGAGGAAATAGCTCATCTTTAATTTGCTTATCTTTGCAAATATAATGGAACATTGTCAAGCCTATCTTTGGAACTTATTGCATGGTGCAGTAGAATCTCTAGCCAGGAAACATTTGTTAGAATGCTGGACTGTTTTATTTAATTTGCAGTAAACACACGCACACACACACCTCATCATACATGTTTTGATTTTTGTTTACTTTCCCAGGAATACGCTACTAGATCAACTTTCTAGAATACCTCATACACCCAGCGTTCCTTTCCAGACAACACCACCAACAACACAAGTTCCAGAGGAGGTTCGTGTTAGTGCAAATTGATTCGATAATTTTCCAGGGTTTTATGTTTTCAGCATTTTCCTTGATTCTTATAACCTTAGCATTTGCTTCAATGGATGCAGGCCGAAGAGAACATGGAAGAAAGACCAAAGCCTCGCATTTGGGATGGCGCGGATTATGATTCTGATCCTGAAGAAGACAAGCATTGGACTAAATTCTCCAACCCTGTTGGTCAGCATGCAGTTAAAACTGAGATGCGGTAAGGCTTTTTATATTTTATATCATAGTAAAATAATCATATATCAATGAGACTTGTATCCAAAGTGTATTAAGGATATTTCTCTTGATAAAAATGCAATTCAATTGTTGGATAATGAGCATTCTAGTTATTGTCCCTCTTCTAATGTTCGGAGTTGTGGTTGTTAATATAGGGATGATGCAGATGGGATGGAAGACGAGAAACCAAATCATCCTCCGTGCTGCTGACACAGATGGAATTTTGTAGCTTCTGGTCGTAATGTCCCTGTATCACCTGTCTATGAGATGTTTACTGAAGCAGAGACCGCATAATTTCTAGAAAAGGCATCCTATTAATTAGCGAGGAATTAGAGTAGGCTACTAGCCACCATCCTAATTGTCAAGTCGGTGATGCCCTTGCTAATCGGATGCCATTTGTTTTAGAATCACCCTTTGTAAAACCAAACTTACATTGATAGCAGGCGAATATTAATACACTGTGCATAGAAAGCTTCTAAGATAGTTCTAAAGGATTGCTGTGTTTCTAGTTTATTGTTCATGTAGCCTCTCAGAATGCAGAATGTACCAATTATATGTTATTTTGTTCATTTGAAAATTCTCTTATTCTCTAATTTGGAGGGTATTCTACACTGCGTGCAGTATTGCCAGGTGACCCCAGAAGCTGAACTAGTAGAAAAGTAGACCCCAACACAATCCAGTTCTAGAATTCAAAGAAATTTTAACAATTTTCTTAAATATAATATAAATTTTATGGGCGCTATTACGGAGAATTACGCTCCCTTTTCTTTTTCTTTGCTTTCTCTTTTAAGTGAAACAGACTACAGAGAACAATAAGCAATGTCGCTTCTGCAAAACCCCCATCAAATTCGACCGTTGATTTCCTACCCAATTCAAAATTTCCCAAGCTCTTTCCAACCCTCATCTCCAACCCTCCATTTCTCCACCAAAACACCTCCAAAGCCAATCCACTTCCACCCATTAACGCCAAAATCCCAACCCGCCCACCATCCCGCCCCCCAAACCAGAACCCAAGACGACGGCATCCCAGCAGAGGATGTCAAAATCCTCGCCAAATTCAAGTCCAGGTACAATTACATTCGTGTCCTCGAAGTTTCTCGAAGAACCGACCACCCCTTTGCTGGGTCAAGGCTTCTCCTTCTTGACAACCCTGGAAACATCCACAGCATCTCCTTCATTTTCAAGTCCCTCACCAGCACTTACTTTGACGTCTTCGCCACCTTGCCGCCGATTTTGCCTCCTGGACCTGTCGGAATTCTCGGGTTCGGGGCGGGTTCTGCCGCAAGGTCCATTCTTGAGCTGTACCCAGAAGTTGCGGTTCATGGGTGGGAGCTTGACCCGTCTGTGATTGCTGTGGGCAGAGAGTACTTTGGTCTCTCAAAGCTGGAAAGACAGTACCCAGGTAGGCTTATAATTCATGTTGGAGATGCATTCAAAGCTAGCACTAGAGATGGGTTTTCAGGGATTTTGGTGGATTTGTTTTGTAAAGGCAGTTTGGTTCCTGAGCTGCAAGACCCAAATACTTGGAAGATGCTCAGAAAGTGTTTGAGAAAAGGCGGGAGAATAATGGTCAATGTAGGAGGTAGTTGTGTGGAGGCTGAGGACATAACGAGAGATGGGAAAGTAGTTATGGAAGACACATTGAAGGCTATGCATCGGGTTTTCGGCAACAAGCTTTTCGTATTGGGCCTTGGGAATCGACAGGAAGATAGCTCCCTTGCTCTTACTGGTGATTTGCCTGATCTTGAAGCTTGGAAGAAGATGCTGCACCGTTCCTTAGCTCGTTATGTTGATAAGTGGAAGCCATTTAGCGGTTAAATGGTTAGGCGTTCTTAACTTCCTTTGATTAAGGATAGTTATTACTGTGATTACTGAAGCATTCGTTAGACATTAGGCAGTCTATTGATGCTAATCCATGTTATTGTGCATGAATTTTCCTGTTTGAATCAGCATAGATAAAAATTTAACTATTACATTGTATTGTTGGCATGTGTCAATATTTGAGGTTTCTTTGAGCTTCTTGGTTGAGTCCTGGTGCATCCTCATAAATCAAGTTGAAGGATAAAGCTCAATATATAACCTGTACTAAACAATAGTTTTGTCCCCAACTTGTGCTTAAAACAGTAACAGAGAGAAGTAAAATTGTCATAATCGACTGTTCTATTCATCAGAATGCTTTAGACTACAATTTCTGCCCACCCCCACTTGCAAAAAACCCTTCATTTTAAGCCAGATTCCCAACTTGGTTTTCTTTTTTGTGACTTTTGGGTTTTTCGAGCAGCTTGTTGGAAGGGTTGAATTCATATCAGAGACAGAAGCCAGCTGTATGCTAATATCATCCAATATAAATATTCTGGCTTTTATTCAATACCATAAATTTCATTGGAATTGTGCCACTAACAGTTAAAAAACTGAGGATGTTTCAGTCAGCATGTTATTTAAGCATATCTTAGCCTTTGTAAATTGAAGTCAATTGTGTCGCTGTATGGTGACGGTGCTTCCCATGAAAGCAAGGGAAGCAACGTGTAACGTCGAGGTCAACTCCATCATATCTTAGCCTATTTAACCATAGTCAATCCTTCTTCTACCAAACCCTCAGTAAACAAAACAAAAAAACAAACTATAGTCTCTCGTAAAGACAATTTAGCTCAAGTAGAGACTATAAATCTCGGTTTCAAATTGAAAGCATTCTGCAAGTTCTTGCTCTTCCATGATGAGCAGATTTCTGGAAAAGTTTGTTTTAGCTGTTGTGGCAGTATATCTTCTTGTGGGTGTTTCTTCTGCAACTTGTACATTACTTCCTCATGGTAATAATATCTTTCCAGTGATGAGATCTGTATCAGTTCCATTGAAGTTGATCATGTTGACTGCGCCCCACTTATGACGTGATCTAGTTTTATGATTTACCACTTAATAACATTGCATCCTGCATTTACATATGTTGTAGAGAATCATGAGGTTGTACTATTTTCCCTTTAATATATCAAACTTTGTGTCTATTAACATTTCTTGCTTCTTGTGATCTTCTATGGCAGAAGGTGGCGAGAAGAGTTTGTCGCACATTGACTGCAGAGATGGCATGAGAAAGATTATTGGAAGAAAAGGAGGTAGCTTTGGATGTCAAAGTGACATTGTTAGCAAGAATACGGTGCCCATCCGCAGCCTAAGAATAATCATTACAACCTCTCCGCCTTCACCGACAAAAAATCTACGAAAGTCACAGGCCGCTACTGCACCTCCTCCGCTTATTATATGATGGCCGAGTACCTATGTTTATTTCTGTTCCCATTGTTCCCTAGGGAAGATACTTGTTGCCTCATTTGCAAGTCCATTTGGTCTTTGTACAAGCGACTTGAGTCAAAGTATGTAAATGTGTTTGAATATTTTTGCAAGTATACAAATCCATAATTATCTCTTCAATTTTCACAAGGAAATTAAAAGACCGCGTATCAAGTTTTCCTGAGCAACAACATCGAATGCTAACCTACATATTTAGTAACCTAATGTGTTGTTGCTCTGACCTAAGATTGCAAAGCAATTTAATTGAGTGCAAAAGAAACGTGAAATGCCAAAAGCACTGGACAGGGAAGCTTCCAGGAAGAAAAACCGACTGTGGTTCTTGTCAAAAGCTGCCTAGAGTTAGGGGAATTGTCATACAATGGGCTGTATCAAAATTCTAAGGTTAAAGTCAAGTTACCAAAGCTTTTTTGAAAATCTAAACCACGGCATGTAAAATTCCTTCTTCAACCCAACTACACAACGCCTATAAATCTTGCTTCCCCTTGTCTTCATCGCAACGACTCAACGTTGACGCGACTGGATTTTTCCGATGATGAATGGTTTTCCAGCAAAGTTTATGCTGGTTATTGCAGCACTAGTGTTGCTTCTCATGGGGGAGTTCCAAGCAACATGTGCTTTTCTTCGCGGTAGGTAATTAGCTAGTTACATTTCTTTATGCTTTATCTGGTAATTTAATTAATTAATTTCTTGCTTGCTTGCTGTGATTTTCTTTATATGGCTAGCTGAAGCTGATCAAGGTATTGTGAAGAGTACTTTGTCGCATGTTGACTGTACAAGAGATGGCTTGAGAAAGATAAATACTGGAAGAAAAGAAGGTAGCTTTGGATCATGTCAAACTGACATTTTTAGCAAGAAAATAGTGCCCATCCGACGCAACCTAAGACGAGTGATAGTGCCCAAGCCACCTTCTCCCACCAGAAACCTCCCTCCGCACCACAGGCATCCGCCATCATTCAATGATACTCGCTCTCCGGAATCCTAAGTAATGTTACACAGTACCGCATCATTTGGTATACAAAATTTGATGAATAAATTTAGTGCGTTTAGCATTACTCATCATATGTACTTAATTAATCTATTCCCTAGGCAAGTAATTGTCTTTTAACTTGTTGCCTCATCTGCAAGTACATTGATTTAGCACCAAATTTATACAAGCATCTGTAATCTAAGAAAGGAAAATACAATAATAAAATTCTAATAAGAACTAAAATAAGGTGATTATGGCACGAAAGATACTTTGCTTCCATTAACTTGTGCAGCTTCCACTTATCCACTCGCATTAAGCTAAGGCCTGGTGTGCAGCTGCAGGCAGATTTCAATATGAACGTACTTACTGAGGGGAACAAAAGGAAAGCTATGGGACTAAAAAAGTAAAGGTTGAAGTCAACTTTTTGGAAATCTAAACCGAAGCATGTAAAAAAAACTATCGTCTATAAATCTTGCTTCCTCGTGCCTTCTTCATGTCACAGAATTTACAGCAAAATTTATGGTACTTGCAGCCGCCTTGTTATTTGTTTTGGGGGATTTTGCAGCAACTTCTGCCTTGATTCCAGTTGGTGATGGTTTTTCATGTTAGTAGTTATTGTGTCTACTGAGAATTTCATCCGCTATGTATCAGCGTTCACGTATACATGGATGATATTTTTTTCGGCATGAAATAAGGTGGTAAGCAGAGCACTTCAGCATTTGTGCCTGACAGTAAAGATGGCTCAAGATACACATTTTCAAGGAGAGAAGATTGCTTTGGATGTCAAAGAATGAACCTTAACAAAGGCAGGCAAGTGCTGCTGAGATTGAGGAGGCTGCCATGTGTCAAATTATGTTCTTTCAGTTCCATTTGCTTCACTTGGATTGGACCTCTCCAAGGTTTGCCTACAGTTAAGAGAACTGCCAAAAGCACTGGACAGGGAAGCTTCCAAGAAGAAAAACCACTTGTGGCTTCTTAGTCAAAAGCTATATAGCCTACAGTTAAGAGAATTGTCACACAATGGGCTGTTTTTTGTCGTTTTGGACAGTGGACAGGGAAGCTTCCAAGAAGAAAAACCACTTGTGGCTTCCAAGAAGGAAATCAGCTCCCTTGGTTAAATTGTGTTTTAATATGAGGACAGTGGCTTCCATGAAAGCAAGGGGAGCAGACGTGTGAAGTATAAGTCAACTCCATAATTTCTGAACTTCTTCTATCAAATCCTTACTAAATAAAACAAAAAAACTCAATAATTATAATATATTTGAAAGACAATTTAGCTACTTCTACATTACTTCCTCAAGGTAATAATATCTTCTTGTGACGAGATCTGTATTCACCTATTGACTTCAATTCTGCATTTATGTATCAAAGTTTTCGAGGATCGAAAATTTCTTGCGATTAGCATTTCTTTCTTGCTGTGTTTTTTAATTTTAGCTGAAGGTGGTGAGAAGAGTACTACTTTATCTCAAGTTGACTGCAGAGATGGATTGAGGAAGATAATTGGAAGAAAAGAAGGTAGCTTTGGATGCCAAAGTGACTTTGTTAGCAAGAAAATAGTGCCCATCCGTAGCCTAAGAATAACTCTTACGTCGTTGCCTCCTTCACACATTACAAATTTACCAAAATCACAGGGTGGTTATGCACCTCCTCCACTTATTATATGATGCCTATGCATGTTTACTTTGTGTATGAATGTGTTGAAGCCTCATTTGCAAGTCCATTAGGCTTTGAGGTATTTCTTTCTACAAGCTCTCAGAGTCAAAGTATAATGTAAATGTGTCTGACTATTTTTTTTAGCACACAACACAATCCATTTGTCTCTGCAATTTCTCACACAAGGAACTCAATCTGACAATTGATGGAAACAGAGGCTAAATCCCACTTACTAGAATTGGAAAGGTTACACTAAAAATGTGGTAAATACCAATAAACAAATAAACTCAGTCTTTTCACTTGAACTTGTTCATCAGTTTTCACAGAAGATCCACAGATGGGTTCTTATCGCATAAACTTCCATCAGATCACATTCCTTGCTACAAACTAGATTGTGAAGGGGTTTAGGATGTGTGTGTTGTTGGTTACTTTATATGGGACAAGTAGTGGTTAGTATTCGGTGCGTTTGGTGAACAAAACTTGATGAATAAATTTGGTGCGTTTGGCATTTCTCTTATGTACTTAATCTATGGATGTCAATAATTCCTTAGGCAAGTTATTGTAACTTGTTGCCTCATTTGCAAGTCCATTTAGTTTTGGGTGTTAATTCACAGATTTTTATAATGATTGTTGTGTGCATTTCACAAGGACCAAATTTATAAAGTATAAGCAGCTAAGAAAGGAAAATACAAGAATAAAATTTGAAGGACTAAAATTAAGGATGATGGATGAGGTAATTAAGGGTCTTTTATATGCTTTGAGTCCTCTTCATCTCCACTTGTTTTGGTGCTTCCAAAAACTTTACAGTTTCTAGTTCCACTGCCATTTACACGCTACTCAAACAAACACAACAATCTTCACACACTTTAAATTTTGACCAAATATGCTTATGACTAGTCAACTGCTAGTCATGAATAACCATAAGCAAGAACACACACAGAGCATACCAATCTGTACCTGCAAGCCTAGAAGATTACTAGCTAGTGACAACCTAGGCACTCAGAAGAATCCATCAATCTAGACATCCCCAGTGTTACCAACAACTATGGTGAAAGCGTGTGAAAGCATCATAATCAAGTAAATACCAAACAACAGATAATGATGACTAGTCAATCGCAAGAACACGAATCCAGTGTTGAGGCCCAAAAAATCCATGGTTCGGCCTAAATAAATTCTTGGCCGCCCAATGAGATACCTTACCGAGAAGAACCCAATTTGGGCACGCGAAAGTTCGTCATATGCGCTTGCACACATGCCACGCCAAGCAAATAAGCAATATGCCACACTACAAGTTTAAGTGGGCCCAAGCCATGCAAGATGCCCAAGGCTTGCTTGAGTGGGTTGTGGTATGAATGGTAATAAGTTATCATGAGGCCCATTGATGGGTCGAGAAATGGAGGTTCCGGGTTGCTTGGGAGCTTCGGAACTCAAGCCCATTTCTTAGGCCCAAACATGTAGGTGAGCACAAAAAAGGAAAATATCTCAACCAAAATAACCCAACCAAAATGGTCCATTAAACTTAACCAATATGGCCCAAAACTTGATGGGATCAGCCCATTTGTTTGGTAGGATGACTTGCCATCTTAAAAAGCCCATACAATTAGAAATGAAAAGCAGCAAAAGCCTCAGCTCCTTGCTGAAAAAACAAAAGCCACGAAGGGAGCAAGATGTCCACATATGCAGAGCTGCTGGAAGGCTCCATCGCATGGGAAGGAACGAGTTCCAAGCACAAAACATTCGAAGAACCAAGGGATATTAGCGCGGAAGCTGCCAGGAGGAGAGGCACCCTTCAAACCAGTGTACATACCCAATTCTTTCCCTCATCAGACCTGGCCATGGAAGAAGGAAGGAAAGAAAGGAAGGAGATAGCTAAGAATGAGAGTCTCCTACTAAAATAGTTGCGGGAAAGGGCCTTGAGCTCCCAAAAATCCCTGATTTTGTGCAAATAGTCTGAGGAAATTTCACCAAGATGGGAAAAGTCAAGGGAGGAGAGAAGAAAGGAAGGGAGAGATTTGGCCAAATTGGATAGAAACTATTAGGGTTTCTTGGAAAATGTCAGCTTCCAGCTGCTATAAAAGAGGCATCTTCTACCCAACAAGCAACAACCACATTCAGAGAGCAAGCTTCCTCTCTTACTCCTAAAACCCATCAATTTCGTGCTCAGCCCATCATTTTCCCTTAGTTTTCTCTCTTGGCAAGCTGTTCTAACATTTGACAGAGTCTCTGTCAAGCTGCCAGAAAAACACTCAAGCCACCATTTTCTCTCATTTTCCTCATCTCAGCCAAAACCTCTGATAATCCTTTCTTCCTCTTCCTTAGAACCCATGTTTTTCATGGAAACTCATAGCTTTTTTCCTTTGAGGCTAAACTCATGACAACTTTGCTCTCATGCCACAAGCCTCTCATGCCAAGCCAAGAATTTATCTGTAAGGAGCCATTATTTTTGTTGGTGAAGGTAACCAAGGTGTTTCCTAAGGCATCTCTGTCCTTTCGAAGCATTCTTGGGGCTGATCTTCGAACTCAGGCTCAAGGGGAAATTTCATCCATTTTGTCATTTATGGCAACTCATGCCCGTAGTAGCTGTCGGAATGAAAAAGCCCCTACACCCAGAAATACATGAACATCATGTGATGACTAGTCAACTATCAATAACACAAACCCAAAAAATTACAGAGCTATAAACTAGAAATTGTTCACCCAGAAACCTACCACTGGGAAAAACTGGGGGTCATCAACTAACCAAGCAATCCACCAAGTAAAAAAGATTATTACAAAGAAATACAAGCAAGCTCAAGAAATCCTAGATCTATTTAGGAAGATAAGCTATAGCTCATTTGTGCAATCTTCTTCTCCAACTTAGCAAAACCAGCAGCTTAATCCTTCATGGCAATGATAGCTCATTCTTCAGCTCTTTTATCCCATGACACCAGCTAGCCATCTCAAACTCAGACAGAAACCAAAATTTGGATTCAAGGAAAAATGATCAATTTCTTCAAGAAACCATACTCTTGAAGAAATCAATCTTGAATCTGACCTAGATGTATATGAGAGAGTGTTTGATCTAGCTAGATGTAGATTTCATATTTCAAAAGCAGTTTTCCAAAAATTAATTTGGAGAACTTATAGATGAAAAATGTGATGGTTTTCTCTTAAGGAAGAAGAAGAGAAAGTTAGCAAGAAACTTTTCCGAAACTTCCTATCAAAAGAGGCGGCTGCCAAATGAGGTATCATTTGGCTTTTACCCAAAAAATTCCTATTTCAAAAAGTACATATGGCAGCAAAGAGAATTTGCAGAATATGACAAAATGGTTGGTTTGGATCCAGCTGGAAATCCTACTGATGCAAAAGATGACTAGTCATACGAAAGAAAAATGACTAGTCATAATCTTAAGAAATTTAATGAATGCAATATGATGCAATGCAGAAATTACCTTTGTCAAACACATTGATTATCCATCAGATTGTAGTCAGTTAAGAACACATAGAGAAGCAATTCTTAATCTAAACTAAAGCTTGGGAAATTACAATGATTGTCCTATTACAATATTGTCAAGGAAAATCAAAAGAAAAACTCAAAATGCATACACTTACATGGTGCAACCCTAAGCAGATTCTGTTGAAAGTTCCATATTTCAATGTGAAAGCAGTTATTTTGAGGGGTAGGGTAGCAGACAGCTGAAAGCTATGGGACTAAAAAAGTCCAAGGTTGAAGTCAAACTTTTGAAAATCTGGCAGTATAAATCTCGCTTTCCTTGCCTTCTTCTCATCGTGAGGCGATCGATAAGGTTTTCTTAAGTTATTGTTTCTGCTTCTGATGAAGATGGATGACTTTCCAGCAAAGTTGGTGGTAATTGCAGCACTAGTGTTGCTTCTTATGGGGGATTTCCAAGCAACTTGTGCAATATCACTTCCTCATGGTAATTCATAACATCTTCTTGTGATGAGATCTTGACATATTAATTAGCTAATATTATATTGAACTCGATCATCTGGTAATTGTTTTCTGTGATTTTCTTGTATGGCAGAAGGTCGTGGGAGGAGTAGTTTATGGCATGTTGACTGTAGAGATGGTTTGGCAAAGATACATATTGGAAGAAAACAAGGTAGCTTTGGATGTCAAGGTGAGAATTTTAGCAAGAAAATAATGCCCATCCGGCGCAGCTTAAGACCAATCACTGGGCTGAAGCCACCTTCACCCACTCTGAATCGATCCAGGCGACAGTTCGTTCCAGCTCCCCCCATCATCCAATGATCCTTAATTCTCCGGGATCCTAAGTAATGTTACATGGATTGGGCCATATCTCAATTGTATTAGATAAATATGTTCTGTTCTCACCGGTAGAAGTTGGCTGTGGGGTATTTCAACAAGCAATTGAGTTAAAAGTATGCAATATTGTGTCTGAATATGTTATTTTCTTCAGCAAAATGATTTTATTAGACCAAGCTGAAATTAGCTTTTTCTTCAAGCTTCTAGATTTTTCCATATTTCTTTAGCATAAATGTCCATTATCATGTTAGAGAGACCAACTTTAGATACCAACTTGTGTACCATCTCTCTAATGGAGCGTGAAACCCATTGAATTGGCGGGCTCCACCTCTATTAGAGAGATGATATACAAGTTGATATCTAAAGTTGGTCTCACCCTTATTGGAGAGGTCCAATTCAAGTGAAGCAAATGGAACTAAAAGAACATAATTTGACACAAGTTGGTCTCCTTAGCATTTTCCCTCCAATAATATCTATCAATAACCAAACAACTGCATGCTCTGATTTGGATGGTGGACATTTCAAGCAAACCATTTTTCATATTCTAAATACTCAATCCAAGACAATATCAAACTTCCACAGTTTTTTGAAGTTCCATATTTCAATGTGAAAGCAGTTACTGAGGGGTAGTGTAGCAGACAGCCGAAAGCTGTGGGACTAAAAAAGTCCAAGGTCGAAGTCAAACCTTAGAAATTCTGGCAAAGTTTATAAATCTTGCTTCTCTTGCCTTCTTCTCCATATTGAGGCGATAATATCTATAAAGTATAAACTAATGCAACTAAAAGGGTCATTTTCTTTTAATTTTTTCAATAAATAGTATAGCCACTCGACTATACTCTTTTTAAATATAACATACTTAAAACATATACCTGCACAGCTATACTATGGTTTTTTATTATAAAAATAGTATAGCCGAGCTATACCCTTTTGACACGTTGCGCCAAATCGCTAGCGGGTCCATTTTTTATTATTATAAAGCGGGTATAGCCGAGCGGCTATACTGGGGGTTTTATTAAAAACTCCGGCGGGGGGGGGGGGGGGGGGTCCTCCTTTTTTTTAACAAAAGACTCCGCGCGGCCGATGGGTTTATAAAACCAGACGCCAGGCAACTGGATAAAAAAGCCCTTCGCGCGTCGCGGAAAATCATTAGGGGCACACACTTCCAATCCCTATGAGCCCCCCTCCAGGGCGTCCTCTCTCATCCGAAATCGCCGACAAATCCATGCTGCGACAAATTAAAACTATCTTAGATCCTTCTAGCTGGTTCATACATACCGAATGCCAAAGTTCGATTAGTCCGCTCTTTATGAGTCTGATGGTTTTTCCACTGGTGTGGTGTAGTGAGTGAGAGTGTGGGAGGGGGTTAAGCAGTTTTGTTGCTTGTTCGCGGCAGGATAGACATGGCTATGGGAAGGTGGTGGGTTGTTTGGATCTGGAGGGTTGGTCTTGACGTAGGTGTAGATTCGGTGTGACGAGGTTTGTATGGTGTTGCAATCTACCTGATTGGTGTGTGGTGTGTTGTTGTGGTGCTACAACTTGAGTACTGTAGTGTGGTCGGGGAGAGAGGGAAACTCAGACAGAGGTGGGTGGGGGGGTAGTGTTGGGTCGGCCGGGTTGATTTATGATTGTATGAGTCATACATAAATTATTTTCCGGACACAGAACCCCTGTCCCAAAATTGATGTCAATTAACAAAAGTTATGTTCTTTCATTCCATTTGCTACACTTGGACCTCTCCAAGGTTTATTTATCTTTATCAAGAACCAAGCAGTTGCATGCTTTGATTCTCAAGACCCATCTCTCCCACGACCCATTTTATGCAACTAGAATCGTTAGATTCTATGCAGTCAATGGTGACCTTCACTCTGCTTGTAAGCTGTTCGATGAAAGTCCCAGCCAAAGCGTCTACCTTTGGAACTCCATAATTCGAGCGCACGCTCAAGCCCACAAATTTGAGGAAGCATTTTCTCCGTTTACTAAGATGCTTAGAACCGAAATCAAACCTGATAACTTCACTTATGCTTGCATTATACGTGCGTGCTCTGAGAGCTTTTATTTGGAAGGACTGAAGCTTGTCCATTGTGGAGTAACAGTTTCAGGGTTAGGATTGGACTCTATTTGTAGCAGTGCACTTGTTACAGCTTATTCAAAACTCGGCCTTGTTGATGAAGCAAGTAGGGTGTTTTACGGGATACCACAGCAGGATTTGGTTTTGTGGAATTCTATAATTTCAGGTTAAGGAAACTGTGGACGTTGGGACAAAGGTTGGCAACTGTTTAGTGAGATGAGAAGCATGGAGATGATGCCGGATGGATACACAATTGTTGGGTTGCTTTCGGGTTTATCGGATTCCAGCTTGATAACTACTGGCCAAGGACTACATGGTCTTTGTTTGAAATGTAATTTAGATTCTAATGCTCATGTAAGCAGTGTACTTGTGGGCATTGTATTCAAGATGCAATGTGTATGAACTCTGCACATAAGAGTTTTTAGTGGTTTGTTCCAGCCAGATTTAGTTACATGGTCTGCTTTGATAACTGGGTATTCACAGTCTGGGGATTGTGGTAAGGCATTGTTCTTCTTCAAGGATTTGAATATGGAAGGTAAGAAGGCTGATTCCATTTTGATTGCCAGTGTGTTGGCTGCTGTTGCTCAGATAGGAAATGTAGGGCCTGGCTGTGAGATACATGCTTATGTTCTTCGACATGGACTTGAATCTCATGTCATGATTTCCTCTGCTCTCATAGTCATGTATTCAAAGTGCAGTTTCTTGGGCATGGGGACTCATGTGTTTGAGATCATGCCAGAAAAGAATATTATTTCCTACAATTCATTAATATTGGGTCTTGGTTTGCATGGTCTTGCCTCTGAGGCCTTTAGAGTGTTTGATGAGATACTGAGAAACGGGTTAAAACCTGATGAATATACTTTTACTGCTCTCCTTGGTGCATGCTGCCATGCTGGCCTTGTCAAAGATGGCCGTGAAATTTTCAGAATAATGAAGGATTGAGTTTTGCATTCAGCCTAGAACAGAGCATTATGTTCATATGGTAAAACTTCTTGGGATGGAAGGAGGGTTGGAAGAGGCTTACAATCTAATCTTGTCCTTGCCAGAACCAGTGGACTGCTGCATTTGGGGAGCCCTGTAATTGTGCTGCGATGTCTGTGGAAATTCTGAGCTGGCAGAAATTGTAGCCCAGAGGCTCTTTGAGAGTAGTTCTGAGAAAGGTGCTTATGGAGTCATGCTTTCTAATATATATGCTGGCGATGGGAGATGGGATGACGCGAAGAAGTTGAGAGATCACACAACAGAAGGCAAACTGAGGAAGATAACGGGGCTTAGCTGGATTAAAGGTAGTGAATTATTGTTTGATCAAAATCTTCCTTGTATTGGGCTATAAAGATCAATTCACAAGCTATCTTTGCTATGAATACGAATGATAGATTTTTTTTAAGTACTGAAATTTGAAAAGGCCCTTACTTTCTGAGATAAGCAAAATGTTTTGGAATCTTGACTTGGTTTTGTTTGTTTTAACTTCATGTTTTATCATCTATAACATCAACTCCTCTAATGGCTTGATATACAGACTCCATTGTGTGAAGAAACACAAATATACCAGAAAGCTTATAACTTTATCCTTTCACCTGCATTGGCTCACCCCTCCATCCGAGCTTCTCCAAACTTTATCATATCTTTATATTTCTTTACCGGTAGCCAATTGTTACACCATAGATATGTAATAAATGATATATTTGGCATGTGCCTGATTTTGTAATTCTCCTCTCCACCATCAGGTTTTAGTCTTTCTGCATGATCATCCAGTAAAGGCAACAAGTCTAACTGCTGCAGTGTGGTGACAAACTGCAAACCTTCAGGTAACATCCTCGGCCACATGCAGACAACTGTGCAAGTGGAGGAAAGCTAGGTAGTGCTCCCTCTTCAAGTAGTCCTCAAGAACATGAGAAGCAAAGCTGAGAGCCTCGAGCTTGGGAAACCCACCAGCACTACAGAACTCTTTCCCCATTCGTTTTGCATCATAAGCATTCCAAAGGGTCAGATTTTTCAGGTTGGGTAGCAGATGAAGTACCAGTTACAAGTTCTCAGACATATGAGAGTTGCCTAATCTTAAATTTGTAAGCCTTTCCAAGGAACCAAATGAAAGTTTGAGAGTTTTGTGAGCTCCGAAGACTCCGAACAAATTAAAGCCAGAACAGTTGGAAAGGTTCCTTCTTCCAAGATGAGCAGCTTTATGGAAAAGTTTGTTTTAGTTGTTGTGGCAGTTTATCTTCTTGTGGGTGTTTCTTCTGCAACTTCTACATTACTTCGTCATGGTAATAATATCTTTCCTGTGATGAGATGTGTATCAGTTCCATTGAAGTTGACCATGTTGACTAAGACCCACTCATGACTTGATATAGTTGTATGATTTACCACTTATTAACATTTCATTCTGCATTTACATATGTTGTACTATTCCCTTTAATATATCAAACTTTGTGTCTATTAACATCTCTTGCTTCTTGTGATCTTCTATGGCTGAAGGTGGCGAGAAGAGTTTGTCGCACATTGACTGCAGAGATGGCATGAGAAAGATTAATGGAAGAAAAGGAGGTAGCTTTGGATGTCAAAGTGACATTGTTAGCAAGAATACAGTGCCCATCTGTAGCCTAAGAATAATCGTTACAACCTCTCCGCCTTCACCGACTAAAAATCCACGAAAGTCACAGGGCGCTACTGCACCTCCTCCTCTTATTATATGATGGCCGGATACCTATGTTTATTTCTGTTCCCATTGTTCCCTAGGGAAGATACTTGTTGCCTCATTTGCAAGTCCATTTGGTCTTTGTACAAGCGACTTGAGTCAAAGTATGTAAATGGGTTTGAATATTTTTGCAAGTATACAAATCCATAATTATCTCTTCAATTTTTCACAAGGAACTTAAAACACGTATCAAGTTTTCCTGAGCAACAACATCGAATGCTAACCTACATATTTGGTAACCTAATGTGTTGTTGTTCTGATCTAGATTACAAAGCAATTTAATTGAGTGCAAACGAAACGTGAAATGCCAAAAGCACTGGACAGGGAAGCTTCCAGGAAGAAAAACCAACTGCGGCTTCTTGGTCAAAAGCCGCCTACAGTTAGGAGAATTGTCATACAATGGGCTGTATCAAAATACTGAGGTCAAAGTCAAGTTACCAAAGCTTTTTTGAAAATCTAAACCACGGCATGTAAAATTCCTTCTTCAAACCAACTACACAATGCCTATAATTCTTGCTTCCCCTAGTCTTCATCGCAAAGAGTCAACGTTGACGAGATAGCTAAGCCCCACACCCGCTGGGCTGCATGAGAGCTGCGTATAGGACTTGGCTGCCCAGCCACTTGTTTACACAAAATTCAACTACTAGGATATTTCTAGCATTCATTGGACACGGCAATATCCTGAAGCTGCTAGGCAAGGTTGTGCTTTCTACCTCCGACGATGAATGGTTTTCCAGCAAAGTTTATGCTGGTTATTGCAGCACTAGTGTTGCTTCTCATGGGGGAGTTCCAAGCAACATGTGCTTTTCTTCGCGGTAGGTAATTAGCTAGTTACATTAATGACATTATTGTTTGTACAAATTTCCTCACGGGAATATTCGTCTAAGATTCCTTCGTCTTCTCCACTTCTCTTTCTCCCTGCAAAACAAATCGGGGTAAAAGGACCACACCCGGGGGGTGTTGGCCAAAGGCCCTCCGATGCCTAAGTTAGGTAGGGTATTTCAAGGAAAACCGGGTAGCCGGAGCCGTGTGTGGTGGCCGGAGCCTTGTGTCAGAGAGAGAAAGAAAGTGGTGGCTAGGGTTTGTGAGAAATAATTTCTGCAGAGTTTCAGTAGGAATTTAGACGTACCTTGACCTTTGTGCGTAGCCAAGTATTTATAATGGTCTCGGAGATTAGGGTTTCAGAGGAATAATTCCGTAGTTGGTAAGGAATTATTCCTCCCTGATTTGGCATTGATTTGATTAATTAGGGATTTGATTTATTTGGGTAAATCAAATCCCTAATCGTGGTAGGTATCAGATCAAATCCCAATCTAATTAGGTAACTCCTCATTTAATTGGGAATTGGGGTAGGAATCAAATCAATTCCCAACTTAATTAGGTAATTCTCAATTTAATTGGGTAACTCCCAATTAAATTGAGTAACTCCCAATTAGGTTGAGTAATTCCCAATTAGGTCAAATAATCCCCAAATGGAAGGAATTATTTGACCTAGGGTTTTGATTTAATTGGTTCCCACAAATGCCCCCCAGCTTCTGCATGGCGCGTGGTGGCATGTAGGAGATGTGAATTGTCTGTTGGGCTTTCCAGCCGTAACTGGGCTTCCTCCTTGGATTTGGGCTCCTGAATGGAGGAGGCTTTTGACTTGCCAACTGGTCTTTGACTTGGGTTGTCCAGCTATAACTGGGCTGGAGGCAAGCTGGCCTGCTGCTGGAGCAGGTGGCAGTTTGGGTCGGCTTATTTGTGGTTGATCCAAACTACTTCAATTCCTTCTTCTTTTTGTGTCACAAACTAGGAACAGTATGAGTCAAGGCGATCACGTGTGGAGCACGGACATGTTGGAAGTCAGCGGCAGACGGGTAGGGGAGGTTGGCGACGGTCCGCTCATTCCCCTCACCTACTGTGATGGTAAGTTGCATCCCTATGATCTGCTACAGTTGCCATGGAATTTTTCATGTCGTGTGTCTGACCAACTTTTGTCTTCTGCTTGCAGATGATGCCATCAGAAAGAAGCTCGTCCTCGACCCGGACATGATGAAGGTTCGGCAGGCTTTGAGCATCCCTGCCAAGCTTCGTGAATGGCGCTGGCTGTTGAGCGAACATCAGAAGAAAGTCGGTGGCCTGCCCCCTGCTGAAGATATTGAAAGATGGAAGTTACACTGCCTGAAGCTAAGTGACTTGCAAGTTGAGCAGGATGAGTCATCGACCGAGTCCCCCGAGGATAGAAAGGCGTGCAGTGGACCCGCCCGTGACGGAGCTGCAGTTTCTCGATCAATGGATACGTCTCTGCAGCGGGGCAGCCGAGATCTTCTCTTGCCGCGAACAAGTCTTCCTCACAGGAGGCCTCGTCTGCCGGGATCAAACGCCTCGTCAGCGCGAACAGCAGGAAGGCCAACGGCATGCAGGAAGTTCGGGATATGTTGTTCAAGTCGCCAACTGTATTGCCCAAAACTGTGATCTGCCTTGTAAGGAGGCCGTTGAGAAGCAAGGTTCGGGGCGTCTGCGTCGGTCTGGGGACCAAATTGAGAGGACTGTACCTCTGCCCAGCCACCATGACTCGTCTGCAGGACCACGAACAATCAAGCGCGGAGCTGACTCGATGTTGCAAGCTGCAAGCAAGAAAGCTAAAGAGTCGTCTGCTCGAGCAAAGAGTCCTCCAGTCGCGCGAACTGCTGGTTTGGGGATTGGTGATAACTCTGTTGGGGGTGAGCCTGTGTCTGATCTGCTGAAAACGGGCTTTCTATCAAGTCCATCTGCTTGTGCTAAGCTAGCTAACCATGTGTATCGAGCTGCTGATCTTTGTGCCTTCTCGAGCCTTCCCTTGGATAAACAAGAAGAAGCTGCCCTGTATCATCTTCAAAAAGGGATGGTTTTTGCTGTTGGGGCTATGCAGAACTCGCATGATGTTGCCCTCTCTTCTGCCCTGCTTGACGAGCTGGTGAAGAAGAATGCTGACCTGACTGACAAGCTCTCGAACGAGCGGATTCGCCATGACGCGAGGATTTCCGAGATGAAGGAGAGTATGTCCGCACTTAAGAGTTCTGTTGGCCAAAAAGATGACGAAGTCAAGTCTCTTATGGCTACCCTGCTCGAACGCAAGGAAGCCTACTTTAGCCTCGAACGCAAGCACGCTGCTCTGGCCCAAGATCGTGATAGGCTGCTGGTCAGGTTTGACAACCATGTGGAAGCCACGGAGGCGTCCAAACATGAGATTGCTGCTAATGCGTACAAGGTGGGATACCTGGACTGCCAGAACGGCGCTCTTCCTTGCTGTCCTCTCGAACATGAAGACGGTAAGTAGCTTTATCTTGACCTGCCCCTGCTCAAAGTGAGCAGAGCAATGTTGTGGATGAAGAAGCAGTTGAAGAGCAGATAGCAGATGAAGCTGCAATGGAGGAAGACAACTCTCAAGGTGGCGTAGCTGATAAGGCTAGACCATATGCGAATGAGTAGGCAGGTGAGGCCGTTGAGTAGATGGTGCTGGTTGAGCAGAGTGAGGCCGTTGCCAGCGCAGTTGAGGATGTGATCGGCTAAGGGTCACCTGCTGAAGTCCCCTAGTAGATGTAGTTCATTTTTGCTATTTTTGAACTTTGTAATTTTCTTTCAATAAGTGGTCTTTGGTTGACCGCCCTATTGTTTGTTGAATTTGGCTGGTTGGCCGCTTTGCTATGAAATTTTCAGTTATCTTTCAAACTTCAATTCTCATTATATCTTGTAAGTGTACGTCCGGAGACATAGCACTTGAAAGAGATTCCATTGAGTTTGTACTCGTGAAGTAGCTTGCCCACAATGGAGGTAAGGCTTGTCGCCTACGAGCGTATGTCAGGGACACAATGCTCGAAATAAAAAGATTCCATTGAGTTTGTGCTTCGCGAAGCAGCTTGTCTGCAATGAAGATGAGGCTTGTCGCCTACGAGCGTATGTCAGGGACACAATGCTCGAAAAAAGACTCCATTGAGTTTGTGCTTCGTGAAGCAGCCTGTCTGCAATGGAGATTAGGCTTGTCGCCTGCGAGCGTATGTCAGGGACACAACGCTCGAAAAAGACTCCATTGAGTTTGTGCTTCGTGAAGCAGCCTGTCTGCAATGGAGATGAGGCTTGTCGCCTGCGAGCGTATGTCAGGGACACAATGCTCGAAAAAAGACTCCATTGAGTTTGTGCTTCGTGAAGCAGCCTGTCTGCAATGGAGATTAGGCTTGTCGCCTGCGAGCGTATGTCAGGGACAAAATGCTCGAAAAAGACTCCATTGAGTTTGTGCTTCGTGAAGCAGCTTGTCTGCAATGGAGATGAGGCTTGTCGCCTGCGAGCGTATGTCAGGGACATAATGCTCGAAAAAGACTCCATTGAGTTTGTGCTTCGTGAAGCAGCCTGTCTGCAATGGAGATTAGGCTTGTCGCCTGCGAGCGTATGTCAGGGACACAATGCTCGAAAAAGACTCCATTGAGTTTGTGCTTCGTGAAGCAGCTTGTCTGCAATGAAGATGAGGCTTGTCGCCTGCGAGCGTATGTCAGGGACACAATGCTCGAAAAAGACTCCATTGAGTTCGTGCTTCACGAAGCAGCTTGTCTGCAATGGAGATCAGGCTTGTCGCCTGCGAGCATATGTCAGGGACACAATGCTCGAAAAAGACTCCATTGAGTTCGTGCTTCGTGGAGCAGCTTGTCTGCAATGAAGATGAGGCTTGTCGCCTGCGAGCGTATGTCAGAGACACAATGCTCGAAAAAGGCTCCATTGAGTTCGTGCTTCGCGGAGCAGCTTGTCTGCAATGGAGATGAAGGAGGCCTGTCGCCTACTTGGAGTCGAGCTGGTAAGCTGCAACTCGAACAATGGTCTTGTTATTGTAAGATGCCAGCTGCTGATGGTATGCTGCTGCTCGAACAATGGTCTTCTTGCTATGGTAAGACGTGAGCTGCTGCTGGTAAGTTGCAACTCGAACAATGGCCTTCTTATTGTAGCAAGATGTGAGCTACTGTTAGTAAGCTGCAACTCGAACAATGGCCTTCTTATTGTAGCAAGATGTGAGCTGTTGCTGGTAAGCTGCAACTCGAACAATGACCTTTCCTCGTTCCTCTTCGACAGATCAAGGTTGACTTTCATCTGCTTGCAGTTTTGGTCAAGACTGCCCACCTCGATACTCATGGAAGGGACTGTGATGTGTGGGGGAATGATTGCTTCTGTTCCCATAGGCCAGGGAAAATGGTCTCTCCGATTGATCTCCTTTTGGTTGTGCGATAAGCCCATAAGACTCCTGGTAGCCCGTCGACCCATTTTCCTTTTGCGCATTCCAGTCTTTCCTTTAGGCAGTCCAGCACGATCTTGTTGGATGCCTCTGCTTAGCCATTGCCTTGCAGGTATATGGGAGTTGACAGGTGCTGTTTGATGCCATACTTTGCAAGGAATGCGGTGGTCTGCCTGCTTGGGGGCTTTAACCAGCATATCGTCCACGTACACCTCCATGGTTCTGCCGATCTGCTCCTTGAAAATTTTATTCACGAGCCTTTGGTAGGTTGCTCCGGCGTTCTTCAGCCCAAAGGGCATGACCTTGTAGCAGTAGGTGCCTCTTTCGATGATGAAAGAGGTCTTCGCCTTGTCATCGTCGTACATCATAATTTGATTATAGCCGGAGTAAGCATCCATGAAGCTGAGCAGCTGGTTGCCGGAAGTTGAATCCACGAGCTGGTCGATTCTCGGCAGTGGGAAGTTGTCTTTAGGGCACGCTTTGTTGAGGTCGGTGTAATCAACGCATACTCTCCATTTTCCCTTTTCTTGTTTTGCCACCAGAACAACGTTAGCCAGCCATTCCGAGTAGGAGACCTCTTCAATGAAACCGGCAGCTAGGAGCTTGTCGATCTCGGCTTCAATGATCGCGACCCGCTCGGGAGCAAAGTTGCGTCTCTTCTGCACCACGGGCTTGCTAGCAGGGTTGACATGGAGCCGATGGCAGATGATGTTTGGGTCAATGCCAGGCATGTCAGATGGTGACCACGCGAACATGTCTTTGTTGTTCTGGAGGAAGATGGTCAGCTCCATCTTCTCGTCTGGGCTTAGGCGCGAGCCGATCCGCGCTTTCTTGTCTGGCTGGTGAGGATCGAGGGGTACTAACTCAACGTCTTCCTCAGGCTTCCAACCTTCTTCAAGGGAGCCTTCCGGGCGGATTCCCTCATCTCGATCCTTCTTGGTTGAATTCTGGCGCGAGCCGATCTGCGCCTCCTTCTCTGGCTGATCAGGATCGTGGGGTACTAACTCAACGTCTTCCTCAGGCGTCCAACCTTCTTCAAGGGAGCCTTCCGGGCGGATTCCCTCGTCTCGATCCTTCTTGTTCGGATTCTGGCACGAGCCGATCTGCGCCTCCTTCTCTGGCTGATCAGGATCGGGGGGTACTAACTCAACGTCTTCCTCAGGCTTCCAACCTTCTTCAAGGGAGCCTTCCGGGCGGATTCCCTCGTCTCGATCCTTCTTGTTCGGATTCTGGCGCGAGCCGATCTGCGCGTCTTTGTCTGGCTGGTCAAGATCGGGGGGGTACTAACTCAACGTCTTCCTCAAGCTTCCAACCTTCTTCAAGGGAGCCTTCCGGGCGGATTCCCTCGTCTCGATCCTTCTTGTTCGGATTCTGGCGCGAGCCGATCTGCGCGTCTTTGTCTGGCTGGTCAGGATCGGGGGGTACTAACTCAACGTCTTCCTCAGGCTTCCAACCTTCTTCAAGGGAGCCTTCCGGGCGGATTCCCTCGTCTCGATCCTTCTTGTTCGGATTCTGGCACGAGCCGATCTGCGCCTCTTTGTCTAGCTGGCCAGGATAAGGAGGTACTAACTCAACGTCATCCTCAGGCTTCCAACCCTTTTCAGGGGAGTCTTCCGGGCGGATTCCCTCGTCTCGATCCTGGTTCCTTAACTGCTATTGTGAGGCAGCAACTTCCTTCCCTTTCGGGTTTGCTTGTCTGCTAAGAGCGCTTCTTGCCTCGTTGGCAGCTTGCATTACTGGTGTGAACTGCAGCTGCTTGCTCTTCTTGAGCCCTTGGGCGGTGCATCTCCTTGCCATGGCTTGGTCACTGTTGATCTGCCCGATTCCGCCCCCAGGGATGGGATAACGGATCTTCTGATGTAGAGCAGATGTGATGGCCTCGATCTTGCTGATCCACGGTCGGCCCAGGATTCCGTTGTAGGGGGAAACCTCGTCGATGACCATGAAGGTCTGCGAGCAGACTACTGGGGGTGAGTGGACATCCAAGTCGATCGTTCCAACAGTGATTGATGTGGCCCCATTGAAGCCGGTGAGCGATCTGGCAAGTTTGCTAATCTTGGGCTCGAACCCCATCTGTTGGATAACAGATAGTTGCAGGATGTTGGCTGCGCTGCCCTCATCTACATGAACTCGCTCGATCACAGCTTGTTCAATTTGGATGCAGATGACTAGGGCGTCATTATGTGGCAGGTCCAGCCCGATCAAGTCCTTCTTCTGGAAGCCAATGATAGGTGTATCCCCAACAGCTGGTACTCCCGTTGTGACTTGGGAGACATAAGTTGCCTGCGCGATCTTTCTCTTGCGCTCCTTGGTGGTCAGCCCGGACTCTTGGGAGTCGGCTAGAATGGTGTTGATTCGTATGACCTTTTGGGGAGGTTCCTTGGCAGCTACATCACGATCCTCGATCTGCTGGATAGCCTTCTTTGCAACGAACTCTGTGCAATGGCCTTCTCTGACCAGCTCCTCAAGGTGCCTTTTCCAAGCGTTGCAGTTGTTGGTGTAATGACCGTGCTCCCCGTGGAATGCGCAATATTTGCTAGCGTCTCTTTTAGAGGGGTCTCCCTTCATGGGTGGTGGTCTCCTCACCCACGGCTTATCCTTCACTTGAGCTAGGATCTGGTGGATTGGGATAGCGAACTCGGTGAAGGTCCCTTTTTCTAAGCTTCCCTCTTGGGGCCGCGATCTGCGCTTATCTCGGGCTTTTTGCTCGAACTTGTTGCTCTTTTGGCTTGCCTGCTTCGTCGGGTGGTCAACTTGCTTGCTAGCTTTCTTTGCGGCGATACGATCATCGTCCCAAAGTGCGTAGCGCTCTGCCGTCGCGAACACTTCTGCCAAGGTTTGACTTGGAGTTATGGCCAGCTCCCGGTATAGCTCGTGCTCGGTTGGCAAGCCCTTTTTGAATGCTGAGGATGCAACTTGGTCGTTGCATCCTATGATGTTAGCCTTCTCAGCCTTAAACCGTCTCAGGTAGTCTCGTAGAGACTCGTCTGGCTTCTTGCGCAGGTTGAACAGGTGGTCTGCATGCTTTCTGACCGTCTTGTAGGAGGTGTACTCCTTTGTGAAAATGATGGCGAACTCCATGAAGTTGCCTATTGACGCGGACGGTAGAGTGTGGAACCAATCCTGAGCTGCTCCTCGCAGGGTCATCGCGAACACTTTGCACATCAGGGCGTCGTCTGCCTTGTACAGGATCATGGCGCTCTTGAAGTGCCTCAAATGGCTCTCAAGGTCAGAGTCCCCCTTGAATGGAGTGATGGATGGCGTTGTAAACCGCTTCGGCGGCGGGGCTCGTTCCACCTCGTCGGTAAAGGGCGAGCGGTCAACTCGATCAATTTCCTTGCACAGGGCCTCCTCCGCGCTTCCTTTGAGTCGGAGACCTCGGAGTTGGTCATTTACCAGCTTTGCGACATCCTCTGCTCGCAGGGTTGGAGTCTCGGGCCGACGTCTTCGGTGCCTCGAGCGCGACTGGCTAGCTTCTTCCTCGGTTCCCAAGGGTCGATCCCCTTGGGTGCTCTGCCCGTGAGGCAGATTAGGAGATTGAGCTTGTGAGGATTCCTCTGCAGCTTGTCGCCGCGTGTTGGTCCTCGAGCGGGCTGGTGGGCGTCGATCGTCACCCTCTGCTCGCAAGGAAGGTCGTTCAGGTCGGCGCCTTCGGAGTCTCGAGCGTGACTGGCTAACTTCTTCTCCAACTCCCAAGGGTCGATCCCCTTGGTTGCCCTGCCGGTGGGGCAGGAGAGAAGGTTGAGTTTGGGAGGATCCCTCCACAGCTTGTCGCCGCATGTTGGACCTCGAGCGGGCTGGTGAGCGTCGATCGTCATCCTCTGCTTGCAAGGAAGGTCGTTCAGGTCGACGTCTTCGGTGCCTCGAACGTGATCGGCTAACTTCTTCTCCGGCTCCCAAGGGTCGATCCCCTTGGTTGCCCTGCCGATGGGGCAGGAGAGAAGGTTGAGTTTGGGAGGATCCCTCCACAGCTTGTCGCCGCGACCGCTCACGAACTCGAGCTCCTTGTGGACCTAAGCGAGCACGAACATTGGATTGTGGGCCTAGCCTCTCGAGCACATTGGTCCTGGGTCCTAGCCTCGAACGGCTCAGAGTACGGCTTGCAGCTGTCTGTGTCTCGTCTGCACGATCTCGCTCTCTTCCCTGCCGGTTTGCCCTTGTCTGACTAGCCTGGGACCTCTCGAATTGCTCGCCAGCATGCTCGTGTGCCCTCCTCTCCTCGTCACGGGGTCCAAGGTTGGGGCCTTGATTCAAGTTGATCTGCCTGAGTAGCTGGCCAATCAGGTTGTTTTGATCATCGACCTTCTGTGTGAGTTGATCAACCCGCGAGTTAAGGTCCACTTGACTGCCCGGGCCAAGTAGGGTGGTGTGCATTGGGCCCAACGGCATGTGGGCTAGGGCTCCATTGGACGCGTACACAGGTGCATATGTCAAGTGTGATCGCAGAGGAGGGAGAGAATGGATCTGCTCCGAGACTGGGACGATGTCAGAGTAGCCATGGGGCTGTGCAGCAAGTCCGGTAGTTAAGTGGTGTGGCTGCTGCTGTGCTCCGACGGCAGGACAGCGAGGCAGAGCAGCTCCGGTAATCGGCGCTGGCGACTGCAAGGCTGTGGAGGTCCCAGGGTCATGTGGCGGCTGTTCTGCAATTCCAGCAGCTGAAGGCGGCTGCAAAGCACTAGAAGACGGCTGCAGGGCGTTGGCAGGCATGATTCCGTGCTGTTGTATTGAGGTTTCCACCACAAAACCATGAGATGGGCCCGTCGTGGTGGCGTTACTCTTCGTACGTCTTGTATCAACCATGGTTGTTTGAAAAAACTGTGTGAAAGATGGATTTTGAGCACGCTTTGAATATATCTCGTGCTCTCAATGAAAGCACCAATTTGTTTGTACAAATTTCCTCACGGGAATATTCGTCTAAGATTCCTTCGTCTTCTCCACTTCTCTTTCTCCCTGCAAAACAAATCGGGGTAAAAGGACCACACCCGGGGGGTGTTGGCCAAAGGCCCTCCGATGCCTAAGTTAGGTAGGGTATTTCAAGGAAAACCGGGTGGCCGGAGCCGTGTGTGGTGGCCGGAGCCTTGTGTCAGAGAGAGAAAGAAAGTGGTGGCTAGGGTTTGTGAGAAATAATTTCTGCAGAGTTTCAGTAGGAATTTAGACGTACCTTGACCTTTGTGCGTAGCCAAGTATTTATAATGGTCTCGGAGATTAGGGTTTCAGAGGAATAATTCCGTAGTTGGTAAGGAATTATTCCTCCCTGATTTGGCATTGATTTGATTAATTAGGGATTTGATTTATTTGGATAAATCAAATCCCTAATCGTGGTAGGTATCAGATCAAATCCCAATCTAATTAGGTAACTCCTCATTTAATTGGGAATTGGGGTAGGAATCAAATCAATTCCCAACTTAATTAGGTAATTCTCAATTTAATTGGGTAACTCCCAATTAAATTGAGTAACTCCCAATTAGGTTGAGTAATTCCCAATTAGGTCAAATAATCCCCAAATGGAAGGAATTATTTGACCTAGGGTTTTGATTTAATTGGTTCCCACAATTATGCTTTAGCTGGTAATTAAATTAATTAATTTCTTGCTTGCTTGCTGTGATTTTCTTTATATGGCTAGCTGAAGCTGATCAAGGTATTGTGAAGAGTACTTTGTCGCATGTTGACTGTACAAGAGATGGCTTGAGAAAGATAAATACTGGAAGAAAAGAAGGTAGCTTTGGATCATGTCAAACTGACATTTTTAGCAAGAAAATATTGCCCATCCGACGCAACCTAAGACCATTGAGAGGGCCCAAGCCACCTTCTCCCACCAAAAACTTCCCTCCGCACTTCCGACCGAAACGGCCTTTACCACGGCCACGGCCACCACCTCCGCCATCATTCAATGATACTTACTCTCCGGAATCCTAAGTAATGTTACACAGTACCGCATCATTTGATGAATAAATTTAGTGCGTTTAGCATTACTCATCAAATGTACTTAATTAATCTATTCCCTAGGCAAGTAATTTTCTGGTGCGTTTGGTGAACAAAAACCGATGAATAAATTTGGTGCGTTTGACATTTCTCTTATGTACTTAATCTATGGATGTCAATAATTCCTTAGGCAAGTTATAGTTTTAACTTGTTGCCTCATTTGCAAGTCCATTTAGTTTTGGGCGTTAATTCACAGATTTTTATAATGATTGTTGTATGCATTTCACAAGCACCAAATTTATACAAGTATAAGTAGCTAAGAAAGGAAAATACAAGAATAAAATTTGAAGGACTAAAATTAAGGATGATGGGGGAGGTAATTAAGGGTCTTTTATATGCTCTGAGTCCTCTTCATCTCTACTTGTTTTGGTGCTTCCAAAAACTTAGTTTCCAGTTCCACTGCCATTAAGCTTAAGGTCTGGTGCAACCGTAAGCAGATTCTGTTGAAAGTTCCATATTTCAATGTGAAAGCAGTTATTTTGTGGGGTAGAGTAGCAGACAGCTGAAAGCTATGGGACTAAAAAAGTCCAAGGTTGAAGTCAAACTTTTGAAAATCTGGCAGTCTATAAATCTTGCTTTCCTTGCCTTCTTCTCATCGTGAGGCGATAAGGTTTTCTTAAGTTATTGTTTCTGCTTCTGATGAAGATGGATGGCTTTCCAGCAAAGTTGGTGGTAATTGCAGCACTAGTGTTGCTTCTTATGGGGGATTTCCAAGCAACTTGTGAAACATTACTTCCTCGTGGTAATTGATAACATCTCCCTGTGATTAGCTAATTACATTGATAACTTGATCATCTGGTAATTAATTTCTTGCTTGCTTTGATTTTCTTGTATGGCTGAAGGTCTTGGGAAGAGTAGTTTATGGCATATTGACTGTAGAGATGGCTTGGCAGAGATACATATTGGAAGAAAACAAGGTACCTTTGGATGTCAAGGTGAGAATTTTTGCAAAAAAATAATGGGCGCAGCCTAAGAAAAATTACTGTGCAGAATGTTCTGTCATCACTGATAGAAGTTGGCCAATATTTACTTGCTCTATGGATGTTATTCATTCCCTAAGGAAATTAGTGCTTTAAATTTTTGCCTTCCATTTGGCTGTGGGGTCTTTCTACAAGCCACTTGAGTTAAAAGTATGTAATTGTGTCTGAATATGTTATTTTCTTCACCACTTGTGTGACATAGGCACCCCTTTAACAAACTGCTCCAATTAAGCCTCTGAATAAATCCTCTACTTGATTTCCACTTCATTTGGTGCTCCAAAAACTTGTTCAGTTCTCATTCCCTCCTTCCCTTTTGTGTTTCCACAAATTTCTATTAGCATGCAGATGGCAACATGGCATCCATCTTCTCGAGTTCTGTACATCCATATATCTTCTCAAGTTTTGTTACTTTCTCATTGAGTTTTCTGTTGATCTCCTTGAGTTGTGTAACGAACTCCGTGAGTTTTGCTTCCCAGTCCATGACTTTTGTAATCATCTCCTCCAAGATTGGTTTTATCTCTTCTGCTTGGGCTGAAGCCTTAGCTCTGAAACCTGCAATCCAAATAGCAATGTGAGTATCACTCATTTGAGAATTCTGGGCAAGTTCCAGTGTCAATGCCTTCCTCTTCTCCTGTTAAGAACATATGAGTTCTTCCCATATAAGCTATCATATTGGGTTCATTCACCTCAAACACCAAACTGGCATCATCATCAAGGACCATTTCGTTCATTGTTAGCTCTTGACATCCTTTTTTTGTTCCAAGTCCTTTTCTTTTTCCTTTTTGACAACTTGTTTCTGAGATGGCAATTTATAGAGACCCTCTTCTTGGCTTCATTCATGTTTCTGTAGGTGTTAAACACATTGGGAAGGTAATCAGTCTCCAGAAATTATTTTTGGTACTTGCATTGTTTTATTCCAATGTTCCATGAGGATTGAAACAGCCTCAAAAGAATTTATAAAAAAAAACAGAATCTGAATAAAGCCATAGAACACATAGAAACACATAAGATCATTTATTCTGATAATGATGTAATGCCTTCAACAGACTGCTCTCTAATAAAGCCGCTAAGTTGAAGGTTTAGGAACTTGGGAATGGGTTTGAAATCCCATATTTGCCATATTTGGTAAGTTCACTCTTGGAAATCCAATTACGTGCACTCTTAACTTGTCCTGTTCCATTTGTTTCCTTTCCAACTTCTTGAGTTTTGTATCTAACTTCTTAAGGTCTGGTCTCCAACAGTATTTCGATATTTTTTCTTTCTATCTCCTCCAACATTTGTTCTTCATTGAAGTTGCAAGAAACTCTAAGTAATGTTACACAGTACCGCATCAATTGGTATATAAATTTGATGAATAAATTTACTGCGTTTAGCATTACTCATCATATGTACTTAATTAATATATTCACTAGGCAAGTAATTGTCTTTTAACTTGTTGCCTCATCTGCAAGAATTTAGCACCAAATTTATACAAGTATCCATAATAAAAAGTATCGTCTATAAATCTTGCTTCCTCGTGCCTTCTTCATGTCACAGAAATTACAGTATGCAACAACTGTAAGTTGTTGGTTCTGTTTCAGAAACTGAATGTTTTTTTAGTCAGAAAAATGAACGGTTTTCCATCAAAATTTACGGTACTTGCAGCCGCCGTGTTGCTTGTTTTGGGGGATTTTGCAGCAACTTCTGCCTTGATTCCAGTTGGTAATGGTTTTTCATGTTAGTAGTTATTGTGTTTGAGAATTTCATCCGCCATGTATTAGCGTTCATGTATGCATGAATTGATATTTTTTTTGGCATGAAATAAGGTGGTAAGCAGAGGACTTCAGCATTTGCGCCTGACAGTAAAGATGGCTCAAGATACACATTTTCAAGGAGAGAAGGTTGCTTTGGATGTCAAAGTATGAACCTTAACAAAGGCAGGCAAGTGCTGCTGAGATTGAGGAGGCTGCAACAAACAAGAAGATTTACAAGGCCACCACCCCCACCGATCAGAAATTCCTTTAGGATATGGTCTGCTCCCCCGGCTCCTCCTCCATCACTCACTGCATGATTAGCTATGCTTCTTTTTTCATTTGGAAAATCAATCTACGCAAGAACCAAACAATTGCATGCTCTGATTTGGATGGTGGACATTTCAAGCAAACCTTTTTTGATATTCTAAATACTCAATCCAAGACAATATCAAACTTCCACAGTTTTTTGAAGTTCCATATTTCAATGTGAAAGCAGTTATTGAGGGTAGGGTAGCAGACAGCTGAAAGCTATGAGACTTAAAAAGTCCAAGGTTGAAGTCAAACCTTTGAAATTCTGGCAAAGTCTATAAATCTTGCTTCCTATCTATAAAGTATAAATCTTTGTAATTTTCTAAAAACTTAACAAATTTAAAACTTACAGGAAAAAAAAAAAGATTTATAAATTCTATGATCCTAAAATTTTATCATCTATTTCATCTGTACAAAATGAAATGACGTGGCATGATCCGTGATTAAAAACATGGCAAATCGACGGTCAGTTTGGTGGAGCTCAGTATGTTTACCCTACGCTTGTTCACGTCATATCTATTTTAATTATCAATTTCTCACTGCCCCTCTTTCGTCTCTCTCTCTCTCTGAAAAACCCTAATTCAACACAACAGAGTCTCAACACAAGACAAGCAAAAGGGAAGCAATCCATATCATTCGGATTGGATTAGCCGCTGGTTAACGAACTTCTTCAGCTCCTCGCTTTTCAAAAGAGCAGCTTTTGACCCTCACTGCAGTCATGTCTGCTGTCAACTTCACTTCTCTCTCTCTCTCTCTCTCTCTCTCTCTCTCTCTCTCTCTCTCATGTATTCATGTATGTATCTATGTATGTAAGTTGTGGTTAAGCTGACTTTCAGTAATATATGTTTATTCTGGATATTTTTATTGTGAAAAACTCCTTTTAAATATTTAGAGAGTATAGCCGTGCGGCTATACCTTTTTACACATGGCGCCAACTCCCTTTTTTTATAAAAATAGTATAGCCGCCCGGCTACCGTTTGACACGTAGTGCGGAATCGCCAGGCCCTTTTTAAAAAATAATAATAATAAGTATAGCCGGTCGGCTATACTTGGTGTTTCTTCTAAAGAACCGTAGGGCCGCGCGGCTATAATATTTTTTTAAAGTATAGCCGTGCGGCGGGACCCGGGTTTTTCCCTCAAAAAGTTGTTCAGTTATCATTCCCTTTTGTGTTTCCGCAAATTTCTATTAGCAAGCAGACGGCAACAGGGCATCCATCTTCTCGACTTCTGTACATCCATATATCTCCTCAAGTTTTGTTACTTTCTCATTGAGTGTTTTCTGTTGATCTCCTCGAGTTGTGTAACCACCTCCTTGAGTTTTTTTTCCCAGTCCATAAGTATTTTGTTCGTCTCCTCCTAGATTGTTTTCATCTCTTTTCTGCTTGGGCTGAAGCCCTAGCTCTGAAACCTGCAATCCAAATGGCAATGTGAGTTTCACTCATTTGATAATTCTGGGCAAGTTCCAATATTAATGCCTTCCTCTTCTTCTGTTAAGAACATATGAGTTCTTCCCATATAAGCTATCATATTCTATTTTCAACAAAACTATCAGAACCCATGTGTCAAAATTGATGTCCTAACTTAAAAGTTATGTTCTTTCATTTCCATTTGCTTCACTTGGACCTCGCCAAGGTTTATTTATCTTTATCAAGAACCAAGCAGTTGCATGCTTTGATTCTCAAGACCCATCTCTCCCACGACCCATTTTATGCAACTAGAATCGTTAGATTCTATGCAGTCAATGGTGACCTTCACTCTGCTTGTAAGCTGTTCGATGAAAGTCCCAGCCAAAGCGTCTACCTTTGGAACTCCATAATTCGAGCCCACGCTCAAGCCCACAAATTTGAGGAAGCATTTTCTCTGTTTACTAAGATGCTTAGAACCGAAATCAAACCTGATAACTTCACTTATGCTTGCATTATACGTGCATGCTCTGAGAGCTTTGATTTGGAAGGACTGAAGCTTGTCCATTGTGGAGTAACAGTTTCAGGGTTAGGATTGGACTCTATTTGTAGCAGTGCACTTGTTACAGCTTATTCAAAACTCGGCCTTGTTGATGAAGCAAGTAGGGTGTTTTATGGGACACCACAGCAGGATTTGGTTTTGTGGAATTCTATAATTTCAGCTTATGGAAACTGTGGACGCTGGGACAAAGGTTTGCAACTGTTTAGTGAGATGAGAAGCATGGAGATGATGCCGGATGGATACACAATTGTTGGGTTGCTTTCGGGTTTATCGGATTCCAGCTTGATAACTATTGGCCAAGGACTACATGGTCTTTGTTTGAAATGTAATTTAGATTCTAATGCTCATGTAAGCAGTGTCCTTGTGAGCATGTATTCAAGATGCATGTGTATGAACTCTGCACATAGAGTTTTTAGTGGTTTGTTCCAGCCAGATTTAGTTACATGGTCTGCTTTGATAACTGGGTATTCACAGTCTGGGGATTATGGTAAGGCATTGTTCTTCTTCAAGAATTTGAACATGGAAGGTAAGAAGGCTGATTCCATTTTGATTGCCAGTGTGTTGGCTGCTGCTGCTCAGATAGCAAATGTAGGGCCTGGCTGTGAGATTCATGCTTATGTTCTTCGACATGGACTTGAATCTCATGTCATGATTTCCTCTGCTCTCATAGCCATGTATTCAAAGTGCGGTTTCTTGGGCATGGGGACTCGTGTGTTTGAGATCATGCCAGAAAAGAATATTATTTCCTACAATTCATTAATATTGGGTCTTGGTTTGCATGGACTTGCCTCTGAGGCCTTTAGAATGTTTGATGAGATACTGAGAAACGGGTTAAAACCTGATGAATATACTTTTACTGCTCTCCTTGGTGCATGCTGCCATGCTGGCCTTGTCAAAGATGGCCGTGAAATTTTCAGAATAATGAAGGATGAGTTTTGCATTCAACCTAGAACAGAGCATTATGTTCATATGGTAAAACTTCTTGGGATGGAAGGAGGGTTGGAAGAGGCTTACAATCTAATCTTGTCCTTGCCAGAACCAGTGGACTGCGGCATTTGGGGAGCCCTGTTATTGTGCTGCGATGTCTGTGGAAATTCTGAGCTGGCAGAAATTGTAGCCCAGAGGCTCTTTGAGAGTAGTTCCGAGAAAGGTGCTTATAGGGTCATGCTTTCTAATATATATGCTAGCGATGGGAGGTGGAATGATGCAAAGAAGTTGAGAGATCACATGACAGAAGGCAAACTGAGGAAGATAACGGGGCTTAGCTGGATTAAAGGTAGTGAATTATTGTTTGATCAAAATTTTCCTTGTATTGGGCTATAAACATCAATTCACAAGCTATCTTTGCTACGAATACGAATGATAGATTTCTTTTAAAGTACTGAAATTTGAAAAGGCCCTTACTTTCTGAGATAAGCAAAATGGTTTGGAATCTTGAATTGGTTTTGTTTGTTTTAACTTCGCGTTTTATCATCTATAACATGAACTCCTCTTATGGCCTGATATATGGACTCCATTGTATGAAGAAACACAAATATACCAGAAAGCTTATAACTTTATCCTTTCACCCGCATTGGCTCACCCCTCCATCCAAGCTTCTCCAAACTTTATCATATCTTTATATTTCTTTACCGGTGGCCAATTGTTCCACCATAGTTATGGTAATAAATGATGTATTTGGCATGTGCCTAATTTTGTAATTCTCCTCTCCACCATCAGGTTTTAGCCGTTCTGCATGATCATCCAGTAAAGGCAACAAGTCTAACTGCTGCAGTGTTGTGGCAAACTGCAAACCTTCAGGTAACATCCTCTGCCACACGCAGACAACTGTGCAAGTGGAGGAATTTCAAGCTAGGCAGTGCTCCCTCTTCAAGTTGCGTCCAGTACTCAAGAACATGAGAAGCAAAGCTGAGAACCTCGAGCTTGGGAAGCCCGCCAGCACTACAGAACTCTTTCCCCATTCGTTTTGCATCATAAGCATTCCAAGGGGTCAGATTTTTCAAGTTGGGTAGCAGATGAAGTACCAATTACGAGTCCTCAGACGTATGAGAGTTGCCTAATCTTAAATTTGTAAGCCTTTCCAAGGAACCAAATGAAGTAGGTAGCTTTTCTAGGACGCCTTCTAGGCGAAGCTTTTGAAGAAATGGTGGAGGTGAGAATGAATCCAGGAGGATAAGGTTTCCCTTGTTGAATGCATGTTTAGTTCGAGAGACAAGGAAGGAAGAGCCGGCATTTTTTTTATGGAGACAAATAGCTCACTGATATTCTCTTCAGCCACATCCATCACTCCAAGTCTTCCGAGCTGTATCAGGTTACCTAATTCTTCAGCAATTCCACCACCAGCATGTATGGCTGTGAGGGACAGAAGATTTTTTAAGCTTCCTATTCCTGCAGGTAGCTTCATCCCATGAACATCTTGGAATATGCTCTTGAACATTTTGAGGTGCCTCAACCTTACAAGATTGAGTATCTCATCCGACAAGGCTGTTAAACACCCACACCATCTGATATTGAAAGTTTGTAGTGCTTTTAATCTACAGTTCCCTCTGGAAGCTCAATAATATCTGTGTGGTTCAAGCCAAGATACATGAGGTTTATCAGGTCTCGCACTTCATCTAGTAACCTTTTAATTTTGGTGCCTTCTAGATCTAGCACCCTTAAATAGTTTGTACCATTAAACTGTTACCAATTACCATCATAGCGAAAATGACTATGATTTCCAACAGGGGCAAAGAAGTAGGTTGAAGTTGGAGATTGTTCAAGTGGGATGAGAGTTTTGTGATGTCCGAAGACTCCGAACAAATTAAAGCCCAAACAGTTGGAAAGGTTCCTTCTTCCAATTGATGAAGACAGAATTCTCAAAAAGGAGATGGGAGCTGCAATCTAGTCCCTCTGCAAGGGCGGTTGTCCTTAACTTGAAGCATTCCCTGGCTGATCAATTCATATATATTTTCTTCTGCTACATCCTCCATGATCTGCCCTGCGTTTGCTTGTACCAGTCCTTGGGCCACTAGTAACCGAATAAGTTTCCCTTTCGGAATCCAGTGGTTCTCAGGGAAGATGGAACATTACATTAAGCATTGGAGAAGATAATCAGGTAAATCTCTGTAGCATAATTGCAATGGAACAGATGAAGAAGAAGCTGATGTCTCACCTTCTTTACTCTCTTGAGAGTCTTTGTTTTCTTCCATCCCTCCTTCAATGGTATTTGAACTAGCCATAGAGTTCTAAAAACTGTGTTTTGCATTTATAGACGAGAAGATAGCAATATATAATGGTTAGAGTCGTTAGACCTTATGTTATAGGGTATGTTAAAGTCCAGCGTGTTGTAGTCTTGTAGAATAATTTCAAAGAAAGATTCAAGGAGAGTAAACAAGGTGACATATACTACAAAATGTAGCATATATATCCAAACTAAAATTACGATGTAGAGTCTAAAGATGCTACATGATGTGACTTTGTGATGGTAACAGATGCTTGTAATTTGTGATGGTTGAGCTTTGTATGGCAAGCAGTCTGCTTTTCTTGCTATACAAACAAAATCCTCCACACTGATCTTGTAAAGTAGATTTAGTATAAACTTTTCCATGTGAATAAAAATCGAAGAAGATGAGTGCATAAATTTATGAAATTATCAGTTTTACGAATCGTTGGATTTTATGCAGTCAATGATGACCCTTACTCAGCTTGTAAGTTGTTTGAGTAAAGTGCCTGCCAAAGCTTCTAGCTTCGGAATTCCATTATTGGAGCCCACGCTCAAACCCACAAATTTGAGAATGCATTTTCTCTTGTATGGTCAAAATCTTCTTCGTTTTTTAGATCATTGAAATGCTTTGCAATATTGGATTGTCGAGTGCTTGTTCTACCTTCTGGTTTTGTAAGCAGCTCTGTGGTGATGCATAAAGAAGCCCAGAGATAGCTAACTTGTAAATTGTAATCACTCTATTAGTTTAACAAAACAAATCAGCTAACAAACATCAATCTGTTTTCCTTAACATTTATCTAACTGATGGTTGCAAACGAAAAAAAGTTTAAAAATTGCATACATAATAGAAAACACCAACTCCTTTTATGGCTTGATAAATTGTGTGGAGAAACACATTATTTTAGAAAGCTTGTAACTTATATCGTTTCACCCACATGGGGATCCCTCTCCCTGAGCTTTAACGACTTCTACCATAGACGTGGTCATCACTCTCCCTGAGCTTTAACGACTTCTTCCACCATAGACGTGGTCATCAATCTAATCATTGGAATGTGGCTAATTTTGTAGTTTTCTTCTCCACCATCAGGTTTCAGACGCTCTGCATGATCATGCAGCAAAGGCAGCAAATCCAAACGCTGCAGTGTTGTGAGGAACTGCAAGCCTTCAGGTAACATCCTCAGCCTCAGACAATTGCGTACGTAGAGGTATTTCAAGCTAGGTAGTGCTCCCTCTTCAAGTTCTGTCCACTCCTCAAGAACACGAGAAGCAATGGTGAGTTCCTCGAGCTTGGAAAACCCACCAGCGCTACAGAACTCTTTTCCTATTTGTTTTCCATCATAAGCATGCCAAAGGCTTAGATTTTTCAAGTTGGGTAGCAGTTGAAGTACCGAAAACTGGTTCTCAGGCATGTGAGAGAATCCTAATCTCAAGTTTGTTAGCCTTTCCAAGGAACCAAACCAAGAAGGTAGCTTTTCTAGGACACCTTCCAGGCGAAGCTTTTGAAGAAATGGTGGGGGCGAGAATGAATCCAGGAGGACAAGTTTTCCCTCGTTGAAGGTGTGAATTGATTCTAGAGACAAGGAAAGAAGTCCAGGCATCTTAGTTATGGAGGCAAGTAGCTCACTGATATTCTCTTCAGCCACATCCATCACTCCAAGTCTTCTGAGCTGTATCAGGTTACCTAATTCTTCTGCAATTCCACCACCAGCATGTACACCTGTAAGGGTCAGAAGATTTGTGAAGCTTCCTCCTATTCCTGGAGGTAGCTTCACCCCCTGAACATTTTGGAACTGGTTCTTGTACATTTTGAGGTGCCTCAACCTGACAAGATTGAGTATCTGGTCTGGCAAGGCTGTTAAATGCCCACACCATCTGATATCGAAAGTTTGTAGGGCTTTTAATCTGCCGAGTCCCTCTGGAAGCTCTTCTATATCAGTGTGGTTCAAGCCAAGATAGATGAGGCTTATCAGATCTCCCACTTCATCTGGTAACCTTTTGATTTTGGTACGCTCAAGATCTAGCACTCTTAAAGAGTTTGCACCATTAAACTTGAGCCAGTTACCATCGTCTTGAGAAAGATTTTTCCCGAGCAGGAATAAAGAAGTAGGTTGATGATTATTCAAGTGGGCTAACTGTTCTGTGATGTCTGAACAAACAAAAGCCCGAAAGGTTGCAACATCTCCTTCCTCCATTTGTTGAACACAAAATTTTCGAACAGGAGAGGGGACCTGTAATCTAGTCCTTACACTAGAATGTTGCTCCTTGAGTTGAAGCATTCCCTGGCTGATCAATTCGGATATATTTTCTTCTGCTACATCCTCCATAACATGCCCTGCTTTTTCTTGTATCAGTCCTTGGGCCACAAGCAACCGAATAAGTTTCCCTTTGGAAATGCCATCAGGGAGGATGCAACAATACATTAAGCAGTTTTGAAGGTAATCAGGCAAATCTCTGTAGCATAATTGCAATGGAAGAGATGAAGAAGAAGCCGATGTTTCCCTTTCTTCATTCTCTTGGGAATTTTCGGTTTCTTCCATCTCTCCTTCTATGGCATTTGAACTAGACATAGAGTTCTAGACACTGTGTTTTGCATACATAGAAGAGAAAGAAGAAATATATAATGTTATAGGGTATGGTTAAGTTAAAGAGTACAAGTTAATATGCTTTGCCGTTTGCGAGGACAGCAACAAGAGGTGGCGGATAACACAAAGCATATATTTCGGAACTTGTTTAACTATGAAGAGTTTTAACAATGATGCATGTTGTGACTTTGTGATGGTTGAGCTTTGTATGCCAATTGGAAAGCAGCCTGCTTTTCTTGCCTACATATACAAACAAATCCCCACATCTTGCTACGACATCCAAGCTCTTGTCACTGCAGAAAATGCCAAGAGACTCGTTATAATTTGTAAAATTAGATTTAATAAAGAAATTTCATGTAATAAAATGGAAAGAGAAGGTGAATTAACATTTTATTTCACTCAATGGCTTCCCTGCCAGCCTGCCTTCTTGTCATGCAACACAAGGCCCAGCCGGCGGTTCTTATTAAAGGCCACAACACCCAGACTCAGCAAAGCTCCAGCCATGGGCCTGTATGGCCCTTGCATAACTGGCCTTATTCTTTTATTTTGATTCAAGTTTGTCAACGGGTATAATTTAGTTGGTTGAACTCTTTCATCTCCACTTAAGAGAGCAGAAATTCAAAACCCAATGCACCTAATGAATATTTGTATAAAACTCTCATTTCCCAATCGTTTGTATAAAATAAAAAAAACCCCGAAAAACTCAGTATAAGAATCAATATATATATATGTATATATTTATATAAGGGTTGGATAGAAAGTCAAACATAACTATTTGTCGGGAAAATGATTGATTAGAAAGGGTTGAGTAGAAAGCCTAACATATCTACTTTAGGTTTTATTGCTCATTTGATTGATGATCTTTAGGATTCAAGTTCATCATTTTTCAGCTCTATCAACTGCAACCCATTATTAGGATCATGTTCATGCACCTGATTACCTTAACTAAAATTATGTTTCATTCAAATTACACCCATCCCATCCTTCTATCTTTGTCAACAGAATGCAAGCAAGCCCTACAACGTTGTGTGTTGTTTCTTTTTTTTCGGCTGATAGCTACTTTACCCATTTGACCAAATGGATTTGATGATATAACAAAAACATCGTCTCCCTTCAAAAACTTGAAAAAGGTTCATGGACACTCATCCAAAATAGTGTTTTCCCATCCTGAAAAGCATGCATAGTATTTCAACCTAATTGAATAATCCAACGAATGATAAAACGAATTAAGTATCGGCCAATAAGAAATGCTCTAATGATTATGGCTCCATAACTAAATGTAAAAATATTCAAGTTAGGTATTGCACCTCCTCCATTGGCCCCATAAGCCACATGGTTTGTATGTGGAGAATCCCGGCAGGCTTTCAAAAACGTTAGTCTCCCTTAGAAAAGAAACTCAAGAAAAGATAAGACAAGTGAGTGCTTCCGGAAGGGTTAAAAGTGTTTCTGATAATAAAAAACGTTTCTTACATCGTTTGGTAGAAAAGTTTAAAAGTACTTCTGGGTCACAAAAGCGCTTTCGAGAGAAGCATGTGCTTTGTGCTTCTTCAAAAAGTATTCCCAAGTGTTTTCCATGAAGCACTTGGATTTCTTATGAAGATTTCAACATCTTTAAGTGCTTTTACTAGAAGTACTTGTGAGCGGAAGTGTTTTATAAAGAAGCAGTCGCAACGAGCTTATTAATTGAAAAGAAAAAAAGAATATGGAAATTTGTATGTATATACTATATATAACCAGAAACTGGAAATTAATTGGAACCCTTATCCTGGGGAAGAATGGTTGGGAGTGATTGGGACTAACAACAAAATAGTCCAAGAAAACATTTCACTCTCAAGGCCCCGCCAACTTGGGGAGGCTATACATGTAGGTTTTCTTTATAGCAAACCTCCTTTTTATGGTAGTTGCTTAAGTATTTCAAATATGTTTTTATTTAGTAAAAAGTTTGACCATTAATTTCTTAATGATCTTAATTGCTTATACATGCATTATAGATATATGTATACATCTTATAGCCTAAGGATTAGCAAATTGGGTTGTGCTGGTCACAATCATGTTGTCAAGTCCATTTGTCACAAAAATCTGGACGGATCGATTGGCTGAAAGCAACCCCTGCAAACCTTGGACCAGCCTATTTCACTTAGAGCTGTATATCTTTAACTCATGATCATCAGTCATGACATGCATGGTGATGGAGTTGATGGTACCAGATCAAATTACAGGGCGCTAATTAGTCCATTGGGTGTTGACAAGTTTTTTGTTTTTCTGTTTTCCTCTTCTTTTTGTTCATATCAAATAAATAAAAAATTCAGCATGCAGAAGAAATTGATGAAATGTGTTCTATCTCATGCGACATGAATTTGAAAGAAGTAAGGCCATTCAACCACTTTCAGCAAAAAGGAGCAGCAAGTAAGGTATAGGAGAATATTAAAAATACCCTAGTTTCATAGATCTTCTTCTTCTTCTTTTCTTTTTTTCTTTTTTTCTGGTTAGCAACAAGTGAGTTGATAACAGTAACTCAACTGAAGCATCGGATTATCATGGAGAGGGAGCTGTGATATGACTCTGATAGGATTGAGGGAGATGTGATATTCAACCAATATTTACAAATTGCAGTGCGAGTAAAAACCATTTTGTCGGGCTCCATTATTGCACTGTTTGCTTTGCGATGCTCGATACATCGGATTTTCAAACAAAAACGCAAGTTGCAGTAATGGACTATATATGCCCTTTTAAGCCAAAATTAATCTCCAAATTAAGTATCAGCAGATGATATTTTGAAGATCAAGAGAGATTGATGGAATTTTTATTTAATACCTTGCTTTGGCTTCATTTAATTGCCCACATACACTACATTTCGTTTTAGTTTATGAAATTCAATGTGGAGTGGGGATTAGGGATATATATAATTATTTCAGATTGAATGTATCTCCTTTTTATTTATACAAACGATGTTCTACTTTAATTTAATCTAAACTACGGGAAGGGGGATTCAAACTCAGATACATGGTGGGGAGCACATCCGTTGTAACTAACTTGGCTAAGCCCATATCTGCTAATATAACTCCTTAATTAGTTTGAGAAAATGCATGTTGCAACTAGAAGGTCTATTTTAGTGTATCTTTATTAAATAATTAATCAATGTTTAATTTTGAATGTGTAGCTATATATGTAGATGTTACCTGAATATGCATGAGATAAAAAAGATGGGGGTGGAATGAAAAAAGGGAGACATGGTCATCCCCCTGATATTATTGTTAGATGCAGAGTCATAGTCATTCTTTTTTAGTGTACGTTGCCCCATTTATTACCTTGTCTTTTGCCTTCATTCTTTCTCCCATCCACTAAATACTCTACCCTTTGCCTCTTACTCTCTACCATAACCTTTTATCACAGAACTTTCAGCTGCTATATAGCTACTTCTCTCTTCTCTCTCTCCCTCCTCCCTCCAATTAGGGTTTCCACTTTGAGAGAGATTATCATATCTCCCTTCCAGAGACAAATCTGTGTTACTGCTTCAATTGGCTAAGGCTAGCTAACTGGCTAAGAGGCTAGCTACTAGATATAATATCTATATATATCTTGGAAGGAACAAAGAACAGCTACAGGCTACAGCTCTTAATTTCTCGCAAGAGCTCCTCCACAAGGGAAAAAGGTAAAATTCCTTTTTTTCATAGCTTTCATCAGAGAGACATAGATCCCAGGTAAACATGTGATGTAGCTTGTCCTTTCTATGTTAATTATTCCTTAATTCCATTCTCTCTGCTGCTTTCTTTTTTCTTTTGAGGGGGGGCACAAGGCTGAAAAAGATATATAACAAGATCCTTGAGCTTAGCTTAACTTAGACTTTAATTTCCATGTTCTTGGACCTTTATACATCAACAAAAGATGTGTAAACACACCTATAATGGGTGAGTTGCACTAGCTAGTCAGATCCAAGTTTAACTGATAATTTGAGAAGGATGTATATATGATGCCTATGATGACCTTTTTATACATAAAATTGCTATAATTTTGCTCATGCATCAATTCTTCAAAGTGGCTGGGGATGGTGTGGGAGGAGAGAGAGAGAGAGAGAGAGAGAGAGAGAGAGAGAGAGAGAGAGAGAGAGAGAGAGAGTGGAAAAATTATATAATTAGAAAAGACAAAATTGGAAACCAAAATTAAGGAAACATGCAGATGGCCCTGCAGGGGAGAGCGATCGAGGCATAGCAGCTGTGATGAGAGCATCACATGTGAGAATTCATTTAAATTTCTTTTTTATATAAAAAGATGGAAAAAGACAAGATGATGAGAGCCAGAAAACAATCAAGCGAAGAATTTTTCGATTCAAGAGCTAGCATGATATGCATGAGTTAATTCTGAGTTTTATACATACATATATGTGTGTGTGTGTGTGTGAGAGAGAGAGAGAGAGGAGTACAGTGACGAGGTCGGTGGTAATTTTTTTCCAAATTAGTGTCTGATTAAACTCCAGTAGCTAAGTATATGTGTGTGTGTGTGGTTCTGATCTTCCTGCACTAATCAAAATTATCTTGATGCCTCCAACAATACATATACACACACACAAAAAGAGTTGCAAATATATTATATACTGTTTTTATAATACACACAAATTAAGGATTGACTTACAAAAAATGTTTGATGTGGTGCTAGTGTGTTAATTTGGTGTGCAGTGAAAAATCAAAATGGCATCCTCCAGCTCCTCCTATAACTCTCCCTGCGCTGCCTGCAAGTTTTTGAGGAGAAAATGTATGCCGGGTTGCATTTTCGCACCTTACTTCCCACCGGAGGAGCCCCAGAAATTCGCCAATGTCCACAAGATCTTTGGGGCCAGCAATGTGACCAAGCTTCTCAACGAGCTCCTGCCTCATCAGCGAGAGGACGCCGTGAACTCCCTGGCCTATGAGGCGGAGGCACGCGTCAGGGACCCGGTGTATGGGTGTGTTGGAGCCATTTCTTTCCTCCAAAGGCAGGTCCAGAGGCTCCAGAAGGAGCTTGACTCTGCCAATGCTGACCTCATCCGCTATGCCTGCAACGAAATCACAACAGCAACGGTGTTGCCTCCGCCTATTTCTTTACCAACAGGGCTAAATTCGGTGATTCAGCCCAATATGGCTCCTCGGAGAAGGTCGGTTGATCATCATCCTCATCACCAGTTTTACCAACAAATAAACAATACTAGTACTACTGGAGGAGCTTTCTCAGCTCCCTATCTTCCATGGAATGATATTCATAACCGGTCCGGGGACATTAACGAAGGAGGAGGAGGAGGAGGAGGAGATGGCAGAATGTGAAGTGAGATTTCAGACCCTAGCTAGCTCATCACAATAATCGACAAAGGTAAATAAAACCCAATTTAGCTAGGGTTTGGTTTCTGATAGCACTCTATTGGTGGTGTCAGGCAGGTCATGTGGTGTTATATATATATGCTTATTAAGTTGTAGATGTATTCAGTCAGCAGGGTCTCTAGCCTCACGTGTAGTAGTTACACTACTCTTCTATATATAATTTCGCGCGAGCTATATTTATATGTAGCCAGATGGCTTTAGTAATCTCATTGTTTCAAAGTATATAATTTGGTGGGTTCATTGCTAGCTATATGTATGTATATACCTAAATTATGTAAACCTAAATAAGCAGAGAAACTTAGTTGCAAGGAGATAACACTATTTTACTATTTTCGGCCAATAACGTTATATCATATGGAGAAGTTATCACTCGTATTATAATGTTATTGGTCGACGATTACAAAACAGTGTTATTCCTATTTCACGCAAGTGTTTCTCTTGAATAAGACTTGCCCTCAGATTGATGGAGTAGATCTCTTAATATTGTGTCATAATGCAACTGTACATATGAAATATAAATGAAGGCATGCGCATGCGCCATGCGGGGGTTGACATTCTTTATCTGTATCTTAATTATATAAAAACATACAATATTACTTGATCATATACACTAAAGAGGATTCTTTTTCTTTGTGGTGTGGCTAAGTATATATAGGGGCTTAGTCCTCTTTTCACCCTATATATTCTCACCCTTTACTTCTGCTGCTTTAATTGCATGTTTTGATGAGGACCACTTTACATATATATATTCAATTTAAATAATTCTAGAAGCTCATTGATAGCCGCTGGTTTGCAATATTAATTAATAAAATAAAAATAAGTTAACCTAGCTAGCTAATCATGGTCCTATTCATCTTTTGATCACAAGTTTCGTGAATGGTATCGATGGCGAAGCTGGCTTGAAACTTCTCTTAAACATCAGTTAGCCTTTTTTACTTTATATTGGAAAAACAAAAAAAATTAATAACCCATTCAAATTTATAATTTAAAATTATAAAAAATTAAAAAAAAATTAAAAAAAAATAAAAAAAATAAAAAAAAATAAAAAAATAAATAAAAAGAGGTATGCAGAAGGAGAAACAGTGTGTGTTTCAACCTTTTGTGAGTGCATATATTCTAACTTGTTTGAATTCTAGTGTTTATCATGTACTTGATTGCGTGAATCTGTTTCTCCTAATAAATATTATTTCATATATATATATATATGTATGTATGTTTGTGGGAGTATAGTTGCAGAGATATCTGAAACAGTACAATCTACAGTCCATTCCTCATTGGATCCGATGCATAAAGCACTGTAGTTGTTCCATCTCCAACTACAGCCAAGTATTTGTACTGTACCCAAAACTTACCGGACAACACAGTGAAACCTTCGATATAAATATATATTTTTTATGATGCTCAGGTCAGGTTACGCTATAAAAATGTGTAATTCGGGTTAATTCCAGACAAGTAATGAAACTCAGCAAAGCAAATTAGGGTTAGGGTTTCATTAATATGCTTCCAAGGTCAGAGGGGGTGACTTGAACTTGTGCAGATTAAGCGTTTGAGATTAGACAAAACATTGTGTGAGATTGTGCCTGAGGGAGAGAGGTGACTTTGATTTGAATTTCCTTATATTCTTCGACTCCCCTGTCTAATTCTATTCATTCCATTGATATGTTTTTTTCCTTCTTTTTCGTAATCTGTAGCGGCACCAAACTTTCATCATTCAAAAACACGCACACCATCTTTCCTGTTTCTCTCTTCACTTTTGTCAGTCCTCTCTCTCTCTCTCTCTCTCTCTTCTCTCACTCACACAGAAAGATATTACACTCATACAAATCAAGAAAAGTTAAACCTGTCTTCTATTTCTCTCTCATACACACAATTCACACACACACACATGTACATAGTCTGAAAGAATCGTATCTGGATCTGGGTCAGGCAGTGGTTCTAGTGAGAGTCAAGTCCATTGTCCTCCAATTATTACTATAGTTGCCTCCTCTCCTCTCTCAGCCAAAGCCTCCTCGAGATAGCAAAAATCCCAAAAGCCTCACCTTTTTCTTCCTTGGAAAGATGGGGGAAACCAAATCCAATCTTCTCATCTCAATTCCACATCATATCTTGTAGTCTTCCCCACTCCACCCAACAACAACAAAAACTTATATTTTCAACTTTACTTGATGCAGATACCAAATCAGATAAATCTACGATTACAAGAAATGTTAATATGTGACTAACATACACGGCACTACATCAGTGTTATCAATCCACTTATATTATAACACTTATAACGCACTATCAATGATATTACAATCTCTCTTAAATCAAATACATACTAGGTTCTAGCAATTGATATATTCAACGTCAATCAATCTTTATCCTTTTAAATACTCTTCCAAATGTTAAATATATATGTGTAGGGAAAAGTATGATACTGTGTCAACTGTGGGTTGAGGGGGGCCTCTGCTGTGGTGGGGAACAAGTATGGCTTTCTGCAGTCGTTGTTTTTCTTGTTTTTTTTTGTTTTGGTTTGCAATAATTATTCATTCAGAATCCATCAACCCATCAATCTTCTTCTCTGCAAAGACGTGGAAAAGAAGCAATTGGAGCTGGTGAAACATGGCAGGAGAGGTTTATTACTATTTCAAAGGACAAGAAAGACAACATGACGTGGGGCTCCTATTTTCTGCCCCCACCTCAAAGTCTTTATGTTCCCACCTTAAATTCATTCATGGGGCTTACCAAAGTACAGTGCTATATATATATCTTTTAGCAAGTTGCAAGGTTTTTTTGCCCAAGGTCGTCTTTCTTGAATGTTTGTCGACAATATCTATTTCTAGGGTTCCAAAACAAAATGTTATTACCTTTTGATCAATATATATGAACTATTAATTCTTATTATTAAACATTTGATTTGCTGAGAATTAATTGAACTTGTACATTCTGTACCAAAAGTATCGGACCTCTACAGAAAAATGGTAAGTTTTCATTCTTCTATCTTCTATTTCTCGGCACAATGTCGAACCGTTATTTACAGGAAAGAAGTAAGGAGTATAAATTACCACCCAAAAGCAACTCCAGCTACAACTTGTGCAACGTACCCTATTGCAGTTGTTATAAAAACTTGATGTTGAATAGTTTTGGACATTTAAAAAAAGTGGCCCATGGAGTTAATAAACACTCAATCATCTGGGCTAGAACAGTGTACCTGGCTGTCTATGAAAATGGTGGAAGCTGAAAACAAATCTCTCTTTGTTTCCCAATGCCACTGTTTTTGCATTCCTTCCCTTTCGTCCCCTTTTCAGTAAAGCATTCGACCCCAAACAATAAATTAACTTGTAGGGTCTTACCTAATTATGCAAACTTTTATGAGCAACATTCAAACTTGGTTGAATCGCTTTCTCTAAATTCTCCACTGATGCAATTATTGAATGCTTCTGTCAGAACCATATCCAATTTCGCTTTTGAAGATAACGCAACATATCTAACGGGGGCTGCATCAAATGGTTTTAAACTACAAAAAGAGACCCAAAAATAAAAATTAGAGAAAGAGAAAACGTCAGATCCTAAGAACATGGAATATATATCACTAATTGATTGGCAATGATAATGCATCCAGCAGATTTAGCGCCGCTAGTGCATCATGATCTGAATCTAACGAAACACTAATTTTAAGTTTGGCTATGTATAATTAGTAGTATCAAAGTAAGTTGCTAACTTTCTCCTATGCAGATATTCGGACGTTATTATCCTGCGGACGTCATGTATTTTATACTATCTCTTCATACTTTTTTCTCTAATTTACAATAGCATCCGATATCCGAATAAGCGAATATATATATGTCATCACTTGACGCCACATGCACAAGTTCTAGAAAAGGTGTGGTATGTGGCTAACAACCACTGAATAACGTATATGTATATAAATTAGATCGACATCTTTATATTATTCCCTACAATACTTGGCCCTGATATATTTATATTATATGATGAAAAGTGGTTCTTGTTTCAGATTACCAATGATGGTAGCCATGATGGTGGCCATTACAGCGATTATAAACAAACAAAAGATTATGGGTTAAAGAATTACATTCTGCCTTTAGGCAATCATTTGTCAAGTCAAATTGTATATCTTATACCAAGATATATATTACACAAGAATCCTAGCCGATATAAACTTTCAGAAGAATAAGTATATTTCGTTTTTACAAAGTATAACATATTGTGTAGTGGTAACCCCTTTCAAATATTATTATTTGAGGGGGAATTAGGAATACAATCTCTAAACCATATGTGCACAAAGTGTTGCTTTCGAATATATATATGGCCCAAATTTTGACTCGAGGGAAATGAGGTGAGCCTATCAAGTTGCACGGTTCTAATAATATTGAATGCAGAGAGAATTTATAGCTTCAAATTTCAATGGGTTAAAGCATGACGACAAATATAATGTTCAACTTTCACTCTAGTGGTTTGTGTTGGCGAATCCTTACTTATAAGTTAGGATTTGGGTTCTTTAGAGTATCTTTAGGAGAGTCTCCAAATTTTAGCCAAATTTTAACTAAAATAGCTAAAAAGCCATTATAGCAAACTACTAAAAGTAGTTTCCTCCTGCAATGTTCTCTACTTTGGCTAATCTCTAATATTTTATTATTTCTCTCTAATCCTCTCTAAATTAAAAGTTTATTAAAAAAAATTGAAAAGTAAGAGATGAGAAAGGGTTGTGTGCCTAGGGAGAGAGAAGAGGAAGAAATGGAGAACTCTCAATTTCTCTCTCTTCCTCTCCAAATGTAGAGAGCCACCAAACTTAAATAAGGAGTTCTCCAAAATAGAGAGCCAGATAACAAGTTTGCTGGAGTTGCGTTTTGCCTCATTCTAGCCAAAATGGCTAAGGATAAGAGTATAGCAACTCTGTTGGAGATGCTCTTACTATGTTAAGATTTTAGTTACTTACCCATTTATCTAGTCCTATTATAATTGAGATTTATTTCCTATTTTATTTAGGGTTGTACTTCTTTATAAATACTTCCATATTGGAGAAGAATAAATATGAGCAAATATGAGCATAGGTGAGCATATCTGAATATTTGCCTTACTTTGTTTGACATGGTATCAGAGCCTAGTTATCTTGTGACCTATGTTTGCGTTCTCCTTGCAATTTAAGTGTTCTCCTCCCATTCTCTTCAAAGGGGGAGGGGGAGTGAAAAAGATATGTTTCTTTTTCCAATGGAGATATTACCTATTTCTTCACCATGCCGACAACCTCTTCTCTTCAAGGGGAGAATAAGATTGAAGTGAAGTTGTGTCTACGTGAATTAGTTAAAGTTGATATGGAAGAATTTTTCATCGTTTTCATCTACCGTTTCTGTGGTTGTTCTCGTTGTCGTGGCCGCTGCTGTCGTCGTTGATGTTGCCTTTGTTTGCTTTGCTTTTAATTGTTATGGTCATTGTCGATGATGTTGTTGTGTTTTGATTCGTCTCTACCCTACCCATAAACACTACCTATTTCCGTTGCATTGTGCATCTAACCTATACTCCTAGCCTGCTGCCGCCGTCTACCTTGATACTGTCGCCATCGCCTACCTTGCTATTGCCACTGTTGTAGCCATTCCACCATCCTGCCATCCCGCTATCCATTACCATGTCGAATGTTGATGCCTTTATTTCTTCACCTACTTCTGGTTCTACTTCATCTACTGCTTCTTCTACCCCTATTATGATGGTTCGTATTGAATCATCCACAAACCTACTTTTGGGCTTCAAATTGAATGGTTCCAACTATGCAATTTGGGCTTCGATGATTGAACTCTATGCTACTTCACAAGGAAAATTGGGTTATTTAACTCGTGACTCTAATGCCCCATATTCCAAATATCCAAAATTTGGAAAGTGAAAAATTGATGATATTACCATGAAAAATTGGATGATGCGCACTAAGTAACCTAATTTGTTGAATATGTTTCATACTTACCTATTGACGTGCTCATAAGGTTTCTGTGTACTGCCTTACCTATTGTCACGCTCACAGAGTTTCTGTGTTTTGCCTTACCTACTGTCATGCTCAAGATTTTCTGTGTTCTGCCTTACCTACTATCGTGCTCACATAGTTTCTATGTTCTGCTTTTATGTGTTCTTCTATATGCCCTATTTGTTAGGTTTTGTCAGTTGTTTCACTTGTGGTTTATGACAAGGTCTTCTCTACAGTTGCTCGATTGATCAATGTTGAGTATGGTGTTCTATGACTCGCTTGTTAAGTTGGACATGCGAAATATCTTTGCCCTAACTTGAGGGGGAGTGTTGGCAAGTCCTTACTTAATTAGGATTTGGGTTCCTTACCATGTTAGGATTTTGTTTACTTACCCATTTATTTAGTCCTATTATAATTGAGATTTATTTCCTATTGTAATTTATCGCCAACAGTTCGTTCCTTCAAGCAAAGATTTTGTGTAGATTTTCAAGAATCTTAAGATACCTCTTTGCTGCAAGTTTTCCAAATGTAGTTCACACAATATCCTTACCAACACCTACTCAGCTATACATTGATTTGAAGTAGCAAGGAGTGATCATTTTTAGTACAAGCGATTAAGGTAGAGGGACTTACAGAAAAATTCATTGGGTGTCTTGAGGTTTCAAACATCTACTCACATATGTGAAAATGGAAGAGCTCAACCAACTGAACTATACCCAACTGACGAAATGAGTGATCGTTTGGAGAACATAATAGTTCATTTTATCATCATCAAAACGAAAGCTGTGCACGAAAGGAAAATCAAAACATAGGCTCAATCCATGTATGTTTGGGTTTCCGCTGAAGTTGGGCTTGCATATTGCCAAACATAGGCTCAATCCATTACTATAATGGGCTGGCTAAGCTTTAGGAAGCAAGCGATCCAAATAATACATGTTTTTTTCCTGCCGAGTCGGTGAGCCTTCTGGGTCTTGTGATTATATGATGAACACAAATAACTCTTTCATAACAATAGTTCGATCGAGTTTGCAAATTGTTTACTGAATAAATTAATAGAACTGTTATATAATATGACAACGTTGCACCTTGGTTACTAGGCTTCACCATTGTTTTCTTGTTTTGGTTTATCATACATACTGGATATTCATTGCAATATTTTCACACCGATTAAGCAGAAAAACAAAACAGGAACACGCAAATTCTGAAACGCACACTGCCATTTGCATTTGCACCAAACAAACAACCCCCATCCATCTCTAGTTCACAAATCCAAAATAAGACACACAACCCAACAAAAAATTGATGATAACACTAGAACACTCACGCAAACCGTCACTCTCCATGCATCCAACAAGTGTCCCCTTCCCTCCACGTGTCCCCTCCACCCTCTCCTTTAAACCCTCACCCCCTCCTCTTCCCCTCACTCTCTCTCTCTGTCTCTCTCTCTCTCTCACACACACACATCCTCAACCTCACCGATCAAACCAACCCAAGCAAAACCCAGAAACCATATTAACCTCTTCATCAATGGCTGAGCAACACCCCCGCCCACAAGAACACCAAGGCTACGAGACTCAGCACCAGTACGGCCAACAACAGCAGCACCAAGGTTTCCAGTACGACGACCAACAGCAACCAAAAGGCTTTCTTCCACAAAATGGTCCCTCTGCCACGCATATTGTAGCAATGCTCACTCTTGTTCCAATCGGCGGCACTCTGCTCTTCCTTTCTGGGATCACGCTCGCTGGGACGATCCTTGGGCTCGCTGTTTCCACCCCGCTTTTTGTTATCTTCAGCCCCATTTTGGTCCCGGCAGCTTTGGTCATAGGCCTGTCCGTGGTCGGGATCTTAACCTCGGGGGCTTTTGGGATCACGGCCCTCTCGTCTTTTTCTTGGTTGGCCCGTTTTCTGAGTCGGAGTCGGATTCCGGAGAAAATGGGCCAGAAGGTGCAGGAGACTACGGGGTATTTGGGCCTAAAGGTGCAGGAGACGGCGGGCTATTTGGGCCAAAAGATGCAAGAGACTGGAGGTCAGGTGGGCCAGAAGACTAGAGAAACGGGGCAAAATGTAGATAAGTCCCAGGATGCTGGTAGGGACCAAGAGGGTGGTAGGACCAAAGAAGGTGGCAGGGGACGTGAAGGTGTTACTGTTACTATTGAGCCATGAAGAAGATGAACTGGTTCATAGATACATATTATATATAGGCCTTGGTAGCTAGTAATCTCTCTCTCTCTCCCTCTGGGTCTCTTTGTTTCTCTCTCTGCTGTCTTCTGTGTTACCTTTATAAACGTTCTGAGCAAAAGAAAAAGGAGATGTCACTGTTTCGTCAATGGTAGTTCTACGTTTGTATATGATGTAATAAAATGTTGTGCTATTTTTGTTCTGTGTTTGTTTCTTTTTCTTTTTCTTTTTCCTTTCAATTTCCAAAAATTCACACAAATTTTAGTATTTTGTAGCTCAATTGATTAAGAGCATTTAACGATACATTGGAGGTTCGTTCAATTTCCCCCCTACTTAAGATTACATTCATAAGGGGAATTTTAGATAAAGACCTTGTAACTCATAGTTGAGGTTAAGAAACACAACACTAACAGAGGCAGCTTCAGTCATCATCATCAGGTTTCAACATCAACCCCTCACAAAATTAAGAAATTTGAGGCTAAACAAGGAGAGAAAATGAAAGAGAATGGATGACCACAATCATAAGAGAGCCAGCACATGATCCGCCAATGAAACTCCATCAAGGACCAGCCAGTTTTGTTCTTTTCAGACGGAATAAACAAAGCACAAAGAATAATGACCCTTCTGTTTTTAAAAACGGATTATAATAGTCTCATGTATTCAGACTTTCTCACTCTTCAACTACTTGCAGATTTCATCTCTCTCTTATGTTTTTGTGAATAAAATTTAGCTACATGTACATATCGAACAGACAATGAGACATTGCCAATCCTCAAACAACACACTTGGATCCATAATGTTATTATAATCTTGACCTCTCTTGCCCCAATTACAAAAATCCAACAACACTATGATTTCTGTTTTTCAATTTTTTCAAAAGCAAAACCGACAAACATATAATGCCAAAAGCAGAAGCCATTCTTGCCGATCTTATTTCCTATGCCAAATGATCATCATTTCACCATGGAAATGGCTTGTTTAAACCAAAAACACCATCTCCTCTTCTTGGTTCTCTTCACCACTATCTCCTCCACTCATGTTCTCTCAGACAGTGTTGGCATAAGCTCATACCGTCTGTACCCTTTTGCTTGCTCTGATTCTGATCAAATCCAGAGCTGCAATTCCTACCTATATCACATCTCAAAAGGCCATCAAATAGAGGAAATAGCCACTTTTTACTCTGTCAATTCATCCAGCATCAAGCCTATAGTTCATGGCACCCAACACCAACAAGACTATCTTGTATCTGTGCCTTGCACTTGCAAAGACATCAAAGGCACCAAAACTTACCTCTATGACACCAGTTACCTAGTTAAACAAGGAGACACCCTTGAGAATGTTGTTAGTGAGTTTTACAGTGGGCAGGCAATGATAGTTGGAGCAGAGGAGGAGCCATTTGCTGGTGTTGGCAATATGACAACTATGCACCTTGTTTGTGGGTGTGTAGAGAAATCTTCACGGGAGGTTGTGACATACACAGTTCAAGACCATGACACTTTGATAGGAATTGAACAACTTCTATCTGCACATGAGAGTGAAATTCAGAATCTGAACATAAACTTCACTCAAACCCCAAATTTTATAGATGTTGGTTGGGTTTTGTTTGTGCCAATGGAGCTGAATGGACTTCAACCAAAAAGGCAAGGTAGAGATTTTATTGTACTATTTGCAATTCAAATCATTAAGGCAAATTTTCTGAAGTTGAAGCAGTATAAAGCTAACCAAATTTTCTTGTTCAAACCAGGAAAGAGACTCAGTTTGCCTAAAATTATAGCCATAGTGTCAGCTGTTGGTTTTCTATTTGTGGCCACATTCATCATATTCCTTCTCATCAGATACAGAAAAGGAAAGAACAGAGAAGAAGATCAAAAATCTGTTGTAAACCCAAGTGCCAAGAAAGGTTTCTCACTGAAGCAACAGTTCTTCAAAAGGCAAATGGAAGGTCAGATAAAATCTCGACTTTGATGTTAAACCATTTCAATGCGCTCACTTATATCAGTTTCTAGAAATCCTTACCGTCTCAGAAATGTGATGCAAATCTGCTTGATGCAGAAACTTTTGAGAATGAAAGACCAGTTATATATAGCATGGAGCAAATCGAGATGGCTACAAGTAACTTTGATGAAACCAGGAAGATTGGGGAGGGTGGATATGGCATCGTTTACTTGGGAATATTAGGAGAACTGGTATCATACGCAAAACCATCCTTTCATTTTTTTTAAGTCAATAAAATAACCAAAAATGTTTATATTTAATTTAATCTAGAACCATGGATGCCTTCTTTGAAAAGCAGGAAGTTGCAATTAAGAAGATGAGATCTAGCAGAACAAAGGAGTTCTTTGCTGAGCTCAAGGTTTTATGCAAGATACATCACAACAATGTGGTAAGAAGAAAAAAGTTTACAAGAATGGATCACTCTCAATGACCAAATCTTATAAAAAGAAAAAGTATGTGACCAACTCTTCTTCTCAGGTGGAGCTGCTGGGATATGCTAGTGGAAGTGACCATCTATGTTTGGTTTATGAGTTTCTACATAATGGCTCCCTCAATGACCATCTTCATGACCCATTGCTGAAAGGTACGTACCTCCTCATACCATGGATACCACATCCACATCCCTCTTTATTTTGAACATTTAGACAATTGGGTTTGTTTGTTTTTCTTTTAGGTTCTCAAACACTAGTGGTTACCTGCAGGAAACCAACCTCTTTCATGGACAGCAAGAGCACAAATAGCACTGGATACAGCAAGAGGAATTGAATACATTCATGACCACACGAAGGCGCGCTATGTGCACCGGGATATAAAAACCAGTAACATTCTACTTGATCAAGGACTCAGAGCAAAGGTACACTTTCACAATTGCAATGCGTATTTTGCATTTTTGCTGTGGTCAATCAAATAAACCATTCATATTTCTTAGGAGATTGCTGTTTACACACACAGGTTGCAGATTTTGGCCTAGCAAGGTTAGTAGAGCGGTCAAGCGAAGAAGATACGGTAGCGACACGCGTGGTTGGAACACCCGGTTACATTCCTCCGGAGTAAGTAAAACATTATGCATTGCATTATTAATTTTCTTGAGTACTTGTCAAGCAACATAAAAGTTGGATTGGTTTTTATTAAGCTTATGAACTTACCATAATCCACTACTTTTTGTTTTCTTCTGCAAGATCTGTTCGTGAGCTACAAATGACATCAAAAACTGATGTTTATGCATTCGGAGTGGTGGTAGCAGAGCTAATAACTGGTCAGCGTGCGATTGTTCGTGACAACAGAGAACCAAAAAGAATGAAGTCACTCAGCTCAGTTGTAAGTTCAATTCTCAATTAAATAACAAACCTATGTTGCAAGTTGCAAGTAACTAAAGTTAGAAACATTTTCTCTCTGAATTGTTATGCAGCTATACGCGGTGTTCCAAGAAAAAGATCCAGAAGCTGCATTGGAAGCTAAAGTAGATGGTAACATGAAAGGAAGCTACCCTATCGAAGCAGTGTACAAGGTTTGTTCAACTAAAATTTTAGTTTTGGCATAGCATTATGTATGATAATAATAATATTATTATGATTATGATATGTGGTTAATAATTATTTGAAGCACTTGGCAGATGGCAGAAATAGCAAGGCGGTGTTCGAGTGAAGATCCAGTAGATAGACCAGAGATGAGAGACATTGTCCAAACGCTCTCCCAAATATTGGTGTGCTCAATAGAATGGGAAGCATCACTTGGAGGGAAGAGCCAAGTCTTCAGTGGGTTAATTATGAGTGGAAGATAAAAAAGAAGAAAAAAAATTGAAGAATAAACAAGATGTGTGAAAATCCCTTATGTTCAACATCCCCAATATCTTTGTACTGATGTATGCAATTATCATATTTTTTAGGTCCAAAAACGAGAAATGTATATGCGCCAACAAGCACAAAGAATTTTTGTTAGAGTGGGTGGCAATAACACACCACTATTGAAAGGATTGATAATATACTAAACTCACACACACAATACGGATGCTAGGACTCGAACCTAAAACCTTACCTAGGTAAGCAATTACTCCAAACCACTATAGTTATAATTTTAAAAAGAAGACATATTATAGCACAACCTTTTATAAAAGAAACCCTAGGTTTTTTTTCACATCACAGAGTTTTTGTATATTGTAGTTGTCATGGTTTATTTATTTATTTTTATGATGGTGTTACTTCTTCTTATAAACATAAAAATAAAAGGCCAAAAACAAAAAATACGCAGAATTTCACAAGTTCTATATAAGCCCACTAAAGGAGCTCAAAAAATGCTAAATTGGGCAAGAGAAACCAACCCAAGTTTTATTGGGCTCTAAACGTGGTCGTTTAACAGGACTGAAATCTAAAATATTTACTGGGCAAGTTTAGCAACCCATTATTTGGCGACACTTGCCTCCACCAGGACAAAAGCAATTTCACCTCCTATTCATCAAAAACAGCTCAAATTTGCCTGAACATTTTTGCCCATTTCATATGGTTTTAAGATATGAAAGTATGACATAGAATTCAAAAGCAGAGCGAGAAAAAGGTTTGATCTTTGTGGGGAGGTGACTGCTGGGTCGGATCCAAAACTATCGATCTTCAATCCCAATGGCCGGCGCCGCCTCGGCGCTCTTTTTGTTAGACATCAAAGGGCGAGTGTTGATTTGGCGCGACTACCGTGGTGATGTCTCTGCTGCTCAGGCCGAGCGCTTCTTCACCAAGTTCATTGAAAAAGAGGTAATCTTTCTTTCTCATTTTTGCTTGCCAGCCTCAACAGGAAGACCGTAAAGTATGTGATAATATATATATTCAGCTTTGATCACCATGAAGCCTGCATCAATTTCTCAATTAGAACGATCAAGTTTGGAAATTTCTGGGTAAAATTTAAGCTTTGCATTTGTGGGAATTTTGATCTTCTTCTTCAGGTCGATCCTTACTCCCAAGATCCAGTGGTTTACGACAATGGAGTCAGCTACATGTTCATACAGCACAACAATGTCTACTTGATGATTGCCTCGAGGCAGAACTGCAATGCTGCTAGCTTGCTGCTCTTTCTGCATCGTGTAATTGATGTACGAACTCTTCAACTGTGGCCATTTTTTTGACTTGTATTTGTCTTAAATGGCATAATGGCATTGCCATTCACCATCCGTTGTTACCCATGTGAGGTTTTCATACATTTCAATGCGTTTTGTTTATGTGTTCAGGTATTTAAGCACTATTTTGAAGAGCTAGAAGAGGAATCACTAAGGGACAACTTTGTCGTAGTGGTAATTGACTTGTAAGGTCTTTTGTAGATAGAACTAGAAACCAAGTTTTGATGGGGTTGTACTGACAATGCTTTGTGATTTCGGCAGTACGAGTTACTTGATGAAATTATGGACTTTGGTTTTCCGCAATTCACTGAAGCAAAGATTCTTAGTGAGTTCATCAAGACTGATGCCTACAGGATGGAGGTGACACAGCGTCCTCCCATGGCTGTCACAAATGCAGTGTCTTGGCGCAGCGAAGGGATACGATACAAGAAGAATGAAGTAGGTTGATCCTCTCTTCATGTTTAATCTTGGATGAATTAAATTACGTGTGAACCATCATTGACTCTGTTCATTTTATATCAGGTCTTTTTGGATGTGGTGGAAAGTGTCAATATACTTGTCAACAGCAATGGACAAATAATACGGTCAGATGTTGTGGGGGCCCTAAAGATGAGAACGTATTTGAGGTGCATAACTTCTCTTCTTCTTCAGTTTAGTATTATGGCAAAAAAATCTAGAAAGTAGCAACTGCATTTGCTACGAAGGCAAACTACCTGCCAAATTAAAATTTGTTTGGCCAACCCTATGGTTAATTATTAGGATTTTGAAAATTCAACTCCGGCATGATTATTAGCACGTTCATCTCTGAGTTAGTCACCTGACAGTGACACTGATCAACCAACATCCCACCTGATTATAAGGCTTTAGTGATGTTAACTTGAGCTTGGAAAATGAATATAAATTAAGAGTATCCTAAAATTTGTAAATATAATTGGATTTCATCCTTGGATGGTTTGAAGTTTACTCTTTTATTGATATAAGTAACTTCATGTTAGACACTGGCCTGGTAAACTTGCTTCATTTGTTGTAGTGGTATGCCTGAGTGTAAGCTTGGACTGAATGATCGAGTGCTGCTGGAGGCGCAAGGTCGAACAACGAAAGGGAAAGCCATCGATCTGGATGATATCAAGTTCCATCAGTATGTTGCCTTATATAGCTAATTCAAATCTGTGCTGCTTCATATGCTAATAACCCTTTTGATTTACTTTAATTTTTCCCCACCCTGTAGGTGTGTACGTTTGGCTCGATTCGAGAATGACCGAACTATATCCTTCATACCCCCTGATGGAGCATTTGATCTGATGACATACAGACTCAGTACTCAGGTTCATTTTGTTTTATGCACTCTAAATAGTTACTTATGTCACCCATGTTTATATATTCTTGTTTTGTTTATTCTTTGGTAACCAATGGAAGCATAAGTGAGCTCCAACCTTGATTCGCATTTAAATTTGTCTTCTCAATGGTTTCAGGTAAAGCCTCTTATCTGGGTGGAAGCACAAGTTGAAAAGCATTCTAGAAGTCGTATTGAAATCACAGTAAAAGCAAGGAGCCAGTATAAGGAGCGCAGGTAATAGCAGTGATACATGTTCTGTAGTGTAAAAAGTCAGTTGAATGATTTCTATAGCTTGCAACAGTTGCTTACTGCAACAGTTTACAACTTTTCACTCGATTTCCATTATCAGAATTTCTTACTGTAAGCTCCGGTTACTTGGTACAGCACGGCTACAAATGTCGAAATTCATTTGCCTGTGCCTGCCGATGCTACAAATCCTAATGTCCGGACATCAATGGGATCTGCTGCATATGCTCCAGAGAGTGATGCTTTAGTCTGGAAAATTAAATCTTTTCCTGGTAATAAGGTAGGAAGCTTTCTCTTGCCATTAAGTATATTATCAATTGCAAAGACCTCGCAAAGATATTTTTGACCTTGTATTAAATTGCACAGGAGTACATGTTGAGGGCTGAGTTTAGGCTTCCTAGTATAACTTCTGAAGAAGCAGTTCCTGAAAGAAAAGCTCCTATTCGTGTGAAGTTTGAAATCCCGTATTTCACCGTCTCAGGGATTCAGGTACGCTACATGCATCATTATTTTCTCAATTGGGCTGATGCTGTGATTGGTTCAACTTCAAACTAATCTGGCTATCTGGTATTTGGATTTTGTAGGTCCGATACCTAAAAATCATTGAGAAAAGTGGATACCAGGCTCTTCCATGGGTGAGATACATAACAATGGCGGGCGAATATGAACTGAGACTAATGTAAAGGCAACTCACAAGTCTTGCAGCTTTCAATCAAGTAAATAGAATACATGCTCGGGGAATTTTCTTTCTATACTGCTGCCATTACGAGCAAACTGTCTCCAGTGATCTTTTGCAATGGCTGCCACACAAGTTTATTCAATCAATTTTGTGTGTGTTTTACTTTTTCTTTTTGGTTATAATCAACAGCAGCGTATTTTATTTCAGACCCAAACTTGGTTTGTGAAAGTAGGTTATAGGTAATGGTGAATACCAAGTGCATGGCTCAGTACTTTATTGTTGTCACGCTTGAATTATACATGATAAACACTTTTCTAATTATAAATGAAAATCTTTTATTTACTTTCGTGTGAAGCTGTATGCATCTTTGTATGACCAGTACTGTTGGATATGCATTTGCTGAAATTTCACCATCGCAGAAGCATACATCGTAGTTTATGAGCCAAGTTTTAAGTTGCGAAGGAGAGAGAGAGAGTCTGTGTTTCAAATTTCAATAGTAAATTTGTAATTGACAAAACCGAATTGATAGAATTGTAATAGTCAGATTGTACAAATATCCAGGTCAATGCTTTAGCACATCATAACAGTAACAGCTACAGAACTCCCAAGGTACAAGAGGAAATCTCGCACAGGCTCAAACCTGTTCAGAAAACTGATACTCGATGCAAGCCACCAGCCCTCAGAAAACATTTAGAACACACCCTGTAACATGCCTGCTCAAAACAAGAAAGAAAAATATTAGGTTAGCTTCCAAGGAAGAAGAGAATGACCAATCAAAATGCAACAAGAAAAGGTGTAATTTGGTGAATGGAAGTGATGACTTCTTAAATTCTTTAAAGTAGATACTAGAAACAGCGAGATATCTTACAACACGGACGATGGTAATACAAGCATATGTCAATCAATTTTTCCAATTGGATTGAGAAATAAAATCAGGCAAAACTGTAGATCTAAACAGGCAAATGACTAATTAAATGACAAGAATTTTCCAAGAACCCAAAGATTAAATGACTAATTAAGTGAATCCCAAAATTGTTGTGTTTGAATGACTGATACAACTGCAATTCAATAATGACATCATTTTGGAATTGTACAGTTTCATCATAGAAAGAATTCATAAGGTTGCCTATGGGAAGGCTTGTGACACACGGAAGACTAAAAGGCATACCCCAAATATGATTAGTCCTACTGAAAAAGTTAGTCCAAATATTTCAATCAAAAACCTCAGAAACATCACTTATCAATCAGCCTTAAACTAAATATAGAACTGCTGGTCTAACATTGAACTCAGATAGGATATTTTTTTCAGTAAACCAAACAAATTGAAGTTCAGATATTGTTAACTTGTCAACCCCTTTATGATATAGTTCTTGCCAAAAGCGCCATCTGTGTCAACTCTCTGAACATTGAAAAACAATAAAATCTACCAGTTTCACTCAAAAATGTCAGAAACATGGTAAAGAAGGAAGTTTGGATGCACAAGATACCTTCCTGCATATCTACAATGAGCTTTTGGTTTCAAATTTTAAGTTTTAATGATTGGGGTTGTAGAGGAAGAGATCTCCAACAAAACCAAGGATATACAGATTCTATTTCAATAAGAGAAATGGCAAAACACCATTGAATTATAAGCAACATTGCCGCAAACATATGACAGGGCAAAGCATTCAGAATTGACTCAAACAAATAAGGTAAAGAAAAACATACCAATCACTGCTGCTGCTGATTTTGTTGCTGGTTCTGAGGTGGAGGTGGCATTCCAGGACGAGGGGGTCCAAACACAGGAACTTGACCACCAGGTGGAGGCGGCATCCCAGGACGATGCGGTGGTGGACCAGGCATGCCGGGTCGAGGCGGAGGAGGTGGGCCCCTCATCATCTGCCCAGGCGGCGGAGGACCCATCGGCCTCTGCCCAAACTGCATCTGAGGTGGGCCCTGGAATTGCGGAGGTGGGCCACCAGGCCTCGGAAACTGCGGAGGCGGCACACCAGGCGGTGGACCCCGCGCCATCTGCGGTGGGCCCTGACCGGGATATCCAGGCATCTGCCCAGGCGGACGAATCACCGGAGCAGCCGGGTACGACATAGGCGGCGCAGAGAGGTTCGGGACAGGAGGGCGTGAAATCTGCGGCTGCATCATGCCAGGGGCGGGCCCACCCACGCCGCGAACCGGGCCGGAGAGTCCGGGCTGTGCCTGGGCCAATGGAGCAGTGGGGATACCTCGACCGGCGGCCCGGCCCAAACCGGGGCCAGCCAAAGCGGCGGCGCTGGCAGCCTTGGCACGTGACTCTTCCTGAGGAGGCGGTCCCTCGACGGTCATGGAGATCACCTCTTCGCCGCGGAGGAGGACGAGGCCTAGGGTTCGACGGTCGTCGCGTTCCTCGTTGCTCTTCTTGCCCTTCAATGGAGGGAGCTTGCGAAACTCCTCGCAGTCGCCGAGGACGAGGTTCATGTGGCGATCGAAGGCCATGAACTTGCCGACGAGCTGCCGACCGTCTTGGATCGTCACTCGCATTCGGTAGTTTATGAATTGCAGCATCTTGGAGCTCTTCGACATCGACATTGTGATGGGCTCCGCAGTCCTCCGCGCCCAAGGCTTGGGGGTTTTTGGACACTGAAGAAGAGACGATTGAAAACCCTAGGGTTTTGGATTGACGCAAATCAAATTCGGGATTGTCTCTAAACTCTGTTCTATTTTTTCACATTAAAAATAAATATAAATAAATAAATAAAAACTAAAACTAAATAGATGTGTATATATCATATTGGGCTTGATGACGCTTTGTGGGCTTATTATAGTATGACGTGGATGATTGGGGAATTCAATTCAATTGAGCTTCGCTTGGATTTATAAACTTAAGGAAAGTTTTAATCCAATTAGGAATTATTTTATTTCGTGTATATTTACTTACTTTGGTTGAATTATAACTTCTTCTTTTTTCCGTTTTCAATTTAAAAGACTTACTTCATTGTAGATATAACGTGAGACAAGTGAAAAGCCGTTTTTCTACATGAGTTTTATGACTAAAATGGTATATAAACAAGTCCGGTTTTTCTTTTGCTAATCTACTTTTGGATCTTTAACAAGTTGCTAGTCTATTTATCACTCTTTGAAATTATCTAGATTAAGTCCCGCGAAGTCACATACGTTTCATAAGCTGTTACGATTAGCTAATTTCTATAAATTAACTTTTACTTTGTGATATCCGTAATCTCAAGTGTAACTTATAAACGAATTGTCTATACATATGTGATATCTGCAATTTCAAATGAAGACTGGTGAACGATTTGTTTGTAGTTGAACAAACTTTGATTTGACCATCAAATTTGTCGCTCTACTTTAACTTCTCATCTTCGTCAAACTTTAACTATGTTATACAAGTTTTATGATATAACTTTATCATCCAAATTTCTTACAATTGTTTTTCCTTTAAAAAAAATTATTTATAAGTTTTAGTGGCATAAAACCATAACCCTCCGTTTGGATGAGGGAAAATAACTCTGAATTTAGCTAAAAGTCATAAATTTAAGAGAAGAAATTGACAATTCCCATATTTGGCAACTTAAGTGCGGAATTTATTAAATGACGCGGGGAAAAAATCATGAAAATTGAGGCATCAAATTCCCGAGTTTAATTTTCACAAAAATAGACGTCATTTCACAATTTCCATAGTGCGGGAATTCATATTTTCTAGTGTGCCAAAACTTACAACAACAACGATAACAACAAAAACAAAAAAACAAAAAAAAAAACAGCGCCAAAAACCTATGAAACCCTGGACAACAAATTGCCTTGTCGCTTTATAAACAAAAACTGAGAGCCAGAGAAGAATGAGCATCATAAAAAAGCTGTGAACCAGAGAAGCAAGGAGAAGAAGTTCTTCTTGGGTTACACATCTCTCTGGATCAAGTTTGAAGGTTAGTCTTCAAGCCTTTCTCTCCTTCTCTACTTCTCTCCTTCAATTTATATTTTTCTAGTTTAGGGTTAACTTCAACTATAGGCGTAAGTCCTTGATTTCTACCCCCAGAGCCAGTATATACTTCTGTCCTTGATTACTAAGTTTATCGATTTTTGTCTTCTCTACTTTCTATATCGTTTCCTTGCTCTGTAGTTGTTAATTCACACATATAAACAAGCAAGGGCTAAAGTCATGAATGAATTTGGAGGAAAAGAGGCTTGCAAAGGAAAGTCAAGAAAAAGGAAAGACAAACAAGGAGTTGAACCTGAAGGAGAAGACAAAAACTATTTTCGGTGGAATATAGCTATGGAACGTGAATTAGCTAATATACTTCGCGAGGAGCGTAGCTTAGGTCACAAAGGAGATGGTGGATGGAAGGCAATTGCTTACAATACTGCTGCAAATATATTAGCTGCACAATTTAATCTCCAGATAAGTGCTGATAATATTAGAAATCGTGTTAAGTCATGGAAAAAGTTCTATGGAGTAGTGAGTGATATATTAAGTCAAAGTGGATTCAGTTGGGATTCAACAAAAAAGATGATAAGTGTAGATGAAGATCATGTTTGGGAAGAATATGTGAAGGTAAATATATATATATATATTAATCATGTGCTTCTTCTTTTTTCTTTTTGTTGTTAAATAGTACTTATAAGATTCTTATTTGACTTTGATTATTTGTTTGGTAGTCGCATGACGATGCTATAGGTTTTCGATTTAAAGTTATAGAAAATTGGGATGATATAGTAGATTTGTGTGGCAAAGATAGAGCCACTGGAGAGGGCGCTGAAACAGGTGCAGATGCAACTGAGGTTATGACTCCTACTAATGAAGTTGATCATGTTGATTTCGATGGTGATACACAAGATTTAGAATATATTCATGTTATTGATGATATTTCACCAACCTCAACAAATGGTCAAAAGAGAAGAAATTGTGCATCAAATTCTTATGATATTCTTCCTACAAAGAAAAGAGGTGCTGTCAAAGATGTTATTGCTGATTCGATTGCTAGAATGGCTTTATCATTTGAAGAGTTTATTCGTGCTGATACTAAGAACCTTGATCCAGCAGAGGTATATGCTGAAGTACAAGCAGTACTAGGTCTTAGTGAAAATGAACAACTCAAAGCATGTGCTTGGCTGATAGAAAATGACAAACAATTTCAGATGTTGAAGGTACTCCCAATTGAGAAAAAAAAGGAGTATGTTGCTGATGTTTATTGCACGTGGGGAGTGATTTGGTTTGCTATTATGCTTTGTTTGTTTAAGTTGAGTTATTTAGTTCATCAATGATATGTTATTTTATACTTCGAGAAATACCTTCTATGTCGGTTATTAGTTTTTTTGTTCTTTCGAAATATTTAATTTCTGTCATTTATAATTTACATGAGTTATCCAAACATTGAAATTTTCAATTTCGGTCATTTACAAAATTCCACATATATAAATCCAAACACTGAAATCTTCAATTGCCAGAAATTGAAATGATGGAAATCTAAATTCCGTCATTTTAAAATTCCATGTAATTTTCAATTCCTTCATCCAAACGGAGCATAACAATTGTGTCATATACCTTTCAATTATCTTTCAAATTTGTAATTAATACATGCATTTTCTTGGTATATTTTCATAAAATTAGGAAAGGATATTTCCTTCGTTAACAAATTTCAGTCTCCTTATTGGTTTTATCGCTCAACTTTAATTTAATTATTATTATCTATTTATCCATTTCTTAAATTATCTAGAATATTCAGTCACATGAAATGGCATGAAAAGAAATACACGTTTCATTAGCCGTTTCGATTAGCTTTCAATTTATGTAACGTTTACTCTCCATAATTTCATGTGTTACCGATGAACGAATTATCTATACATATGTGGTTTCTACAACTCCACATAAAAACCATTGAACCATTTTTCTGTAGTTGAACAAACTTTTGATTCGACCATCAATTTTGGTGCCCAATTTTAACTTCTCATCGGTTTCTTGGCTACACTTTAACCATGTTATACGTTTTATTTATGATCAAACTTTACCCTCGAAGTTTCTTACTATTGTTTTTTGTTTTCAAAAATATATTTATAAGTTTGAATCTGGGATAAAATTCCGTGAAATCATAAGACCTGTGTCATATACCGTTCAATTATCTTCTTCTTCTTTTTTATAATTAATGTATGCATTTTCTTGATACATTTACATAAAATTACGGAATGATTCTTCTTTAGTTCAACAAATTTTAATATTCTCATCGGTTGTATTCCTCAACTTTAATTTCACCATAATTTTATATTTATCATTTTTATATTTAAATTAGGTTGAAATATTCGGTCACGTGAAATGTCATGAAAAGAAATACACGTTGCAAAGCCGTTTCAATTAGCTTTCAATTTTTCTAAATTTATTATGCCATCTCCGTGATTTCAGATATAACTGACGATGGGTTTGTCTATACATCAACAAACCGGTGAAGGATTTGTCTTTAGTTGAACAAACTTTGATTCCACCTTTGTTTCTATGGCCCAAGTTTTCCATAAATACCTCTCTAACCTCATGTTCAAATACATGAAGTAACTCGTATACTGATCGTATTTTCTTCCTTTGGGCATGGTTACCACTTCAGCACTTGAGAGTCATTTTTGGGGTTTTAGTGGGAGGAAGATGAGGGAAAGAGAGGGAGGGGAAAACAAAAAGAGAGAGGAGAACTTGAGAGAGTCAGCCGAAGAAACTTATTCGGTTGTAGAAATGTGTGGCATGGGAGAAATCGGGGCAAGGGGAATGCTCTGCCATTGCAGAGCATGTAAGGAGCTGTGACCTCCTCCATTGGACGCAAGGTGAACATTTATTTCCTTCTTTGATTTTTTTTCCTGCTAAAATGCAAGTTGGTCTCTTTAGTTTGCTAGAGAAATATAAGCACATCCTCATGAGTTTTCATTGTGCAGTGAGAAAGAAAGTGGGATGGTTGGATTTGGAGTCTCGTAAATTTCATTGAAAATTTTGTATCATATAAAGAAGATGAATACAAACTACACTACTTTCCATTACTACTCCTACATATGAACCACTAACATGACACTCCCGCTCTCCTTCCTCAGCTGCAGGTCCACAGCCAGCCCGGGCCCTAAGATTTAACCTGAGAAGGAAGGATCGATCCGCTGTGTCATGTCTGGATCGAAGCCAGTCGCTTCAAAAACAAGTTGAAGTTATGGTCCCGATCCAACATGCTCACGCGGATGTACTTTGGACCAACTCCAAAGCTCCTTCCTCCTCGGGTTAAAATCTTATGATCTCTGAGTAAGCTTTCGCAATCTTCCACGCTTTCGTCTTCACATTTGAGCCATGCGAAAGCTGCAACAGAGGTAAACAGCAATGTCAATTTCAACTGCTTCCTATGCGTTACATAGATAGTTATATAAATGGCAACTCTTGATTAATGGTTCGGTGAATTTTTGCTTACCAGGTTGAGGCTGCGAGACCTGGTTGAGGAACTGGCAGAACCCTTGCTGGAATTCAGGCAGACTAAAAAATCTGCCCCTGTTCACCGCCTCTCTAAGAAGCTGCCACCTCTCTGCCATGAGGTGATGGCTGATCTTAAAGAAAGATTCACCGGACTCCGGCCTGCCAGGGTTTTGGGAGGAGTTGATGATCACCTCCAAAATCCTAGCTGCTCGGAGCTGCGAATCCCGGGACACGCCTATGGTGCTGAGCTCTATGAACTTGATCATCTTTTTGGCAACTTCTGGATCTTTGACAAGAGCCCAGCTGCAACACGGAAGGAGAAAGTATCAAATGAGTGCTCAAAACAAAAGACCAGAACATGTAAAAGAAATTATCAAAGCTCGGAGAGCTTACCCAATGCGTGTCCCGGCATGCCCGGTGGATTTCGAGACGGTGAACAAAGTCAGATCATGGTCAGTGGCCGACGAAATGGGGGTATATTGTGGCCAGTAGTAGGCCAAGTCATGAACCAATATACCTCCAGTTCGGTTGACCATGGAGTGCCTGACAAATCCATCAGGGTTGTTGGGGGAGGTCACTAGCTCTATGTACGGCCCCTCTTTGTCGAAGCTCCGGGCATCCCCTGCCCATTTGTACAAACCCGACTTGAGGTAGTCAGTCATAGAGGGGTAAGACTGCAAAGAGATCATTAAAACAAAAACCCACTGTTAATCAATGTATCTCAGAAAAAGTTTACATAGCTAGCAGCAAATAAAAATTCAATGCATCTTTTACTTATTTCATATGTTATGTCACGCGTGATAACTTTTTCAAGTAACATTTCATAATCGTTCGGAATAACAAAACAATCATATTCCCGTTCTATATAAATTTGTCTGGTCCAATTAAGGCACATGCATGAACAGGGAGGGGGGCAAAAGAGGAAGTGAAAATTAAGGAGAAAAAAATAATTGAGATTCCAACATCAAGTTTCAGAGTCAAGGCAGGCGAATTAAAATGACATATTATTAAATGATTTTACCCTTGTTCTTCGGGGGGAAAAGGATACTGTTTCACACAAATATCTTACTTAGCAAGCAAATTTTTTAATTGAAGTGGGCGCCATTGACAAAAAGCAAGTCCACCATGCAAAGTGATCACATTAAAAACAGTTAATTATAATAATAATAAAAACACTGATGCATTTGACTTTGCTAGGATTTGCCGGAAAGTAACAAGTACATGAGTGACATTCTTTAACAAATAAACAAATCAAACTTTCAAACAGAATCAAACACAAATTTTTACTCACGGAATAGAAAGGGGCTGCAGAAATCACACTTATGGGCTCAGATGCATCTTTTGGAGCCAGAGCATAGAGGGCAGCTAAGAAGAGCTGAGATGAGCCTGTGCCAACCACAATTTGACGACCTTCCGTGACAGCATTGCCCACCAGATTGTGCAGCCTCACAACCTGCTTGGCAAACTCTGGCTCCAAAAACCAGCAAGGGTTTTTCACATCTGAGAAATAGCTCATTGACTGCCATCCAGGGATCACAACTGTGGTCTTTTCACCCATCTGCTGCCAGTAACTTTCGTACATAGTTGGGTCTCCACTGCATTAAAAAAAAAGCAAGTGACATGTTAAACACATGGTCGAAAGAAGATGTATGATTCTTTGAAAGCTTTCAAAAGGGTCAAAAAAAACTAAAGCAATTCTGAGAAAAAAGTGAAGGTGAAACGAAAAAAAATGAAAACTGTCACAGCAAGGAGATTCTAAAATGCATGGAGCCATGGAGGTATGGAGAAGGAAGAAAATGGGGTGGGACCCCATCATCAACAGATCAATGATTAGATGGATGCATATCTAACATCAGATCAGTCCTGAGTATGTGTCAATTGGTAGAAACAAACCTAAGAATGTGAGAAGGGTTAAATCTTAGAGGACCCCACAAGAGTGGTAGATCCAGACAATCTCAGTATGAGACTCTGAATAAAAAAGGCCATAAAAAGCTAATTTACAACTTGGGCGGCCAAAAGGTTAAAAGATCTGGGGCAACCCACGGCGCACTTCAGTCTTTTTACACTTCCCCAAAGCCAAAAAAGAAGAAAAAAACATGCACATAGGGGTCTTCAACTTTAGCAACTTTACTGTAAATCTAATTTAATTTAATATAATTTTCTTTTCAGCAGTTTGAGGTCCACAAATATGTGTGACATAATGATGTTGGTCAAATGTCAAATAGCACCACCCACGGTGCACGTTAGACTCAGTTGCTGGAGAACAGGAACCAAACAAAAACCAGACATTAAGTACAAAAGGGTTGCCCAACTCTAACATGCACCATGGAAAATCTCAACCAAATCAAGATGGCCTCCTCTACCTCTGGGGCCTGCCTTTCTATGTCCTAGCTAGTAGCTACCGCCATAGCCAGCACAGTAAACAGTGAACAAATTAAGCTGAAAATGCAGAAAGAAAAGCAAGAAATATAAAAAAAAAAAGGTTTTTTTTGCAAATATCACTGACGTCAAGTAGGTTTCTGACACTTTAGATTTGATATGCCATCACTAATGGCCTGACACTTCCCCACGCCATGCTTTTATTTTTTGCATTATAAAAGGACAATTTTACCCCCGACTTTGAACTATTCACTTTGACCAAAACTTGGAATGTGCTCAAAGAAAATCTTAATGGCTCAACTTTTTTAACTCAAAAACAAAAAAAAAAAAAAAAAAAAAAAAAAAAAAAAAAAAAAAGGGGCATCAAAAAAAAAAAACATTACATTTTTTTAAATAAAAAAAAAAAAAAAAAAAAAAATCTAAAACAACTCAACTGGAGGTTAGTGAAGCTTGAAGCAATCTCAGTTGAGGTGTTAGATGATTATAATTGAAAAGGACCAAAAGAAAAGAACAAGTCTTTGCACACTTACTGGTCGAGGTTGATGAGTTTCTCCCCGTCATCTTGACCAGAAGAAGACAATGACACAAGGGTCCTCTGAGTTGCGTGAGCTGCCTTCTCAAGCCCACTGTCGGCCTTCCGCGCAGATAACCCATGAGGGCCATGCTTCTCGCCCTCATAAAAAACCCTCATAATCAAGCTCAGATTAAGAGCCAGAGACAGAAAAAACAAGTTTCTCATTGTGAAAATGCTCAGAAGTTGACCATTCTTCTTCTTTTTTTTTTTTTTTTGAAAACAAGAACGAAAAGGAAACAGAGTATTGAAAACGGAGTGCTGAAGAGAAAACAGTATTGAAAACAGAGCGCTGAAGAGAAAACAGTATTGAAAACAGAGCGCTGAAGAGAAGAGAGTATTGAAAACAGAGTGCTGAAGAGAAGAGAGTGAGCTCAAGTGTGCTTAGTGATTGCTTCAGTGAGTGAATGTGACGAACTCAAACACCCGAGGCCGGTTTTATAGCAGAACCCAGAAGATGAAAACAAAGTTCATGTGACAGATGGACGGTAAAGAGGCGAGTTTAACGCATACAATTCCGGATTGTCAGGCTTACGGTTCAAATTGACTGAAACGGATAAATTCAATCCTGACAAAAGCTTTGAAACTGTTGGTTGGCAGAAAGATTTAAATAAAAAAAAAGAAAAACAAAGAGACGGTTTTGAAGATTTGGAAGGACTCTCAGATTCCCGGGGTTTCTAGAGCTCTGTTTCTAACTTTCATGAAATTCAAAGCTCTGTTTTGGGATTGAGAGGAACGCCAAAATGAAAATGAAGCAAAATTGATGAAGTGGGTAGGTGTCAAAAATGCCAAGGGAGGGTATGGAGCACACTTGAAGATACTTCCGTCCGGAGCTGTTCTCAGGAAACAAAAAAATCCCAATACGATTTTCCAAGAAAATCGCGGCTTTCCGACGCTAGATCTCGAAAAGAATAAAAACCTAATAAGAGTAGTGTATTTAAATATATGGCAGGTATATAGATGCACGGATTACTACATGCTCTGTCTCCGTCTTCCGTTTGCCTTTTGGCCCTGTTTTCTATTTCCTATTTTTATTTATATGTTTTTAAATTTGATGCTTTTGAATCTATTTTAGTTAATAAAAATGGTGTTTTTGAGTTGTAAACAATTTGGAGTTTTGATTTGGACTGGGAACGGGAGGAGGAAGAGATAGTGACCACTCAGAGACAGAGGAAATTTGGTCACACTTTTGTCCATTTGGGTTTTTGGCTAATCTCCATTTGAAAGTGAAACTTTCTGTTTGCGTGCTTCTTTTTCTTCTTGTTTTTTCTTGGTTAGGCTTTATCTTCTTAAATGGGGTGTTGTGTTTGTATCTATTGATCATGTTTTTGTTGTTTCATTTAAAAAAAAAGGTTTAGGCTCTAATTAAAATTTGGTAGCTCTATGTCTCAATGAACAGATTGCATAAACTATGATTAGTTATCTGTTAAGACTCTTTTATTAGTATATTATATAGCATACCCTTGCTAAAGCATTATTGTATTCCCAAAATTTATACTATAAAGAGAATTTTCTATGCACATGTCCATCGTTTTTTACGAAACATGAAAAGAAAAGTTATCTTACAGTCGTATTATGTTTTTTAATCATTGATGTATTCTAAAATCTAACAAAAAATTTATTTTTCATCATTTATGATGTATATATGTGGCGGCTAATAACGATTTTTAACCTTTTATTTGTCTATACTTAATTTATAAACGACAACAATATAATACAATCTTTAGCATTTACGGTTATATTCAAGTTTGGTCACGACATTATCTATAACGGACTATAGCAAATCCTAACGGTTTTCTCTTTGTCTACAACCAAATTATATAAATAAAAAATAAAAAATACAACTTAATGTATTTGGCGTTTTTTTTTTTGTAATGAATCATAACCGATTTATAGATGTTTGTTCGGTCATATTATGTTTTCTAATCATTGATGTATTCTAAATCTAACAAAAAATTAGTATTCGTCAATGATGATGTATTTGTGTGGCGGCTAACAACAATTTTTAACCGTTTATTTGTCCATGCCTAATTTATAAACGACAACAATATAACGCAGTCATTAGCGTTAGCGGTTTTAAGTTTGGTCACAACATTATCTATAAAGGACTATAGCAAATCCTAACGGTTTTCTTTTTGTCTCTACAACCAAATTATATAAATAAAATTTACAATATAATATATTTGGCCTCTCTCTTTTTTGTTTGGTAATGAATCATAACTGATTTTTAGATGTTTGTTTGTGCGTCAAAAGTATGTGCAGAACCTCATGACATGCTTACGACTCAAATTCAAAATGAACACGAATTGAAATCAAACAATCTTGTTAAATTATTAAATATTTGTTTTTGTCAGATTTCGTGGAATATGACGCTGCAATAGAAATTGGAAGTTATGATGGCAGACAATTGACTAAGAAAAACTAAACAATACACAAACCCACCTGAAAATAGATTAGGAGAAAAATGCATAAACAAGCTCATAAGAAGAATAGTACCAAACTGACAAAGTTTGCAAGAAATTGACACAAACATCATCTGAAAAATAGATTGGAACAAAAATGCATAAACAAGCTTAAAGAAGAAAGAAGAATAGTACCAAACTAACAAACGTTTGCAAGAAAATAACACAAACTCATCTGAAAAATAGATTGGAAGGAAGAAAAGCATAAAAAAAGAATAATACAAGAAAAAAAAAAAAAAAAAAAAAAAAAAAAAAAAAAAAAAAAAAAAAAAAAAAGAAAAAGAAAAAAAGACACAACTCAAACTAACACCTGAAAGTTCGTTGACCAAACTTTGCGCAATGGCGTCACACATGAATCATGATTATTATGGCAAAAGAAACTCAATAAGGAAATGACATGAACTCACTTGAAGAAAATAGCTTAGAAGAAGCCAAAAACAAAAAGCTTATCATGAACAAAATTTTGCTAGAAAACGGCACGATGTCGCCTAAAAATTGCTTGACTAGGCAAATGGTATTATTAAAAAGTAATAATTAAGAGTATTTTTGGGATGATATATTGATTGTGATAGAGTGGTCCTAACATAAATTTTAATTTTCACGGTAGAAATAAACACTAAAATCATATAGAATGCGACATTCATGTCATTTTCGTTACAGGTAAATAAACATGTTATTTTAAAAAATCTATCAATTGAAAAATAAAAAAGAGAGATTTCCTTACGACTCTAAAAGTTAAAACTTTATGAAGAAGTATAGTGGATTAAAGTCTTAATGATTACATGGGAAAAATAGACGGTTACAAAATTGTTAGGAAGCCGATGAAACTTGAACGGCATGCACAAGACCTAACCTAACCCACCGGGGACATGATTGCCCCAGGAATACGATGTCGTATTAGTAAAGTACTGTGAGCACATGCGCACACTATTATTAGTGTTTAAGGTCTCCCACTAAGGCACTGGCATGGCATGGCACCACTTGCATTAACAAAGTTTAAGAAAGCTAAGCTTTCGTGGGTGTTTCTCTCGGTTGAAATAGCACTGAAATGAAGTGATATCCTTACCACTTTGGCCGACGAAGGATTTGGTTGTAGAAGGTTAGATCAAACAAATGTTATATGTTGGTTTTGGACAGAGTAGATGAAATAGAGATGAAAGGGATGAGACGCATATACTCCTAGAGCACAAAAGGGCTGGACCTCTCTCTCTCTCTCTCTCTCTCTCTCTCTCTCTCTCACCTCTGCTTATTATTTGTAGGGTCCACAAAATCAGCAATGAGAATAATGAATTAATAAATAGGAAGATTTGGGGACCTTGAAACCCTGGACCATAATGTTAATGTTGTTGAGAGCTCAGTCATGGTAATCTAATCTCCACCCAAAGCAATGAATGAAAGATTGGAAACAAAACCCTCCCTCCTCTCCTCTCCTCTCCTAGTTCACATGCTTTGATTGATGGCTCAGCAGCCCTCTCAGCCTGATGCAATTCAAGTCTGGTCACTTTCTGCCCCTACCAAAAGTGGTCCATCTAGCAATCAAAACCTCTCCATTCTCAAAGCTGCACTCATTAAGGAGGATGGTCCTTCTTAAAGACAGAAAATATACATAATTTCTGACCGAAATAGTCCTTGAACTTATGTCCGAGTTTCATTTTGGTCTTTTAACTAATTTTTCCACACAAATGGTCCTTCAACTTTTTCTTTTGTGAGACCAATTTGACACTAAAAAAAGAATTAGAAGAGCATTGACACTAAAAAGTCGCAATCATTTCGGTCGAAAAGAAAAAAGAACATTGCATATGTTAAACCAGTTGAGTCGTTACCCTTTATCTCATAGCAGCAAACTGCTAAAACCGATGGCCAAAACTCAAAAGTAAAGTTTAAGGGAGGGCTGGGCATATCTGTCACCTGCAAACCACCACGCCCCTAAAGTCTGCACAGCTCTGTGATGCTAAAAAGCTGAAGCTGTCACTTGTTTCAACGCTTCAAAGTGTTCCTTCCCAGTTGAGGTCCATCAGTTTTGTCCCCAAGCTGCATCTAAGCCCAGGATAGAAAATTCAAACACCGAGTGTCTTAAGCAAAACCAATTATTATAAATAGGCAAAAAGTCACTTTTGTACCTGTAGTTTGCTATTTTTATTAATTTGGTCCCTATCGTTTCAATTTAAAGTAATTCAAGCATAATCCTCAATTTCTGTCGTCTTTTGTTTCAACATCTGTTAGTTATAGAGGGGTAATTCAGTCCACAAATTATTATTCTCTTTAAAAATAATTTTAAAAAAATTTAAAAATAAAAAAACCAGCCATCCCCACAAACTATCGTCTACCGACCACCACCGAGCCATCGCCCACCTTCCATAAACTTTCTTCTCCGACCAAACAAAAGGGAAAATTCCCTCATCTCGCTTCCAAATTTTTTATCAAGGCACCCATGCCTCCTCTTTCGCGAGTTCATAGCTTTGCCGACCAAACCCCTTGTTGCGAGTTCATAGACTGAGATAGAGAGTGACAGATACATACAAAGACAGAGAAAGAGAGAGGAGATTCAGAGAGAGACAGCCAAACCCCAGCCTCAGCCTCGACATAAATGACCTTCACCTTCCGCTCAAGCCTAGCCCCACCCCTTCACCCAGAAAATATAAAACCCAACCCCACCCTTTCACCCGCGCACCGCGCCTAGCCCCAGCCCTAACCAACCTCCCTCTCTCCAGATCCGACGAACCCCACACTAGATTGCCAAGGCCACACCACCGCCTTCGTCAAGGCCACGCCATAGTCTTTGTCGCCAAGTTCTTCGACTGCCGCAACCCACAGATCCATCCCAACCAAGTCTAGATGTGAGAGAGAGAGAGTGCTTTTTATTTTTTTTCAATTTTAAGATTATTATTTTTAACATCGACAGAAATTGAGAATAACCCTTGAATTGCTTAAAATTGAAACTACATAGAAAAAATTGACAAAATTGAAGCAACATGGACCAAAGTGGTAAAAATACCAAACTAGAGGAACCAAAAGTAACTTTTTGCCTCATAAATAACATCTAGATATGGCAAGTTGGCAACTACCCTGTCTTATAATATTTCGTTCAAGGGCATATAAAATTTAAACAAGTATTGATCTGTTTGGTGAAAGCTAGTAATTTACATTCACATGAAACACACAACAAATTTCAAGTCACCAGTCACTTTATATTTACACACTATTTACATCAATAAATAAAGAAAAGGAAAGCAAAAAGACATGGAGATAATTATACATTGATCCAGATCTAGAAGCACATTGCAAAACAACAGAGTAAAAAAGAAAAAGAACAACTAAAATAAAAACATATAATTAAATGTACTTCATAAATCATATCAACAACATCAGCATATTACCGGCCAAATCCACCACTTTGGGGTTCAACTTCTCCATTGTTCATCAGCTTATCCAGCACAACATTAATGTCCACTGATTGCCCATTCTCAGTCATTTTCTTCACTGTTGCTCTGACTATGTCCCTTCGGAATCCCATTGTTACAACCTCATCAACGACATTATCAATTGGTATTCTGTTTCCAGTCGCACCAGAACTTGACTCCTTATCCATACTCGAGGCCATAGGTATTGCATATGGCAACACCTGGGCAGTTGGCAGTCTCGAAATGCTGCTTCCACCAGAACGGTCTAAAGAGGCTGGCAAGATTTGTGAGTGTTTCGTTTTTGAACCGCTGTTGTGAGATGGAGATCCTTCATGGGAATAAAAATCATCAAGAGTTGAATGTTGAACTGGTTGCATATGCCCAGAAGATAAATCTGAACAATGATTTCTTGTGGATTGATCATGCGTATACTGGAAAGAACCCATGTACTGTTGTTGGGTTGGGAGAGTCATGCCAGTTGCATTAGGGGATTTGTGCATGCTTGGAGGATATCTTTGTGATAACATGTAGGGGGTTTCTCCAGGATTATGAACCAATGAAGACTGGGCTCGTGGATCAACTGTATTGAGAGGCGGGTGCAATTGAGGTAGCCGTTGTAATTGCGAGGTTGGTGAAAGATGTGGTGCTGGTGGATAATATTGATATGGTGCTGTGGGTGGTGGTAGTGACTGCTGAACTTGAGGCATATAGTATATCTGAGGTGCGGGTTGTGGATTCAACACAGGTGGCGAGTAGTTAGAATCTGTCTGTTGAACAGAAGGGATTTGATTCTGAAGTGAGTGAGTATGAACTTGTGCTGCAGGTGCTGGTGGCAAATTCTGATGAGGTTGGGTTGGGGGAACATTAGGAGGAAAAGAAGAAAGTTGTAGACCAGCAACGGGAGTTGAATGTGGTTGGTGGCTTTGTTGAGGGGCAGATGACAATCCTCCCTGAGTTGAAATTGTTTGTACATTGCTCCTTTGGTTTTCCAATTGCTGGTGACCCTTTAACATTTGAAGAGTTGCAAGCTGCAGCTTAGCCTCTGATATCTCTTGCTTATCTTTCAAGTCCTGCATACCACCTTCAACCTGCAATTTATTTACAAACAACATGAACCATATCAAGAAGCTGCTGTCAGGAATCGCAGAATCTCCTGTACACCACTATTACTTGTGTTTTTTTTTCCAGCTTACAACAATGCTAAACCTAGTTTTCACCTGCTTCAACATGATTGTATTATTTAACACATTGTGCTAACAGGACATCTTCAACATTTCTCTCATAGTTCAATAGGGACATTGCTCAAATTAAAAATCAGAAGACTAGTTAGACACTAGGTTCGACTTTGGTGCTCAGCAAAGATGATCATGGTCACTTACAATATTGTGAATGTTATTGTGTTATACTAGTGGAAGTTATGGCATGCAAAATCAAATCAGATAAATTCCTGTGAAAAGCCTATTTGACTATAAACCTGTTAAAGATGAGCTTCGAGCCAACAAATTTTCTATCAACTTATCTGCCTCTAGCACCTAATTTGTACAATAAAAATTATCCATCCTCTAAGTTTAGCACTTACAATAATGCAACCTAATTGACTGGTTAAACGAGAAATGGATGGTTTACAATACCTCTCTTAGAATATTCTCAAGTTGTCTAAGTTTCCCATCATTCCTGCCATGGTTAATTTCAGTAGAATCCTTCAAGTCGTCAACTGAGTTCTCTAGTCGGCGTAAGCGAGTCTCCAGTTGGGAAAGTCGCGCACTGAGACCCTCCACCGCATGCAGCATATTGTCAAAATGATGGCTCATCTTCTGACCAATCACCGATATCAATGCCGAGTCATCAAAAGCCCCGGCATACTTGCAACCTGATTTTGCAAGGTCAATGTGGTTCATAGAACTGCAATTCTGTGAGTCAAAATAACAGAAGCAATCACTTGAAAATCTACAACAATCATGAGCAGGAATCAACACAGTACACCCCAGCCGATATTCAGTAGATTGAGTTCTCTATCTTCCTCACTTATACCATCAAACTTAATTCAATTTCATTTAACAATAAATAAAGGGAAAAAAAAAACTTAAGCATCTCTATGCACACCCACATAGACATGAATTAAGAAGAGTTAAAACAAAACTCATCAGAAACTTTTGATGCTACCATTATACCAATTCCAGTTAGTGCCCAAATTCTATTCTACTAAACACAGAAAGATTCAAACTTTAGATAAATAATCCATCAATTCGAAAATTTAGTTGAAGCTTGAAATGCATACCTCGAAAGTGGAAACGCGTGACTGTTGCGAGACGACATGTCGCGTGGGGCGGAAGTGAAAGCTGGAAACTGAGTCGTCGTCCTTGTCCTCATCGTCTCGGAGGTCACGAGGGTAAGAAAGTTGAGATAAATCGTCGGAGTGGGACCGAGAAAGTTCCATGATCTGCTTATCCATGAACTCCGACGACGTCATGGCGCTCGGAGTTTCCTTTGCCCCTTTCCTGCACTTCCGCTCATATTTTCTGAGATTCCAAACAGACGATTGTGCTGTGTTTGGCCCGGCGGAACTGTCAACGGAAAATTGACTAGCTGTTAAAGAAGAGCCCAGAGGTTGCTTGATCATGTCCAGTTCTTGATTGATAATATCCTCTCCTTTTTCTTTTCGGGTTAGCAGGCCCAAAAGATGTGGGCTGGAACAATGAAAAGCTCATCAAGGACATGAGATTGGAAATGCACGTTTGAAGCCCAACAAGGAAAAATATAATGCTTAATTCATTATTTTTTTTGCCATTATCTTCTAGGTAGGGGGAAAGAAGAGAGAATATTATAGGGGGTTGCCTCAATATTATCTCATACAACCCGGGTGCACTTGGGGAGACGAAGAATTTGACACAATTTTGCATTGTGGTCTCACCCCACGTGCATGCTGAATTAGTTGTTAACTTTCTCTATTGTTGGCTTCATTGTTGTGAACTTTACTTTTGTGTCCTTTCCTAATTGATTTTCGTCACTACCGCCAGAACAAACACAAATTAATGAATCAAGTTTTTCTTGATGAGTTCATTGACCCGTTTAAATCATATGGTTTTAAGTTTGCGTTATTATCTTGCACGCCATTCGTGTTTTACGAGTTTATATAAGCAGTGGCGGAGCCACTCCCAGACCTGGAGTGGCCCTGGCCCCCCCAAATTTGTATCCCTCCTCTATTATATTATATATAATATGTAGAATTTGTAATCAATAATTTATAAATTAAGTTAACATTTCCTCTAAAACAAATTAGACATGACTCAATTAGAAAAATTTAGCTTTAAATATGTAATTATTGCATATTTGGATGTTTATATATTTGTATTTTCTACTTTGGCCCCCCTAATTTTACAATTCTAGCTCCGCCCCTGTATATAAGAGTTGAAAATGTTGATCAGCCATATGTAAAAGTTGACAGACTAATGACCATCAATGGTAAGAATAAGGAGCAAAAAAAAGTGAGAGTGGAGAAGGAGAACAAGTAGTCGGAGAAGAAGTAGCAGCTAAAGCCTCTGATCACGTTCAACATGCAGAACAATATAGTTGAGGTTCCTTGACATTTGACTTACAATTCAGTGATAGAAAGTAAGTTCATGTTTTCTACTTTCTTTTTATGAATTATTTTCAACTATAAAAACATATAGTTGAAAATAATTCATAAATCATATCAACCCAAAGAAAAAGAAAGAAAAAAGAGGTGCATTACATTTAAACTGGGGTACAACCCAGACTGCGGGCGGTATGTACCCCTGCAAATCAGAATAAGGATCTAAGGAGAAATGTTGTGTGATGGTTCCGCTCTCTAAATTAAAGATACCCATATCGCGACATGGCATATCGTCATATAGCGTATCATATTGGATATGGTCTCCGTAAACAAAAGAGGACGATGAGAAATCATGGGTGTAATATATTGGAATTTGACTGGCATCCATGAAAGTTTGAAGCCAAAACAAAGACGGAATGATTGCCACCTATGAAAAAGGCATCATCTCCGATGCTTTTTACATCAACATGTTGTAAAACAGATCCGTCTTCGTTGTCGAACACCACCTTGTAAACCCTAAAGCTTTCAGTCATAACATTCTTGTAGGCCCCTTGTGTTTGTTTACAAACTCTTTCGATATGCATTAAGTCTCCCTTGGTTGATTCTACAAGATATCTTGTAGCTCTATAACGGTGGACGCCTGCGTCCAGATGTGTAAGCAGCTTTAGTCGTCGTATTCTTGAAGTATAAGGGTTAACATCTAATGACCAAATCTCTCCCTCATGTCCAAGTAGGTGGACTTGGGTTTGGTAAGATATAACATCAGCGACCGGAAGTGGGGGACTAATCCAAGTCCAACGTTTTTGGCTTTGGCCTCTTTTCATACAAATGAAAGCAAATTCTTCATAAATAGCCACAAAATGATTAGCTTTACGTAACAGTGCTACAACCACATAGTTATCTGGACTCAAAGCAGGGTCAGCAGAGAAGATGACCTTTATCACATTGAATTCGTGGAAGTTTTTGTCACGTTTCTTGGGTATGACATTCAAGAGAGGGAGAAGAATGGGCGATGCCGGATTTCTGAAAAGGTCCCGGAGTGCTATAATCGGACCTTGGTCTGTGACGGATTCTATATTGTGGCAAACCAACCGTGGCTAGAGTCACAAGACCTCTTTTTAAAAGGCACTTCCAATCCAATATTGTTGTAGATTTTGCCTTCAGCAATGCTGTATAATGCTTTTCGGTGGTTTGTTTTCGTTAGGAGGCGGCCATTCTTGCAGCTGCCGCCTTGGCATTCATATTCATTAGGGATCATGAGCATGGGAAGTAGGTTGTTATGCCACCACCGCTGTGTTGCTTGATTATAGTCTTTCGCAAGAGAACGCCATTGCTTGCAGACGTCAGCAAAACAAACATGGTCAATGGGCTCAAACAAATTATCTAGAATAAAAAACACAGGCAGCAGAGGAAGACTTGCCCATTCTGGTGATGATATGTACCTACTGCAACCGTATTTGAAGGCAACACCAGCGGCCATGTTCCCATAACGACGCTTCTTATTATTAGGGTACATGACACCAAGACGAACAAGCACTCCAAATTAAGAAGAAGAAGAAGAAGAAGAAGAAGAAACAAAATATTGTACGTACCAAGAAACCAACCCTAAGATATTCCTGGCTATTTATAAAATACATGAAGCGGATAGAGAAGAGATAACACATTAGCACAAGTCCTCTTGTATGTATAGAACTCAAAATCGTAATAATCTCATAATAAGTATTATAATACACTGTTCGTTTATTCCCTCGTTCAATGACAAGAGAATCAAGTACGGTAAATATTGGCTTTATTTGGAAGGCAAATATTAAGTGACAAAATATTATATTCTCGTTAAATTGTGGCGATTTGACATGATTTTTCAAGGATTTCATGGAACTATAAATAATATTTATTTTGCAACCAGAATTCTTATACACCAAGTAATCTTGGCCTCCAAGGAATTAGGTCAGTCAACCAACCACTATTGTACTCACGTGCTCGGATTTGGGCTACCATTTTTGATATGTGTATTTATTCAAAAATGCTAATTATTCCACATCTATATACCACCTCTCTAATAGAGGCGAGACCTCATTATATTGGTGGGCTTCACCTCTATTAAAAAAATAATACACAATGTGGTATGCTCATAACCGGCCTTGGGGGTGGACGAGAGGGCGCCTTGGCCATGGGCCTCCAATTAAGGGGCCCCAAATTTATATATATATATATATATATATATATATATATATACCATTGTCCAATTTATTATAAATAAAAAAACAGAAACAACACGCGATTAAATTAAGTTTCTCCGTTTCCTCTTCCCATAAAGTTTTTCTGTTTCCCACGACGAAACACAAACATGTGCTTGAGGAAGGTGATTCCTCTCCTAGTTAGTTTCTCCATGGAAAAACTCTATTTAATCCACCCATCTCTTAATAATCCATCACCATATTTTTCTCTGTTTTCCCCGTCTCTCTTCAATCCATCCATTATTTTCAATTTCTCTCATCCTTTTTTTCTCACATCATATTGTAACCCTAAGAATCAATCTCACACTAAAATGCTCACAAATTGTCTTTGAGATTGATGGTGACCAAGAGGGGAGGAACATGACAAATTGAAAAAGGTAACTAGATTTATAATTTTTTTTCTTCATATATTTGTCCTTATCCATCAAACTATATTTTCAATTTCCAGATTATACACAGACAATGACTTTGCTGTTAAGAGATTTAGACTCTGCTTTATAATGACCATGTAGGATTATGCTATATAATTGTTTATAGTAAAATCATTATTCATGCACTCTACGCGCTACGTAAAATCATTTTATTTGTTTTTTTTTCGCAATTGTATACTAAGGGAAGGGGCCTAAGACATGTTCTCCAGGGGTATTTCTTTGATACCACAGTTTGTGTTGACCCAAAAAAGATACCACAATTTGTGTTGAACAATAAAAAAGACCACAGTTTGGCTTCAAGTGGGGCTTTGCATAAATTGGACTTTGGCATATGATACACGGTTTATATTGTGTTTTTTTTAGGAATTTAATTGCAATAACTCTAAAAAAATTAATAAAATTTTTCATTATAAAGTGATATAAATAAATAAATAAAGATTGTTGAATTTTTCGTTCACTTAACACATGAGTCAATCAGAACATGGCACGACTATATACGGATCAACCCAAGCATGACATGTCAACATACCCTTCTTGTTTCCGATTCACTGCAGGTAGTGGTGGTGGTACTTTCAGCTTCGCAATTGGTTGGTTAATTGGTGATCGCTTACTCTTTGAGCAATCAAGTGCTAGGGTTTTGAGAATTCAAGCTTCATGGCTACCCATGCTGGTATCGATGACGTAAGGCCTCCAGTGCCATGCTACTACCCCAGTTTTTAACCATTATAGGGGTTAACTGCTTTAATTTTAATTTTTTTAAAATTAATTGGAATGCGTTTTTGTTCAATACATGATGATGATTTCGAAGGCGATTTTCCTGGAACTCACAATACCAGGCGACCTAGTATGCTTCAGGTTAGTCATATATACAAGCCAACTTTCTGACCGCCTTAGTTGACAAAATTTTAAGGCCTGTTTTAAAGGTTAGCCCAGTTCCTTTCAAGGATCTATTGGGCTTTAATGGGTGAACCATCGCAAGACCCAATCGTATTTGTAACATCCCACATCGACCAACGGAGATGAGGTGATGTGCTTTATATGTGCATGCCCACCTCCATCTAACACGAGGCTTTTTGGGAGCTCACTGGCTTCGGAGTCTTAGAAACTCCGAAGTTAAGCGAGTTGGGGGCTAGACCAATCCCAGGATGGGTGACCCACTGGGAAGTTGCTTGTGAACTCCCAGAAACAAAACCGTGAGGGCAGAGAGGAGGGCCAAAACGGACAATATCGTGCTACATCGGAGCCGATCCCGGGATGTGACAATTTGGTATCAGAGCCACTCTGCCGTGTGGTACGAGTGTGCCGGCGAGGACTTTGGGCCCCTAAGGGGGGTGAATTGTAACATCCCACATCGACCAACGGAGAAGGAGTGATGTGCCTTATATGTGCATACCCACCTCCATCTAACACGAGGCCTTTTGGGAGGTCACTGGCTTTGGAGTCTTAGGAACTTTAAAGTTAAGCAAGTTGGGGGCTAGAGCAATCCCAGGATAGGTGACCCACTGGGAAGTTGATTGTGAGATCCCAGAAACAAAACCATGAGGGCAGAGAGGGGGGCCTAAAGCGGACAATATTGTGCTACGGCGAAGCTGATCCCGGGATGTGACATTATTCCTATCGTTCGGCTGCTGACATGTCATGATTGGGTTAATCCATATATAGTCGTGCCATGTTCTGATTGACTCATGTGTCAAGTGAACGAAAAATTCAACAATCTTTATTTATGTTACTTTATGCATATAATTTGACATTATTTACATGAAAATATTTATTAATTTTTTTAGAGTCATTGCAATTAAATTCCTAAAAAAACACAATATAAATTGCGTATCATATGCCAAAGTCCAATTTATGCATAGCCCCACTTGAAGCTAAACTGTGGTCTTTTTATTTTTGTCAACACAAACTGTGGTATCAAAGAAATACCCCTCGAGAACATGTCTTACGCCCCTTCCCTTAGTATACAATTGTGAAAAAAACAACAAATAAAATGATTTTACATAGCGCGTAGAGCGCGTGAATAATGATTTTACTATAAACAATTATAAAGCATAATCCTACATGGTTATTATAAAGCGAGTCTAAATCTCTTAATAGCAAAGTCATTGTCTGTGTATAATATGGAAATTGAAAATATAGTTTGATGGATAGGAACAAATATATGGATTTTTTTTTATAAATCTGGTTACCTTTTCAATTTCTCATGTTCCTCCCCTCTTGGTCACCATCAATCTCAAAGATAAGTTGTGAGCATTTTAATGTGAGATTGATTCTTAGGGTTACAATATGACGTGAGAAAAAAAGGATGAGAGAAATTGAAAATAATGGATGGATTGAAGAGAGATGGGAAAAACGGAGAAAATATGGTGGTTGATTATTAAGAGATGGGTAGATTAAATAGAGTTTTTCCATACTATTAGAGGAATCGCCTTCCTCAAGCACATGTTGTTTCTATTTCGTCTTGGGAAACGGAAAAACTTTTTGGGAAGAGGAAACGAAGAAACTTAATTTAATAGCGTGTTGTTTCTATTTTTGAAATTATGCTCTCTCTCTCTCTCTCTCTCTCTCTCTCCTCTCTCTCTCTCTCTCTCTCTCTCTCTCTCTCTCTCTCTCTCTCTCTCTCTCTCTCTCTCTCTCTCTCTCTCAAGACAGCTAACACTACAGAGCTGACGGCACTGCTTGTGGTGGCTCTGTCGGAGGTCACTAGTGTCCCATGCTTCTACCAACAAGTTTTTGGTGCTATGATCGTGAACAATGATCTAGAGCTGGTTGGGATAATGAGAGGTTCAAACCTCTTTATCATCACTTGTTCGTCTTGGCCACACCTATTGTCGCCAACGCTGTCTCCGACTAAGGTGCTCTGATCCGGAACAGTTTGCTAAGAAGATTCTGAACACTGAGCAATTTACATTAACGGTTGAGGATTGTGAATCACTCGTGTGGAATGTTAATAAAGACGAGTATGGTATTTTCTGGCAATTAACCAATGGTAAGCAATCTTATTGTGTTTTGTTAGATCGGATAAGCGATCAAATCGCTTATAATTTTGAATAATTTTATTAATTTTTTAAAAAGAATTTTTGATTAATTTATTAATTGTCACAGGATCGCTTATAATTTTGTATATTTATTTGCATATTTTTTTTCAATTGTTTTAATAATTTTCACATAAAAAAAGTTTTTAATTGATTTATTATTTGTCACAAACTCATATGATCGCTTATAATTTTGAATATTTATTTGCATATATTTTCAATTGTGTTATTAATTTTAAAAATAATTTATTATTTTTCATAGGATCGCTTATAACTTTGAATATCTATTTGCATATTTTCAATTGTTTTATTCATTTTAAAATTAAAAATTTTTCAATTAATTTATTATTTGGCATAGACTTATAATTTTGAATATTTATTAGTAATTTTAAAATAAAAAAGTTTTTAATTAATTTATTATTTGTCATAGACTCATAAGATCGCTTATAATTTTGAATATTTTCAATTGTTTTATTATAAATGTTTTAATTAATTTATTATTTGTCATGGACTATGAAAGGCCTATTCTGGAGACGGAGCCCAATGTTGACCAAGTGGACTATGAAATTAAAGTGATGAGCGTGACGCCGAACATTTTTGTGCCGGCAAACAAGGCTCAAAAGGCGATGTACTGTTATCGTAATGCTTTTGGAGGCAAACGTTTGAGCTACACCACCATTTCGGAGCAAGAGGATGATATCCTGTGCGTTGTTATCAAATCACCCTTGGTTCAAGCGATTTGTTGAAAACCAATGGTGATATGTTTATGTATGTATACATATATTCTTTATGGTTTTATTTATGCTGTATAAATTTCTTTCAAATTTTTTTTTCTTTGAGCCAAAAGTTTCTGTCATTAACTATCCTAATTATTTTCTCGGTTTGAAACCAAGGATGGTAACACTAATACTTGTCTTCAGTTGAATGTACACAACTCCATTGACATCAGAGCAACAAAGAATTTTGCAGAGAGGAATGAATGCAACGTGTTGAGAGATGCTGGCGAGGACCCTCTGTGTCCGGGTGTGCTGGTGGCCACTGTCACCGACCCTTTCAAGTTTGTTTGGCAACTTAGTAACTCTGTGGGTAAGAGAAGAAAAGAAATATTTTTGTTTTGTAAATTTATTAACATATTATTATTATTTAATTGACTTTTTCTGTCGTTTCTTCTTTTTCTTCATAGGTGGTCTAGGGATAGATTAAGATGGTTTTATTTGCATCGAGTGTATTGAGATTGTAGTTATAGGTGGCGATGTAGAAATGTTCCAAGTATTCCTCGGGACTCCGTCTGTTTTTTCCGAAGATATATCAATACATGAATTTTTCAAGCGGTTTGGAAATGGATGTCGAGAAGTCGTGGTTGTGCTGTGGTTGTAGTAGTCCCGAGGAATTCATGTATTGATATATCTTCAGAAAAATTCATGAAGTAGTCACTGACCCTTTTCCAAACTGCTTGAAAAATTCATGTATTGATATATCTTCGGAAAAAACAGACGAAGTCCCGAGGAATACTTGGAACATTTCTACATCGCCACCTATAACTACAATCTCAATACACTCGATGCAAATAAAACCATCTTAATCTATCCCTAGACCACCTATGAAGAAAAAGAAGAAACGACAGAAAAAGTCAATTAAATAATAATAATATGTTAATAAATTTACAAAACAAAAATATTTCTTTTCTTCTCTTACCCACAAAGTTACTAAGTTGCCAAACAAACTTGAAAGGGTCGGTGACAGTGGCCACCAGCACACCCGGACACAGAGGGTCCTCGCCAACATCTCTCAACACGTTACATCCATTCCTCTCTGCAAAATTCTTTGTTGCTCTGATGTCAACGGAGTTGTGTACATTCAACTGAAGACAAGTATTAGTGTTACCATCCTTGGTTTCAAACCGAGAAAATAATTAGGATAGTTAATGACAGAAACTTTTGGCTCAAAGAAAAAAAAATTTGAAAGAAATTTATACAGCATAAATAAAACCATAAAGAATATATGTATACATACATAAACATATCACCATTGGTTTTCAACAAATCGCTTGAACCAAGGGTGATTTGATAACAACGCACAGGATCTCATCCTCTTGCTCCGAAATGGTGGTGTAGCTCAAACGTTTGCCTCCAAAAGCATTACGATAACAGTACATCGCCTTTTGAGCCTTGTTTGCCGGCACAAAAATGTTCGGCGTCACGCTCATCACTTTAATTTCAGAGTCAACATTGGGCTCTATCTCCATAACAGGCCTTTCATTATCACGTCCCAAGATCGGCTCCGCCGTAGCACGATATTGTCCGCTTTAGACCCCCCTCTCTACCCTCACGGTTTTGTTTCTGGGAACTCACAAGCAACTTCTCAATGGGTCACCCATCCTGGAATTGCTTTAGCCCCAACTCGCTTAACTTCGGAGTTCCCATGACTCCGAAGCCAGTGAGCTCTCAAAAGGCCTCGTGCTAGATGGAAGTGGGCATGTACACCCCCTCTCTGTTGGTCGATGTGGTCCGATATACCACAAGGTCTAAGATGCACGTCCTGCAAGTTTGGTCCGAAGCGGATGGTCAAATCGCTTACGATCACACGATCGGACGGTTATCGTAAAACACAAACTTTAAGTTATTTGAGTCGGAACATCCGGGGCTCCGATTCACGATCCGTGAATTCCTACACAATCCTAGGATGTCTATATCAACATACATTAAATTCAAGATGATCCAACGATTCAAACCTATCGAACCCAGATAACGTACAATAGGCGAAATCCATTCAAGACTCAAACGGCATCCGAATTGAAATCCGAGCACACCTACGCACTCGTGACAATAAGGGGATTTCATCGGGACACAATGCCCTCTGCTACAGTGTCCACGCGCCAGCAGCGCGTGGGTTTTCAAAGCGATACCACTCGCTGGAAAACGTCAAAATTTCGGGCCAAAACTCCTACCCTAGGTTCAGGACATCGATTGGAGACACTTTTGTTCTTGGGCCTACCCCAAAAAGTGACCGGAAGTGGCCGGAATTTCATCCCGAAATACGGCCAAACTTAAATTCGAAAATTGATCTATCAACGCTTAAAATTTCTGAAATCCTACCCAACCATCAGCTAGATCATGAAAAATAGGTGATAAAGCATACCTCACTCGCCGGAATTGGTGGCCGGATGATGGACAACGAAGTCGGAGAAATTCGAGCGAAAACCGGCCGTTTCTCTTCGATTTTCAGGCGAAAAACACGGCGGCAGGCAGCGGGCTTGGCTGGGGTTGGAAGAGGAAGACCAGCCGGTCGTTTTGGGACCGGTGCCACCTCGGAATGGTGGCGGAATGCGACGGTTGTGGCCCAAGAAGCCACGGGTGTAGTAATAGTAGACCTTTTTTGGGGGGGGGGGGGGGGGGGGGGGGGGGGGGGGGGGGGGGCTGGGCTGCTGTGGGGGAACCAGGAGGGGGGAGAAGAAGAAAAGAAATAGGAAGAAATAAAACTGCCCGGTTACTGTAGCACGGTACTACAAATTTTAAAATTACCTTTGTGCCCTTTCGTTTTCAGACTTTTCCTCATTCGTTACAATTCGGAATTGGGTGTGCCGTATGTCTACGAACTCGTCTCGACGAGCTCTACGCAATGGTGCCACTCATTTATCCAAAATGTTTCCATATTGAAAATGACCAAATTACCCCTACTCTCAAGAGCAAAATTGGAAATTCAAATTTAATTTATTTCACGAAGGATTATATTTTGGGTCGGGATGTTACATTCATAGTCTATGACAAATAATAAATTAATTAAAAACATTTAAAATAAAATAAAATAAATAAAACAATTGAAAATATGCAAATAAATATTCAAAATTATAAGTGATCCTATGAGTCTATGACAAATAATAAATAAATTAAAAACTTTTTTATTTATTTTAAAATTAATAAAACAATTGAAAATTTGCAAATAAATATTCAAAGTTATAAGCGATACTATGAAAAATAACAAATTAATTAAAAACTTTTTTTATTTTAAAATTAATAATAAATATATGCAAATAAATATTCAAAATTATAAGCCTATGACAAATAATAAATTAATTAAAAACTTTTTTTAATTTTAAAATTAGTAAAACAATTGAAAATATGCAAATAGATATTCAAAGTTATAAGAGATCCTATGAAAAATAATAAATTAATAACACAATTGAAGATATATGCAAATAAATATTCAAAATTATAAGCGATCATATGAGTCTATAATAAATTAATTAAAATCTTTTTATATTTGAAAATTAATAAAACAATTGAAAAAATATGCAAATAAATATACAAAATTATAAGCGATCCTATGACAATTAATAAATGAATTAAACACTCTTTTAAAATTAATAAAACAATTGAAAATATTCAAAATTATAAGCGATCCGATCGCTTATCCGATCTAACAAAACACAATAAGATTGCTTACCATTGGTGAATTGCCAGAAAATTTCATACTCGTCTTTATTAACATTTCACACAAATGATTGACAATCCTCGGCTGTCGGTGTAAATTGCTCAGTGTTCAAAATCTTCTTAGCCAACTGTTCCGAGCCGGAGACACAGCATCGGTGCCGATAGGTGTGGCCGGGACGGACAAGTGATGATAAGGAGGTTTGAACCTATCATTATCTCAGCCAGCTCTAGATCATTGTTCACGATTGTAGCACCAAAAACTTGCCGGTAGAAGCGTGCGGCACTAGTGACCTCCGACGGAGCCACCACAAGCAGTGCCGTCAGCTCTGTAGTGTTAGCTGTCTTCTCCTCCATTGAATAGAAGCCGAGCTAAAAGTGGAAGAGAAATGAGAGAGAGAGAGAGAGCTGATTGGGGAGAGAAATAAGAGAGAGCAGAATTTCAAAAATGAAGGCGCGCGGTTTGGGTTTATATAACAGAAGGGAAGCGTTTCGAGTTAGTTATGTGTGCGGATTTCATTTTGGTTAATCTTTAATTCACGTCTGAAACCTCTTTCTAGGTTAGAAGATACGCTTATTGATCTTTATTATTGGTCTTGTTATTCCAACTTAGAAGCCAATGCTGCTGATGATATTGATATGACAGGTTTTCCCAAACACACATGTTGAGTTTGGAGCCGATGGTTTGCTGAGCCGAAGAATACTTTCGATCAGTGTGACACAGAAGACTCTTTTATTGATGATGCTGAGTTGGTACGTGCATTTATTCATTAATCTTATTGTTTTATATCTGTGTTGGCCATTGTACTGATTTAATTGGTGGCATTTTATATTTATGGCTTTGCTAATGCTACTTCGTTATGTGTTGTGCAGGATGAGTATTTTAAAGTTGACAATTCAGCAATAAAACATGATGGATTCTTTGTTAACAGGGGAAAACTGGAACGCATGTGAGTTTCCTTCAATCTTTTACCTGATCGTATTTATGTATAATTTTTTTCCTTAATTGCATAGTCTATACATACAAGACTTTATTTACTTAATTTCTTCTTTGATTTGGTACTGAACAAGGTCATATTATTTCCTTTCAAGTGGCCACCATGATTCGTGTATGGCCTATGGAAGTCTCGACTTTAACAAGCTTTCTCTTTTGAGTACGTAAAAGTGATGGTAAAATAAAACCATAGGTGTTATTTGACAGAACAGATGGAATGTCAAATGTTCTCTTCCTTGATCTACATGTGATTACTGCCTGTAGATATATGCGGACTGTATGTTGTGCGTTCCAGTAGGGATTTGAAGGCATAGACTTTCTAGAATTTTCTTTGTCTCTTTCCCTGGTTGATCAGTGGTATATCAGCTGTTTCTATTTGACCCATTTGCTTGTGTTTAAATAATTTGAACATGAGAAGCTATGCTTGGTATTTGCTATGTAATACATCAATGGAGGAATTGAGTTTGCCTAATGATTGAAATCAGTTTCAGTTTTGTACTTAGGTTTTGACATTGTGGTCTTTTATTAGTTAATTTTTTACTTTTCTTTATTTATTGAATTTTTTTTACCTTGGTAGTGTTACTACTAAGACAGCAGCAGCAGCAGCAGCAAAGATTACGTTGACGCTTGTGAAATTTCAGAACTAGTTGGGTGGACATTCATCCAGGAAGAAGTCTACTGATTCTAAAACAATTCTGGATCCTTCTCTTTTGAAAGTTTCTGAGGGAGACGCTGCTGCACTGCAAGCGGAGGTTAAGGCTGTTAATAAGCAGAATGCAGGAGTCCTGTTGTCGAAGGACCCAAGTAACAGATTTGCATTTATACCTCAAAATAAAAGGAAAAATATAGTGAGGCACGGCCTTTGCGTTTTTAGTTTATTTGTGGTTGTCCTTAAGGTTCTCTTTGTTCCCACTGGATCAGCATCTGCATATTTTTCTAACTTGCACCTTCTTTTTTTTTCTTCTTCTCAATGATGGTAGTTTTGATTTTGAACATTAACATCTTGCAGAAACCTTCACATGGGCACAAAGTTTTACTAGTATTGGAGCATTGATATTCCCAAAGTTTTAGACATTTAGTGTTGTCCTTTAGTTCAAAGCAGTGAACTGGTTCTTTTGTAAACCGGCAACACAGAGTGCTGCAGCAGCAATGATCTGCCTGAAAATCCCCCTCCCACCTCAGAATGGTGTCCTGGTTCTCGCATAGCTCCTTTCCCTTATAAATATGATTGTTTGGTTGAATATTCTCCTAACTCTGTTTTAACATTCCAATACCTCTTTCTAGGTTAGAAGATACGCTTAGAAGCCAATGCTGCTGATGATATTGAAATGACAGGCCTTCCCGAACACACATGTTGAGTTTGGAGCTGATGGTTTGTTCTGGATTCTCATATGTATTTTTTAGATAAACGATTGCTGTGGTTGGGGCAGGATTTAAATGGGTTTGTTTGGTGGAGTTGCAGGGAACAATGACAGTCGCGAGCTCAATGAAGGTGAATTGATTTCGGATGACCATGATGCTGCCGTTAAATCAAGTGAAATTATTTCTGATGAAGGTCTGCCATTGTATTTGCCTCTAGTTATTAGGGCTTGACATCCACTTATGATTTAATAACTAGCATGTACTCAGTCTGTAATAAATATATGTAATTGGTCATCCTTGCCCCATCAGTGGCAGAGATAATCAAACATTTAAGCATGTTTATAACAGGTGCTTCATGGGATGAAGAGAACTGGCGAGCTCAATACTAATCGGTGATACTGATTCGCCACCAGGCTCTACAGAAGAAGCTGCAGCAGAGGCCCTGAACATGTCATTTGGAGTTGGTAGTTATGCCATAAATTTTTTGGAAAGCATGGGCTGGAAGGAGGTAATTTTAATTGTTGAAACTGTAATCTTGTTAAGTTCAATTGATTAATTAGCCCGAGTAAAGCTTTGAAGTTTTACCTAGGACACAAGCAATGCTACATAAGAAGTAACTGTCAACATCCGAGGGAGATGGTTGAGGCACTTGGCAAAAGTACAAAGGGATCAGCTGAACCTATTCAAGCACACAGCAACATTGGTAATGCTTGAAGCAGGCTTTGAGGATGTGGTGAGGGAGGCAGTGCAGAGGAAAGAACCTGTTGTTCAGCACCTGGTGCAACGCATTCACATGGGATTTTCTACTCAAGTCAATTATTCTTGAATCAAATATTGGTTTTCGCAAAATTTGATTAGATGAATGCAATTCTGTCCATTTTCAAATAACAACTTAATTGACCAATTAGTCATATGCGTGCAAAAATTCCTTGTAAAGTCATCACTTTTCATGACATCCATTGGACACATATCATGCAAGACTATTTTGTTAGAAAGAAAAACACACTTGAAAAAACAGATTGATCTTGCCAATAACAAATCTGATTCTCATTGGCTCAAGTACAAATTTCTTTCATTTGCTCAGCTCAGAACAAGAAATCAACCACAGTTGATGTTGAAGAGTTAGGCCACGGCACTTGGACTGACCATCTTATCAACAAAATCAAACTTCACCTCCTCTCCATCAATCTTACGAGCACTTGGCTTTTCAGAAGCAAACACTCTCATTTCCCCACAACCCTTCATTCCAATTCTCACCAAATTTGAGGAGTTTTCTTCATCCTCAAATTCCAGCGACTGAATTGCACCACCAGTGTTGAGCACGTTCACCAACCCAATTGGAGCAAATTGGATCAACTTCTTTGGCAAAACCCTTACTGGAGAAACAGTGAGGAGCTCAAAACCGAAAGGCTGAAGCGAAATCTCTACCTTCTCTGAAAGCTTCAAGAGCTTCAGCTTCTTTTGCTGGTGCATGTACACAGCAAATATGTTCATTCCTTTTATTGAAATTGGGGTCTTCCCATTGTTCCACTCTACATCTTTTGGGCCAGACAAGCAGGTCAAAGGCTTTGAGCACTCAGGGGCACTTTTGTTGAGCCTGGATTTGGGGCACCATCCTCCTCCTTGACAATTAAACAATCCCAATGCTCCAGTGTACTGTGTACTGGCACAAAATCATACAAAAACATTGAATTAGCACTATTACTCAAAAGGTTATCTTACTTTTACTCTATTTTATAATTCACACGCATGTACGAACACTAGCATTTCTGAGTCTTACTTTGTTTAGGTTCCAAATTTTGAGCATGGTTTTCCCATGATGCACAGGGTCTTCAAAGAGGCAATCCCTAGTAGGAAGAGCATAGTGCTGGCATCGCAATACAGAGCCATCTGGCAACACAAGGCTCTTAAGAAGCTTGAAGTTGTGCTTCCTAACAGAGTCACTGATGTAGATTAGGCCTCCGGATATAGCGCTCGTGGAATTCCGCACATGGGTGTGTTTGATTGAAACATGTCCCAATCTGGGTGTATGATGTTGCCCATCAACAGGCTGTTGTAGGCAATGCACTGCGTGACACCCTTGCAGCCAATACGTCCCATCTGCTGCCCCCCCGTGGTCTTACCAAAAATCATCCCCTATATAAATGTGAACAAATTAATAGGCATGTAGACTACTGAAGATAGCATGTAACTTAGTAAAAGTCGTACCAACACGTCCAAGTGATATCTCTTCTGTTCCAAGGTACATGAAGTCATTGCAATGCTGCATGCTGGCAATTACTCCATTGCCATTGAAATGCTTCTTCGTGGAATCAGTCAGTGCCTTGAAATAAGCTTTAGCCAGCTCAACTCGACCACCAAACTCCTCGGATAGCATCTCAAGCAACTGCAACGACCCTGGCATAAAAATGTTCCATGAGGGTGCATGACGTAAGTTCTAGAGTGCACATAACAATACTTTTAATTAATTAATAATTTCCAAAATCATATTATTAATAAAGAAAAATAATACCGTATGTGACATTTTTTTCCAATTAAAGAAAAAGAAATAAATAAAGGGGGAAAAAGTTAGAGCTTTCAAGAATAAACTTATATGTATGACATCAACTTTGACACCGTCAATCCCTACCGATTAGCAAGTTATGCGTTTTGTGTTGTGAAAGTGAAACAAAGTGAGTGTTGTAGCGGAAGTCATGGATGTAAATGATGGCTTTTACCAAGTTCTACATTTGATAAAGTATACAAGTTAGAATCTGTAACCAAGTTAGAATCTATATATAGTGGATACTATTATTATTATTATTATTATTTTATTAAGGATACTATTATTATGGGAACTATTTTTGTCAAAGTAAGGTTGGTCGGTGTAAAGTAAAGTAATTTAACAATCAGTCTATAGCTACTATCTCTACTTTAGCATAAGAGAAGACTGGTAAATCCTTTTCTTTTTTTCTTTTTTGAATAGCATTTTCTAGATCTCTCCTTGCTTTTCTAGATGTTACATTCCTCTTGTTCAGTTGTTGAGCTTCTTCACTCCTCCAGCTTTTCAATCTGATTCCTCCATAATACAATTCAAGGGATGGCGAAATTTCCTCATATCATAAAAATTTGTGGAAAACAGAAATAACATTGTTTTGCTATTTCAATCAAATATTACGTGATGTTAAGGGAAAAATTATTACACTATGATCTTATCCTATAAAAACTTACGTGAAATAGAGATAGTCATATTTTACTATCTCAATCAATTACCTTATGTCAAATAAAAAAATTATGACTCCCCACGTAGCATGATTGGGTGGAATATCAAAATAATGTTACCTCAATTGCACATAAGTGTTTTTCCTTCTACCCACAATGGGTCCCACATTAATCACATTTTGTTTTCTTTCGTTTTCTATTTTTTTGTATTTTTTGTTTTTTAAATCTGATATAACGAAATCCACGCCCAGACAAGTTTAGAAAAGAACAAATAAAAAAACACGCCCATAACATTGTTCCCAGCTTGGATGGAATACAGGTGTAACAAAAACATTGCTTACAAGTTCTCGACGGGTCCATGTGACCACCTGCGAGCTACGTGACCCCACAAACAGACACATCAGCCTCTAGTTCACCCACGTGGCACTCTAAAGCCATGACACGTCAGCACTGCATGAGCCACCAAAGCTGTTAGGCTACAGCTGTTTTGAGTTCATTGACTCCTTTAAATCATATGGTTTTAAGTTTGGATTATTATCCTGCACGCCATTCGTGTTTTACGTGTTTATATTAGATTTGAAAATGTTGATCGTTTTGATATAAACTCGTAAATTACAAATGAGGTGCAAAAGAATAACTTAAACTGCGCCTTCGTGCCATCTGTAGCCATATGTAAAAGCTGAGAGAGTGAACAAGTCATCGGAGAAGAAGCAGAAAAATTGGAAGAAGTAGTAGCAGCTAAAGTCTGTGATCACATACAAAATGTAGAACAATATAGTTGAAAATAATTCATAAATCATGTCAACCGCAATTTTAGAAGCAACGACATATTATTATTATTTCCGGCCAACTTTTCGGGATTATTGGGCTTAGGACAAGCCCAATGATGGGTGTGGTTACAAATCTCCGGTGGGTTGAGGCATTTAGAGCCCACTATTGCAGCCTTAAGGCACATAGAACCCAAGCAAAACTTACTGCAATATTATCAAATCATTGATCTTAACACATCACTAAAATAAACTCCACATATCCATTAGGAAAAAAAAAAGGAACTCACTTGATCACATGGATCATCATCAAAAATGTTGATGCGAAAAAGTGGTTTGGCACTTTTTGGGCTCAACTTAGTGATGTTGGGCCTTTGGTATGCTTCGAGCTCAGTATAGCGTGTGATCTACAAGATAACAAACGCTCGGTAAAACCTTAGGCACTGGTGTGGTACTAGCCGAAGGCTCTCCGATGCTTCAGTAAGTATAGATTTAGTAAACTTAAACTGATATATCAATAGGCTGTATGCCGTAAGTTATGATTACCTCCATTTGGGGATAGTGGTCCTCCTTTGTAGGCCTTGAGAGGTATGCATATTGTTTAGAATTTCGATGTGGGACTGTGGAGGTCGATTGTGGGCATGTCACATGTCTTGGAGAAGGGAGTTGCCCTAATCACTGGATCGGTAGGAAAGGTGCCGAACTAGGCTCAATCTTGTCCACGTGTCTAGTCCTTATAGGCTGTTCATTTTGGTATAAACAAATAAAAAAGGAAAAAAAAAGTTGCAATACATTACGTTGATGAAATCACATGAAAAATTAATTTAATTGTAAGAAGCTAGCTAGCAGAGTCCATGAAACTGGGGTACAACCCAGACTGCTGGCGGTATATACCCCTGCAAATCAGAATAAGGATCTAAGGAGAAATGTTGTGTGATGGTTCCGCTCTCTAAATTAAAGATACCCATATCGCGACATGGCATGTCATCATATAGCGTATCATATTGGATATGGTCTCCGTAAACAAAATACGACGATGAGAAATCATGGGTGTAATATATGGAATTTGACTGGCATCCATGAAAGTTGGAAGCCAAAACAGAGACGGAATGATTGTCACCTATGAAAAAGGCATCATCTCCGATGCTTTTGACCTCAACATGTTGTAAAACATATCCGTCTTTGTCGTCGAACACCACCTTGAAAACCCTAAAGCTTTCAGTCATAACATTCTTGTAGGCCCCTTGTATTTGTTTACAAACTCTTTCGATATGCATTAAGTCTCCCTTGGTTGATTCTACAAGATATCTTGTAGCTCTATAACGGTGGAAGCCTGCGTCCGGATGTGTAAGCAGCTTTAGTCGTCGTATTCTTGAAGTATAAGGGTTAACATCTAATGACCAAATCTCTCCCTGATGTCCAAGTAGGTGGACTTGGGTTTCGTAAGATATAACATCAGCGACCGGAAATGGGGGACTAATCCAAGTCCAACGTTTTTGGCTTTGGCCTCTTTTCATACGAATGAAAGCAAATTCTTCATAAATAGCCACAAAATGATTAGCTTTACGTAACAGTGCTACAACCACATAGTTATCTGGATTCAAAGCGGGGTCAGCAGAGAAGATGACCTTTCTCATCACATTGAATTCGTGGAAGTTTTTGTCACGTTTCTTGGGTATGACATCCAAGAGAGGGAGAAGAATGGGCGATGCCGGATTTCTGAAAGGGTCCCGGAGTGCTATAATCGGACCTTGGTCTGTGACGGATTCTATTGTGGCAAACCAACCGTGGCTAGAGCCACAAGACCTCTTTTTAAAAGGCACTTCCAATCCAATATTGTTGTAGATTTTGCCTTCAGCAATGCTGTATAAGGCTTTTCGCTGGTTCGTTTTCGTTAGGAGGCGGCTATTCTTGCCACCGCCGCCTTGGCATTCATATTCACTAGGGATCAAGAGCATGGGAAGTAGGTTGTTATGCCGCTATCTAGAATCAAAAACACAGGCAGCAGAGGAAGACTTGCCCATTCTGGTGATGATATGTACGTATAAGTGGGCTTGAAAGATAAGTCAAGTCAGTCCTCGGTGATGAGTAGAGACGACTTGACCTAGTCATATATAAGCTAAAGACCCTGCTCTCGTCAGACACGTTCTCTAAACCTATTCTTATCATAAAGAGAGAGTTGAAACAGTTTCTGAGATAGAGCAGAATTCTTGAGCCGTTCTTGTTCTTGTTGGGATTGTTGCTACGGTTAGGATGAATTTAGAAGCTGTGTATTCAAGGAAGATGGCCGTATTACAGATTATGTGTGTAAGATCCAGAACATGCATATAAAGAAACTAACAACCAACCCTAAGATATTCTGGCTATTTATAAAATATATGAAGCGGATAGAGAAGAGATAACACATTAGCACAAGTCCTCTTGTATGTACAGAACTCAAAATGGTAATAATCTCATAGTAAGTAATTAGGCAATAATAATATAATATTGCAATATTTTCGTTTTCTTTTCCTACTTCTTATTATAATATACTGTTCGTTTATTTCCTCATTCAATGGCAAGAGAATCAAGTACGGTAAATATTGGCTTTGTTTGGAAGCCAAATATTAAGTGATAAAATATTATATTCTTGTTAAATTGTGGCGATTTGATATGATTTTTCAAGGATTTCGTGGAACTATAAATAACAATTCTTTTGCCACCAGAATTCTTATACACCAAGTAATCTTGGCCTCCAAGGAATTAGGTCAGTCAACCAACCACTACTGTACTCACGTGCTCGGATTAGGGCATACCATTTTTTATATGCGTGTTTATTCAAAAATGCTAATTATTCCACCTCTATTAAAGAGAGTACACAATGTGGTATGCTCATAGCCGGCTTTTGGGGTGGGCGAGAGGGGTACTTGGCAATGGGCCTCCAATTAAGGGGCCCCAAATTTATATATATATATATATATATATATATATATATATACCATTGTCCAATTTAATATAAATAAAAAAATAGAAACAACGCGCAATTAAATTAAGTTTCTTTGTTTTCTCTTCCCAGAAAGTTTCTTCGTTTCCCACGCAAAAATGGAAACAACATGCACGCTTGACAAAGGCGATTCCTTCCTAGAAGGCGATTCCTCTCCTAGTTAGTTTCTCCATGGAAGAACTCTATTTAATCCACCCATCTCTTATATAAGCAAGAATTTGTGAAAGCCAATGCAGGCATGTAACTTCTTAGAAATAGCGACCCGTTTACGCATAATAAAATCCTACTCTTTAACATAACTTTCTGACATTGGACAACAACTGCCACATCCCAAGTATAACTCCTGTTGAAGTGCATTAGCATACTTCCAAGTTAAAACTATTGTCTTTTCTCACACAAGAACTCCTAAAGTGTGAGATATACCTTCATAAAAGTCATACATTACCTCTCTGAACTTTTTCCCCACAAATGAAACATCATGCTTAAAATACGCATCATATCAGCATTATTCATAAATATTTGGTTCTTCACCTAAGCTATTCTGTCGGATTAACGCACGGATTCTTTTGCTACCCACCTTAGGGGCCCAGGCTGCATTATTATTCTAAATCATAATGATCATGGTGGTCTAATCTGATAGTGAATTATATGTCAATGGAAACCGCATAAATGAATGGTCATATTACATCCAATGGGTTTGTTTTGTTGCATTTTAATTTGGTGGAATCATTTTCCCTGTTCATAAATGCATGTAGCTAACAATACTGGAAGAACATTTATCTATCCAAGTTCCCTAAAGAGTAAAAAATTTCTCCATCCAGAAATCAACACAAATCCCACAATGTTTTCCATGAATACTTTTTGATAGAAAAACCTCTACCTATAATGATTCATTGATCAATATAATTCAAAGTAGACAGGGCAGTATTTGGTCGGTGATGGCTCAAAAACTATTTTGAACTCTCTGACAAGATGGAAAGAACCACATAATCTCCAGAGGTTAACTTTAAAAAAGAAAAGGCTCAATATATTCGAATTAAAAAATAAGAATCGTTGAGATTGGTGATATTCCATGCATTTTAATGGTTTGAGAGAACGTAATAAACTAACACAGTAATCTTCTCTTTTCGTTTTATAATTCAGTGGAAAAAAACCTCGATTTGCATTTTAGTAGACTCATATTCGAACTTTCATAACACATTACTATTCTAACATTTGAGAATATAATAAACTAACATTTGAGAAAACTGCATTCCTCCTTCACTCAACCCCAAAAAAAAAAAAAAAAAAAAAAAAAAAAAAAAAAAAAAAAAACTCTCTTTTGTTTTGGGTGGCTATGACTATTCTAAGAGCATCCACAGTTGAGGGGTGTATTTTCGGGGGTATAAAGCCACTTTTACATCCCCTTTACAACTCTGGGAGGTGTAAATACGTTTTTTGCTCCAATGAGAAACGATGTAAATCTAAAGATGTATAATTGATTTGTTTGTCTTAATTCATTTTTGTGCTAAATTTGTATTTTGTGTTTACTTTATCAAATTACTTTTTTTTGTATTAGGTTAATTTTATTTTTTTGACCTAAAAATATTTAAATTCGGAGAAGATATGATTTCATCCAAAATTGCTCCACATGTGAATTTTTTTTCCAGCAATTACTGTAGCAGCGGGTCCCACTCTTTTATGATGACTTTTCTGCACTTTTCTCGAGTGGGTCCCACGTGCAAGAGATGTAAAAATAGATGTAAATATACATTTTATTTTACATCCCCATGGTGGTGAAGTACATTTACATCCATTTACATCTCCTCATTGGAGACAATTCTGGTGACACGGGGTGTATATTTAATATACATCCCTATATACACCCCCCACTATGGATGAGACAAATTTATAACCAACTGGTCTGCCTCTTAACCTCTCACCCTCTATGGGCCCAAAACATGTTTTTTAATCCTGTAGAATAATTTAATTAAAGTAGAGAAATTGCCAAGGAAAATTTGTCCTAATGGCATCAATCTCTATTTTGTTCAAACAGATTCTAACTTTAGATATGATGGATGACAGTCATTAAATATAAATAATAATAAAATTTGAGAAATTTGAGGATGAGAGTTGGATGACAGTCTCAAGATCCCCAAAAGCTTCTCTTTTTACCTAAATTTCCATTTAAAAAAAATAAAGATAAAGATAAAGAAATCAATAAGAAAAATTCAATCACACATTGGAAGCCAGTGTTTGGTTGCAAGGAAAATGAAGCATACCAGGCCGCCTGGCATTGTGAGTTCCAGGAAAATGGCCTCCGAAATGATCGTCCTGTATTGAACAAAAACGCATTCCAATTAATCACAAACTAAAGTCAATAAAAAATGGGGCAATGGCTAGGGCACCGGAGGCCTTACGTCATCGATACGAGTGTGGGTAGCCAAGCCATGGAGCTTGAATTCTCAAAACCCTAGAACTTGATTTCGAATAGAGTAAGCGATAAGCAATTTTAACAAAAACTGCGAAGCTGAAAGTACAACAACCTATAATTTTTTTAATTTTTTGAGGGGGTGGTCGAGGAAAGAGAGTACAACTGTTTGATGCAGTGAATCAGAAACAAGAAGGGTTGGGTTGGGCTTGGGGGGAACAGTTTTGGTATGAGCTGTGTACGGTTGCACAGTTTAGTCAGTGTTCTGATAGCCTTAGTGGACATATTTTCAAAATTTAAGTTAGCCCAGTTCCTTTCAAGGATCTATTGGACTTAAGAGATGAACCATCACAAGCCACATTCGTATTCCTATAGTTGGGCTGCGGACTCATTAACCGTGTTATGTTCGGGTTAACCCATTTATACTTGTGCGTGTTCTTATTGACTCATGTGTCTGGTGAACGAAAAATTCAACAATTCGTTATTTATATTTTATTTATTTGAGTTATTTTATGCACATAATTTGAGAATTATTATGCTGTCAAATCATTCCGACCAATAGTTTAGTTTAGTCGATATCTGATAAATCGACAGGATCATTGTAGGTAACGATTCTGATTTTGACATTTCAACAATGGTTGATTTAATGGTCGGTGTCTATGGAACCAAATCCACCCACACAAGTAAGAGACGGAAAGAATTCATATAATTGCAACTCGTTTTCATTTCAAGTGTTCTGCCCATTATACTCATGCAAAGAAAACATATCACGCATGCACACAAAATTCCCTTGTACAAAGCCACATACGCTGCAAGTGGTGGTGGCTCAAGGATCACAAAGGCTTTATCCATCACTATACAAATCCATATTTTCTTTCTCTTGAAAACAAGTGTAAAAAGATAGCAAACGAAAACCAAAACAAAAAAAATATGAGATTAAATTTTTGGGAACTTGGGAATCAGATGGACCACAAAAAGAGTTGACAATATTCATTTTTATGAGAACAAGACTAAATGGTCTGCATCATCCAAAAGCCAAACGCTTTGTGGGGACACTTCAAATTTTGCCCAGCTTTTGTTCCTTCGGTTTGTATGTGTGTCTGTGCCTCTTTGTCCTTCTTCTCAGCCTCTTCTTTCTCCATCAGTGCCTGTGCCTCTTCAGCCTGTTCCTTAATTTGTTCCACCGTCTTCTCTTTCTCTTTGGCTCTTCCTCCAAAGGCTCTGGCTCTGGCTCTTCCTCCTACACCTCCTCAATCTGATTCTGTATAATTCTCTGCCCCTTTACGAATTCTATGACACGTACCCTCTCAGTGCTTTGCCCAGCTTTTGTTCCTCCGGTTTGTATGTGTGTTTGTGCCTTTTTGTCCTTCTTCTCATTCTCTTCTTTCTCCATCAGTGCTTGTGCCTCTTCGGCATGTTCCTTAATTTGTTCCACCATATTATTTCTCTTTAGCTCTTCCTTCTGTGGGTTTGGCTCTTCCTCATCCGGCTCTAGCTCTAGCTATTCCTCCCGCACCTCCTCAATCTGATTCTGTGTAGTTCTCTGCCCCTTTATGAATTCTATGGCACGTACCCTTTCAGTGCTTTGCCCAGCTTTTGTTCTTCCGGTTTGTATGTGTATATGTGCCTTTTTGTCCTTCTTCTCAGCCACTTCTTTCTCCATCAGTGCCTGTGCCTTTTCGGCCTGTTCCTTAATTTGTTCCACCGTATTTTCTTTCTCTTCGGCTCTTCCTTCTATGGGTCTAGCTCTTCCCCATGCACCTCCTCAATCTAATTATGTGTAGTTCTCTGCCCCATTACGAATTCTATGGCACGTACCCTCTCAGTGCTTTCCCAGCTTTTGTTTCTCCGGTTTGTATGTGTGTTTGTGCCTTTTTGTCCTTCTTCTCAGCCTCTTCTTTCTTCATTAGTGCCTGTGCTCTTCGGCCTATTCCTTAATTTGTTCCACCGTCTTCTCTTTCTTTTTGGCTCTTCCTTCTGTGGGTCTGGCTCTTCCTCCTCCGACTCTGACTCTGGCTCTTCCTCATGCACCTCATCAATATGATTCTTTGTAGTTCTCTGCCCTTTTACGAATTCTATGGCACGTATCCTTTCAGTGTTTTGCCCAGCTTTTGTTCCTCTGGTTTGTATGTGTGTTTGTGTCTCTTTGTCCTTCTTCTCAGCCTCTTCTTTCTTCATCAGTGCCTGTGCCTCTTCAGCCTATTCCTTAATTTGTTCCACCGTCTTCTCTTTCTTTTTGGCTCTTCCTTCTGTGGGTCTGGCTCTTCCTCCTCCGACTCTGACTCTGGCTCTTCCTCATGCACCTCATCAATATGATTCTTTGTAGTTCTCTGCCCTTTTATGAATTCTATGGCACGTACCCTCTCAGTGCTTTGCCCAGCTTTTGTTCCTCCGGTTTGTATGTTTGTTTGTACCTCTTTGTCCTTCTTCTCAGCCTCTTCTTTCTTCATCAGTGCCTACGCCTCTTCGGCCTATTCCTTAATTTGTTCCACCGTATTTTCTTTCTCTTTGGCTCTTCCTTCTGTGGGTCTGGCTCTTCCTCCTCCGGCTCTGGCTCTGGCTCTGGCTCTTCCTCTTGCACCTCCTCAATCCGATTCTGTGTAGTTCTCTGCCCCTTTATTTGCCTAACAGTCCTCTTCTCCCTCAACTCCAGAGCAGCAATGAATATTTCTCTAATAGCTTCGTGGGCTAGGTTGTGGGTTAGGAGGGACAAGCCCAAAGTCACGTGGCAACCATACTCCTTCATCGTAGCCCTCTGTACAGTGGCTGAGGCACTACTAGCAATGCGGTGACATGTGTAATTTTAGCCAGATGTGGCTCCGTCATTGCTTAAGAGAAGAGAGAGAGAGAGAGAGAGAGAGAGAGGGAGAGATAAATGAGAGGGAGATGAGAGTTTCAAAAATTACAAGGGCGCGGCTTTGTTCATATAACAGAACAAAAGGGAAGCGGCAGAGTTAGTTATGTGCATGAAATCTTCGGGAGTAAGATTTCATTTTGGCTTAATAATTATTTCAGGTCCGTCCGAGTTACTTGATTATTGATTTTGGTTTAATATTTATTTCAGGTCCGAGTTAGTTATATATGATTAGTGAATGAATTATGCAGCGCTCTGCAATGGATCGATAGTCGCAAGCGAATTGATTTTAGATGACCATGATGCATCGCGGGCTCAATGAAGGCGAATTGATTTTGGATGACCATGATGCTGCAGTTAAATCAAGTGAAATTATTTCTGATGAAGGTTTGCCACTGTGTTTGCCTCTAGTTATTAGGGCTTAACATTCACTTATGATTTAATAAGTAGCATGTACTCAATCTGTAATAAATATATGTAATTGGTCATCCTTGCCCCATCAGTGGCAGAGATAATGAAACATTTAAGCATGTTTATAACAGGTGCTTTATGGGATGAAGAGAACTGGCAAGCTCAATACTAATTGGTGATACTGATTCACCGCTAGCCTTTACGAAAGAAGCTGCAGCAGAGGCCCTGAACATGTCATTTGGAGTTGGTAGTTATGCCATAAATGTTTTGGAAAGCATGGGCTGGAATGGGATAATTTTAATTGTTGAAACTGTACTCTTGTTAAGTTTAATTGATTAATTAGCCCGAGTAAAGCTTTGAAGTTTTACTTGGGACATAAGCAATGCTACATAAGAAGTAACTGTCAACATCTTAGAAAGAAAAACACACTTGAAAAAACAGATTGATCTTGCCAATAACAAAATTTGATTCTCATTGGCTCAAGTACAAATTTCTTTCATTTGCTTAGCTCAAAACAAGAAATCAACCACAGTTGATGTTGAAGAGTTAGGCCACGACACTTGGACTTTGACCCTCTTATCAACAAAATCAAACTTCACCTCCTCTCCATCAATCATACAAGCACTTGGCTTTTCAGAAGCAAACACTCTCATTTCCCCACAACCCTTCATTCTAATTCTCACCAAATTTGAGGAGTTTTCTTCATCCTCAAATTCCAGCGACTGAATTGCACCACCAGTGTTGAGCATGTTCACCAACCCAATTGGAGCAAATTGGATCAACTTCTTTGGCAAAACCCTCACTGCAGAAACAGTGAGGATCTCAAAATTGAAAGGCTGAAGCGAAATCTCTACCTTCTTTGAAAGCTTCAAGAGCTGCAGCTTCTTTTGCTAGTGCATGTACACAGCAAATATGTTCATTCCTTTTATTGAAATTGGGGTCTTCCTATTGTTCCACTCTATATCTTTTGGGCCAAACAAGCAGGTCAAAGACTTTGAGCACTCAGGGGCACTTTTGTTGAGCCTGGATTTGGGGCACCATCCTCCTCCTTGGAAATTAAACAATCCCAATGCTCTAGTGTATTGTGTACTGGCACAAAATCATACAAAAAGATTTAATTAGCACTATCACTCAAAAGGTTATCTCACTTTTACTCTATTTTATAATTCACACGTATGTACGAACACTAGCATTTTTTAGTATTACTTTGTTTAGGTTCCAAATTTTGAGCATGGTTTTCCCATCATGCACAGGATCTTCAAAGAGGCAATCCCTAGTAGGAAGAGCATAGTGCTGGCATCGCAATACAGAGCCATCTGGCAACACAAGGCTCTTAAGAACCTTGAAGTTGTGCTTCCCAACAGAGTCACTGATGTAAATTGGGCCTATAGCTCTTGATGCAGCATGGAACTCAGCACAGGGGTGTGTTGATTTAAACATGTCCCAATCTTGGTGTATGATGTTGCCAATCCACAAGCTGTCGTAGGCACAATGCACTGTGTGACACCCTTGCAGCCAATATGTCCCATATGCTGCCTCGGTGGTCTTAGACCAAAAATCATCCCCTACATAAATGTGAATAAATTAATACTTATGTGGACTACTGACGTTAGCATGTAACTTATTAAAAGACATACCAATGCGTCCAAGTGATATCGCTGTTGTTCCAAGGTACATGAAGTCATTGCAATGCTGCATGCTGGCAATTACTCCATTGCCATTGAAATGCTTTTTCATGGAATCAGTCAGTGCCTTGTAATAAGCTTTAGCCAGCTCAACTCGACCACCAAACTCCTCGAATAGCATCTCCAGCAACTGCAACCAACCATGGCATGAAAATGTTTCATGAGGGTGGATGAAGTAAGTTCTAGAGTGCACATAACAATACTTTTAATTAATTAATAATTTCCAAAATCATATTATTAATAAAATAAATAAGCAAAAATAATACTATATGTGACATTTTTTCCAATTAAAGAAAAATAAATAAATAAAGGAAAAAGCTAGAGCTTTCGAGAATAAACTTACATGTATGACATCAACTTTGATACCGTCAATCCCCACCGATTGAAGATGAGAGTGGAGCCCCTCATACAACTTGTGGGCCACCTCTGGCAGAACCAACCCAACTCCATTGTTCACAATCTTGTCCACCGCCAAGTCCTCTATTGTTCTCTCCAATCCCAGTGACTACTTGGGCTTAATCACCCTCCACTCGGGCAACTCCTAATTATTAGCCCCAAGTATAATCTCACCCTAACAATACCCACAAAGCACATGCCACACGTACACATTCTCTACACTCCCAAACTCCTCTTTCAAGTCTTTGATAAACGCACCCATGTCCTTACTACACACACCCACCTCACCCTTCTTCTTACCCTCATAGCTTCTGAATTTGAAATTCTCTTTAAAATCAATCAGCCTGTATGGCATTTGCTCACCAGCTGATGTCCTGGTCATGCCTTCTTGGCCGATTGGATCGTCGTTGTGGCAGATCAACTGTCACCCGTCGTCAATTAGGATAAGCCCTGGAGGGCACCCACCCTCCACTAGGCCCTTCACCCCTTCCCAGACCCCTTTAGGGTGCACCATAAGATAAAATGCATCTCATATACGCCATCCAAACTTGTCCACTATTTTTGGTACATTTTTTTCCTCTAGGAGTTTGAATGTGCCCAAATGGACCCTTACCACCTCCATGGCCTCTTTGACCAAACTACATAGGTCATCGCCAACATGCATGTACAAGCAGGATCTGAAGCTGGAGGCGCTGACACGTGTCGACCCGCTCTTCACACACATGTCCATGTAGTAGTCTTTGTTATGAGAGCCAGGTTGGAGTGAGGCTCTAAAAGGTCCTTCGAGGAGCTGAAGGATCAGGACATAAAGGCGCCCCAAGTCGTTTTTCTCCAGAAGTATCATCTGAGTTTCGTTCTCCACGTCGTTTCCGCTAGTTCCAGCCCAATAGGTGGTCCACCAGACCTTGAACCTGAAAATGCTCGTGAACATGATGCCTATGAGTTTCTCGACGGGGACCACATGGCGGCTTATGGCTCTTCGACATCGAAGCCCACGAAGCAGTTGGAGGACGTGGTCTTGTTCATGTTACTGTCGGTCTTAGTGTTGTCTGAAGAGATGTTGTGAAATGTGATGGTGGAGTGGTGGCTATGATGTTTAGAGGGACTTCAGTGAGGAAAGGGTGGCCACGAGCAAGAAAGCTTGTTCCATGCAGAGTTATTGGGAGTGGTGAAGTGTTGTCCACAAGGTCTAGGGCATTCTTGGTTAGGCTTGGAGGAGCCATGGAGAGCTAGCTAGCAATTAAGGTTAGGGAGATGAAGGGAGAGAGAAAGTGAGTGAGTGGTGGCTTGGTTTGGTGATTAAGGGGAGAAGGAAAGAGGGGTTTAAATAGAGATTAATACATGCTTTGTGATGTGAAACAAAGTGAGTATATATTAGGATCAAATATCCAAGCAATTAGCAAGTTATGTGTTTTGTGTTCTGAAAGTGAAACAAAGTGGGTGTTGTAGCGGAAGTCATGGATGTAAACGTTGGCTTTTACCAAGTTCTAAATTTGATAAAGTATACAAGTTAGAATCTGTAACCAAAGTTAAAACAAGTACTAGTACTATATATAGTGAATATTAAGATTGGATATTATTATTATGGGAACTATTTTTGTCAAAGTAGGGTTGGTTGGTGTAAAGTAAAGTCATTTAACAATGAGTCTGTAGCTACAATCTTTTCTTTGTTTATTATTTTAATAGCATTTTTTGGATCTCTCCTTGCTTTTTCTAGATGTTTCATTTCTCTTGACATGTATTGAGAATGGTGGTGAAGGTATACCTTAGGTTAAAGGGCGTCTTGCCAAATGTATTAATATGGTTGGAAACAAAATCTACCGATAAGTTATCGAATAATATTTTGTGAAATTTATAAATGTGAGTTAGAATAGTTGATCATGGTAGTTAGGTCATCTTCTTATACTAAAGTTCGAGTTCTCTTAAATTCGATTGCCCCTATCTATTATTTATTATTTAAATTTTGGTTGCATAAGGAGTTCAAGAGTATATGTGTTCCCCACTATGCACCCGAGTTTGAATCTCCCTCCCTATACTTAGATTAAATTAAAATTAAAATATCACTTATATTAAACAAATAAAAAGCTTGCATATAAAAGGCTCCCTAACTATTCACGCAGTATTGGATGGCCCGATTCAGCACAATCCTGTTATTTTAACGAGCTTAAGGATGAACCAATAGTATTACTGATGGGCCATCCTATACAGGGCACAAAATTAAGCCCAAGTTCATATTCATACCCGCGTTCTGCAGGCGGTCCCTGAACTGAACCTCTGTTCTTGCCAGCAAACCGTCGTGGAAGTGCCTTTGGCAATATCCAATTTCCCGTTACTGCGTCTCTGCTGATCATGCACGTATAGAGCAAACCAAATGGAGGGTCCGAGTCCGAATCCAAGTTCGAGTGCCACAGAACCCGGTTCCCTAGACTCCCACAACTCCTTTGTTTGGGACGAAAGCTCTCAGCTTTATTTCCATGCCGGTAGCGGATTTTACCATGACCCGAACGCTGGTTGGTACTATAGCACTCGGGACGGTCTTTACTACAAATTCGAAGATGGAAACTACGTGCTTCTTCCCTCTCACCAGGTTTCTCTTTCATTCTCTTCACTCTTTGTGTCTTGGGCTGATTAAATTTGAAATCGTTGTTGTTGGTGGTGTTTTGAAATTTATGTTTCTTCTATCTCTTTGATATTAGGTGGAGTGATTTCTGGTTTGGTTGGAAATATTATTTTCAGGCTGATAATTTGGAAATATGTGAAACCCAAGTGACTGCTTCTGAGAATCCCATTCAAAGAGATCTTTTTGCACATGAAAGTGAATGCATAGAAACTATTCCTGAGGAACCCATTGGAATTTCAGGTGTGACATTGCAATTCCCTTTGCTTTTGTGTGTGCTCATAATTGCAATTTGCAACTCTAATGTGTATTGAAATTTGTATATGAATTATGACGCACACTTTCATTTCAAGTGTTCTGCCCATTATCCTCATCTTCCGGATTGAAACTACAAAATTGATTTTACTAGTGTTGGAGCATCGATATTCCAAAGTCTTAGACTTGTATTGTTTTACACTAGTTCAAAGCAGTGAACTAGTTCTTTTGTAAACAGGCACCACAGAGTGCTGCAGTAGCAGTGATGTACCTGAAAATCCCCCTCCCACCTCAGAATGGTATCCTGGTTCTCGCATTGCCTTCCTTATTAAGTTGATTGTTTGATTAAATATTTTCCTAACTCTGTTTTTTTACAATACCCCTTTCTAGGTTAGAAGATACGCTTATTGATCTTTATTTGTCTGGTTATTCCAACTTAGAAGCCAATGCTGCTGATGATATGACAGTGTTTCCCGAAACAGATGTTGAGTTTGGATCCAATGGTTTGTTCTGAATTCTCATATGTGTTTCTAGATAGATGATTGCTGTGGTTGGAGTAGGATTTAAATGGGTTTGTTTGGTGGAGTTGCAGGGAACAATGATAGTCACGAGCTCAATGGAGGCAAATTGATTCCAGATGACCATGATGCTGCAATTAAATCAAGTGAAAATGTTAATGATGAAGGTTTGCTACTATGTTTGCTTCTAGTTCTTGAGGCTAGATATCAACTTTAGTTTTAATAAGTAGGATGTACTTTATCTGTAGGATTTTTGGTCTGTCTTCCTGACTCTGCTGTATAAATATATGTAATTGATCATTGAGGCCCATCAATAGCAGAGATAATGAAACATATAAGCATATTTGGCACAGGTGCTTCATTGGATGAAGAGAACTGGCGAGCTCAATATGGTCAGGTCATTCAATCTGAAGAAGTTTCAATCCCGGAGTCCTCACTTGTAAGTTTATGGGACTGGGAAATGATCACAAAGCCCAGACAGGAAGGAAAAGGTGAGGTAGCAAGGCTTGTTGGGAGATTAGTGAGGCGGTCTGCTAAGCTTCATCCATCTATGCCTTCTGGTGGTGGTCTTCTAAAAACTGCTCCAATATGTGAAGTACATCTTGATCTGGTACGAGTTATAACAGGTTTGCATTTGCCTCTACCATTTGGCAACATTTTTTACTTTTAAAAATAAAATAAAAAATCTTGAAGACATAAGACCTACTTGTGTTTTGTGTGTTTGCATTATGTTCTGCCTGAAAGCATGTTGTTTTAGTTAACAACAGCAAAATTTGATGGTTACCTGTGACTTATGTTTGGTATTCTTTCAGGACAAGTCTATAAGTTGCGGAGGCCCAGTATACGATACTTATCTTCCTTGTCAACTTATGATTCTTCCAACCCAACCAAAGATTGGGGCTTCCCTGAATTATCAGTCAACACACCCCTCTCTAAATCCAGTGTAAACAGTGAATCAATAACTGCAGATGGAGTGGCAATTAGCAAGGATTTGTCTTTGTTGCCAGGCCAAATATATGAAAAGGTAACTTGAGCATGTTCAATTGTTGAAACTGTACTCTTGTTAAGTTCAATTGATAAATAGTCCAACTCCAAGTAAAGCTTTGAAGTTTTAGCTGGGACACGAGCAATGCTACATAAGAGTACCCTTACGTCAACAAGTAACTTTAAACGTCCAAGGGACATGGTTCAGTCGCTAACAATGGATAACCTCGTGCTATCAGACTATCAGTTTTATATTTATGTGTCAAACATACTAGATGTGTACCTGAATATGCCAAACTACTATAAGTTTTTGTTGAGTGGCATAATCTTTTATCTACTTATACTCTTCTATATGCACGTGCAGCATGGTATGGTGCACTACTTAACAGTTCTGTTGCAGCCCTTTGTCGTTTTATTCCGTTATAAGATGTTGAGGAGTATATGCATTTCTATCCAAATCTGCACTTCCCTGATACTCTGTCTCCTGTCAATTTGCCAGCATGAAAGCTATACATATAGGGATAGAGCTGCTGATAGAAGAGCCTTGCACGGTGGTTTCGGTGTGGGTCCGGGACAAAAGAATTCACTAATTGGTGATAGTGATTCGCCGCCAGGCTCTACAGAAGAAGCTGCAGCAGAGGCCTTGAACATGTCATTTGGAGTTGGTAGTTATGCCAGAAAACTTTTAGAAAACATGGGCTGGAAGGAGGTAATTTTAATTTGTTAATACTATTCTAGAGCAACCCATTAAATCCGGTTAGATGTAAACTGAAACAGGAGAGGTTTACCTGTTTAAAAACTTATATCAGGCAAATATCTCCTGGCTCAAATTATGCCTTTTTTTTCTCATTTATATATTTACTTTTGTGGACATTGCAAATTTGGAACCCTGCTCACCTTTTGTTCCTTCGATTTGTATGTGTGCAGGGAGAGGCACTTGGCAAAAGTACAAAGGGATTAGTTGAACCTATTCAAGCACACAGCAACATTGGTAATGCTGGATTAGGGTGGCCTCAGGGAAGATTTAAGCATCCCTGAATTAGAGTGGTCTCAGGGAAGACTTAAACATTGATAATGCTGCGTGTATGTACGGTGGAACAAAGGCATGATGATTTGAGCATGTAGATTTGTGCATAACATGGCTCTCAACCTTTCAAGATTTTGTGCAAACAGCATTCTGTATATTCATTATGAAACGAGAACCATTTCAGTATTGTAAGAATGAATGACATGAAATGAAACCATGCAACTGCCGCACCCATGATGGGGTTTATAGCTATGATAAATTTGGGGTAACGGACCGCCTCAAGCATTATAAACTTTAACCTCAACTCCAGCTACTCAGTTTCGAAATTTAATTTTTCCCGAACAGAAATGTTCTGACCAAAAAGAAATATCAAATCAAATGTTAAATGTACATACAAAAAATGATTATATCCTACAAATTTCTCTTTTTCTTCTTTTAGGTGTTGACTTCCTCAGACTCAATCACTTCGTCGCTGACTTTCCTACTATCAGAAGATGGCTCTGCTTTCTCCTCCTCTATTAAGCTCTTCTGCTCCAGCTCCTGCTTTAACCGTTTGATCTCACAATCTCTCTCATCTAGCTGCTCTTGCATGATACGCACCTGCAGTTGAAGATGCTTTAAATTCTGATTCTCATTCAAATGGTCTACTAACTGTGTAATAGATAAATTAGACAGCAGCATATCTTGAGCAAATATTTTGAAACAAAGCAAAAGAAAAAACATTGAATAGTACATCTTTAAAACTATGATGAAGTATGATCCCTGTAAACTAATAAATAAAAAAAGTTGGGGGAAGGGAAGGATACCATTTCATTTGATCTTTCAACGTCATTTGTGAGCCCCTCCATATGTTTGTGCAATCCTGTATGTAGAAACACAAAATATATTTATACAATGCCAAATAATATTGCGCAAGGGCAGTAGAAGTACCATCTAGCATATACATTTTACTAATCTGAGAGATATCTAAAATTTCACTTGATTTATCACTGACCTTCAAATTGACTTCTCAGTTCTGCATTTTGGGATTTTTGCAAAGCAAGTTTCATAGATAATTCATGCATCTGCAGACCAACAATAGCAAATCATATAAACCAGATCATCAGTGTATAACATAACCAAACAGACGAGAACCTCCTAGAGAATAAGAGTGCATACATTTATTAGAAAACACAACGAGGACAGTTTATTTGTAAGCATGCATATATTAACGCATCAAAGATGTTTATGTTCGATTTGGTTCTAACAGCAACATACTTTTGTGCCAAAATCTGTATTATAATATCTTAAAAAAACACAAGATACTGAGGAGAAAATAATAGCTGAGGGTAAAATTAACACAAGATACTGAATGCATATAATAGCATCTGAAATATTTTGGATGCAACAGCAGCACCTTTCCCTCAGAAGCTTCATTGCCTATCTCCTCATTTTCCTCTTGCAGGGTCCTACATTTAGCCATTAACTGCTTCCCCATCTTGCTTGTAGGAGTAAATTGAACAGCAGCAATGTTGTCATTCAACTCCTTCACCTTTTTCTCCTTCTCCTCAACCAAATTCTAACATCATGCACCACGGTTAAATGCAAAGATAAGTTATCTATAAATATAGAGAAAACTTGGAAAACTAAAATACTTCTAGTTTCACAATTGCCTTCAAATTACTTTACATGACAAATATCAACTTGTCCCTAATTCATACAAACAGGTGCAGGGGATGTATTTCTTAATTTGTTTCCTTTTCAAGCTCTTTTGCTTTCTTCCTACATAATGAGACCCTTCCCTCTGTTTGCATTTCTCTGACTTGGCATATAATTTCTTTGTATACCCAGAAGAAGAAAGGGGATATTGGTATTATAAAATACAAATACAGGTATTACACCCATAGATCTTAGTAAAACCTTTCAAAATAGAACTCCAAAGTTTTGAACACAAACCTTTAGACGAGTAAACTCTTCATGAATTGCTGGATCAAGTAACAATCTTCTTGCCTGCACAATTAATCAGCACAAGAAAATGAAGATCAGGTTGAAATGATAATCATAAAGAGAATTTACAACCAAACCAAAAATTGGAAATTTTATCACCTGGTCCAAAATTTCAAAAACTCTATAAATAAATAAAAATTGCAATTAACTCAAGGATATTTAAGCTACCTGCATTGATGGTGGCTTCAGTTGAGCTTTAAGATCCCGAACTGCAGACTGTACATTAAACAAGAAGTTGGGTATTCATGGTCACATAGAATTAATCTTCCTACTTAAAAAAGCGAATATGCTAAAAAGCTATTATATTACATGAGAGAGGAACATAATATAACACATAGAAACTGAATTTACAAGGAATAGATGTGCAAAGGATATTACCTTGAGCTCTGCTATCTCCTGCTCCCGTTTTGCAAATGTGACAATAAACGCAGCTTCCTTTTTCTTTGCTTTCTCTAACTGTAAATAAGAACACACCATGAACAAAAAGAAGAAGATTTCTGATGACTTCGTGAAAAGAAACATTTAACACTAACCTGTTCTTTTAACGATTCCTCGGAGTTCTTCAGGGATTGAAGATAATTGATGACCAATTTAGGATCTACAAGGATAGGTTGAAATCAAGTTTTTAATGGACATAAGGTAGATGCATGTAAAATGATCAGAAGATAAGTTGATTCTCTAAGATGAACATATAATTTAACACATTCCATAATAAAACAAGGACAGGCCAAGCAGCAAAGCACCCTAAAAGGCAAGTATGGGACTAACCAGGAGAAGTTCCCGGAGTTATGAAGTGTTCATTCTGAAATGAAGAATGCCACTTTCGAATCTCAGATTTTGCAGCTTCAAGTTCCGTCTGCAACCGAGGAAAATAATCCAATAACAAACAGAGCATTTAACAATGCGGCCAAACCATATAACAAGTACGACTGTAGTGATTGCATCAGCAAATGCTATGAAATTCTTCAAGCTTGTGATGAAATTACGTTAATTTAATATTTAATATTTATCATTACAACTACAAGCGTCAAATATTTTACCTACTTGACTGAAAAATTATCACATAATTGATATTTCACTAACTGAAGAAATACAATGAAGACATATAGAGAAGGAAAAAAGTTGATTAACGAATACATACTTGGCATGTTGCAAGAGTATCTTTACAGTTTTGAAGACTGCAAAAAGAATTGCAATAAAAATATAAAAATCAGGCCCTAAAGAAAACTCAATGCATTATAATTTCCAGTGGTATAGAAGTTTGTTCAACTTTTGAGTTACCTCTCTCGAAGAGACAAAATCATTCCTGTTGCTACACCAGGAGCAGTTTCTTCAACTTTTGAGTTACCCTACATTGTACACATATCATTAGATTTTCCTTAAATGGAACAAAAACTGAACAAAGGAGAGTGTATACCACAGAAATCTCTTATATAAGCAAGAATCTGCGGAAGGCTGCATGCTTATCAGAGGAAACTTATTAGAAGTATCTGCCCTTTTGATAGTAGAATCTGAAACTTTTTGACATAATTTTTTGACATTGGACAACAATTGCCACATCACTTCCCAAGTATAACTGTTCTGTTGAAGTGCATTAACATACTTCAAAGTTAAAACTATGTTTTTTTCTCATACTAAAATCTGATATATATATATATATATATATATATATATATATACCTTTATAAATTCATAACCTCTTTAACACAAATGGAACCTAATGCTTAACATACACATCAAATCCCCACACATAATTACTTTGGTTCTTCACCTAAACTATTCTCTAAAATTAACGCACTGCTCTACACCCATATTATTGAGAACGCAAGAAAAATATAATTTTTCCTTTACCATTGTTTCTTAAAGGTCCACCCTAAACAGTAAGGAAAGAACAGATATACACAGACACATTTACACATAATGACTAAAGGTTCAACATTTCCGAAAAAGAATGCCAGGAATGAATGGGAAAATACCTGTTTTGAGCCAAAAAAATCGTCTTCTTCGTCCTCAAGATCCCCAAAGCTTCTCTTTTTACCTAAATTTCACAAAAAGGAAATCAATAAGCACAATTCAATTACACATTGAGAGCAGTGTTTGGTTGCAAGCAAACTGAAACATACCAGGCCGCCTGTTATTGTGAGCTCCAGGAAAATCGCCTCCAAAATCATCATCCTGTATTGAACAAAAACGCATTCCAATTAATCACAAAATAAATAAATAAATAACCCCTAAGATCGATATAAACTGGTGTAGTAGCTAGGGCAGGCCTTACGTCATCGATACGAGTGTGGGTAGCCATGAAGCTTGAATTCTCAAAACCCTAGCACTTGATTTCTCAGTGAGTAAGCGAGAACAAAAACGAATAAACAAACTGTGGTTTGTAGCTGCGAAGCTGAAAGTACAACGATCTGGTTTTTTTTTGAATGGGGGTGGTTGGGGAAAGAGAGTACAATTGTTTGATGCAGTGAATCGGAAACAAAAAGGATTGGGTTGGGGGGAACAGCTATTATCAGCTGTGTGCGGTTGCACAGTTTAGTCATATATGCAAGCCCACCTTCTTTTTTTTGGTCAAGATACAAGCCCACCTTATGACCACTGTTATGACCACCTTAGTGGACAAATTTTGGGGCCCTTTTTAAAATTCAAGTCAGCCCAGTTCCTTTCAAGAATCTGTTGAGCTTAAGGGATGAACCATCACAAACCCTAGTCGTATGCCCAAGGAGGCTAGAATGAGGGATTATAGTGAGGGGCTGATAATGAGTCATGTTATGTTTGAATCGTGTTATGTCAGGATTATATACGTGTCAAGAATTACTCAATTCAAACCCGATATGTTTAATAAATGTGTCGTGTCGGGTTGACTCGCTAATTTTTTCGTGCGGGTTGTCAAGTATCATTGGTTTACCTCCCCGACCGCTGTGTAACAAAAGTGGTAGTAGGTAGTAAGTAGCAACAAAGCTAGGTAAAATAAAAAAATGTAGACCTAGACCCACCCCAAAAAAAAAAAAAAAAAAAAAAAAAAAAAAAAAAAAAAAGAGAGAGAAAGAGAGTACTATTCAAAGAATTTTGATAAAATAGTGATTTCATTTTTTATTTTTTGTATAAAATAGTGATTACATTTTGCTTCTCTATATGTATGAAGATTAAGATAGAGAAATAAAAAATAAAAATAAAAAAATTAGGAAAATGAAGAAGAAACATGTTGGCGGGTTACATAGATATTTTAATGGGTTGGCGAGTTGATCTGAAAATTTAATCAAGCGGATTGAATCGGTAATTTCCCGTGCAAGTTGAGTTGTGTATTGGGTCGTGTAGGAAATTGTCACCCTTAAACTTTATAATGAGGGGGTCCTTAATAGCCGTCTAATTCGGTGCATAGCTATTATTGGAGTGTTGAATTGAACCCTCTCATTGTAATCCTTCAACGTAGCCTTTATTGTTGGGTTGACAACCCATATAACTGTGTCATGTTCAGGTTGACTCATTTATAATCGTGTAGTGTTCTGATTGACTCATATGTCAAGTGAATGCAAAATTCAACAATAAATTTCTTTTATTTCTAAACCAAACCTCTTGCAAAATCATAAATAAATAATATCATAATCATACAATTACTCATATAAAAAAAAATTATAAATTTCATATAATACGAGTTAGTTAAATGTGTTTTTCGTGCCAAAATAGAGTTACTCATATTGAGATTAATCCAACATATTTATTATACATGTCAGCATGTCGTGTGATATTCGTATTTAGTCATGTGAAACATTGTCACCTCTAAAAAAGTATCGAACATATAAAATTAAGATTATCTTCTCTTTTTTTTTTTTTTTTTTCTGAGATTATATTCTCTTTAACTGATGTTTATCGAAGAAGCTATCACAAGATCGAACTCGAAAGCCTAAAAACTCTCATTATAAATAATGATTTGGCCGCTGAAAGTATGTCTAGAATTGCTTCATATGCTCACATATATAGTATAATCCACTCAGCAAGAATGGCAAACACATGTATTATGCTGTCTTCGAATTCTGATTGGTCTCATTTCATAATGTCTCCTTTTCCACCACCCTAGTATTAACAACAAATTCATGTGATGCACCAGTGATCACACAACCCAAAAAAAACAAGGGTTTAGCTAAATTTTTTTATTAATGTTGGTGGGAAGGAGGTATGTCGATGTCTTCAATGAAACCTAGCTAGCTATGTATATTTTAAATCCCACGTCGTTTTGGTCAAGGTTCACAAAGATGGAAGATAAAGACAAACGACCTTTTCTCCAAATCTTGCATACAAGGGTCCCATCCAATCCAAGGGACAAAATTGGAGTCTATATTAGTTAATTAATTCCTTAACATATATGATAAATCAGTGTTAATAATCTAATCTATAGCTTATAATATCTCTATCCCGTGATTTACTCTCTCCTTGTGAGGGTCCCACTAATTTGTCATCCTATGGTTGGATTGTGGGCACGTGGGGGTAGCACTCATCATCATCAAGATGAAATACATATACATACATATATGAGGTTCTTTTTTCAAGTAAACCTTTTTCTTAATCTTCATGGATGAGAAAAGGGTTGGTTGATATGATTGGTTTGAAGAAAAAAAAATTAGGGTTTGTCGGCTATGGGAATTTTCAGATTTTACAGAATGAAATCGATTCAGGTATGAAGTTTTTGTTGAGGGAGGGGACATCTTTTTAACACTTGGGGCCCTTAGGTTTCCTTTGGGTCATTTCAATTTTTCTTCCCTCAAAGGGAAAGTGTGGTTCAAATAGTTTGAAGTCAATTATGGGTTGTTGAAATAATAATAAAAATCATTTTCTTTGGTTAGGTAGAAGATGTGATTAGCCTCTCATAGACTTCTTTTACATTAGTATTTGGTGGAGTTGGTGGTGGCAATTTATTTGCAATAGTCAAGATAAATATTAGGTTAGGAGTTATTAAACTCTGATTATGTTATTTTAATAGATTTTTCATCTACTAAATCTAATTTTTCTATGTGAATGTGTTCCACCTTCTCTTAATGTATTTGTCACATGAATCACATTAGTTAGTAGGCTACGTATCCTCTCCCAAAAGAAAATAATTAACATAATGTTGTTCTTATAATATAATTAAAGGGGAAAAAGAATGTCCAACTTCTCTTGACTAGAATCATTTGCAAAAATAGAAAGGAAATCTCTAATCTTATGCTTGAATGAGAAGATAGACGGTTAGTGATTACATTGACCAAGAATTAGTGAAGATCATCAATATGTTTATATGTTCATTATATTGAATTAATATAAATGTATGACCAGTCTAAGTTATATAAAGGTCTAAGAAAAGAGAGGACAAAAATGAATTATATGAATGTAAGTATGCGATAAGTGTTCTACCAATGTAGCTATATATGTAAGTACGTGATAGCATCTCCAACAATAACTAAAATTTTCAGATTGAAGTTTATTGACCTATGTGATAATTTGTTCCCAAACAAACTATTCAATTCAATTAATGCAATGTTATGAAGAAAAAAAATACGAAAAATTGTGAAAAAAGTCTATGTCGGTTTTGTTATTTCAAAGCAAAAAAAATTAAATGTATTGAAGAGTTAATGTCAACTTATCAGCTCTTAAGAGAGAAATATGAGTTGTAGCTTTGGTAACTGAATTTGACAAGTTTGTTGGAGAGATTTTCTATTTTAGCATTCCAAAACAATTAAATGGATTGTTGAAGATGCTCTACACATATGTACATGTACATACGTATTCATGTAATACATGTAAATGGCTGGAAAAGGCATATTATTCTGATAGGTCACGCCCACGACAAAACTACATGCAAAATAGTTGAAATCCAAAAAGCCCTAGTTCACTCATCCTTCTTTTACCTTTTGTATCCAACAAGCAGCTGCAATGCAAGCGTGTAGGCAAATATGTACAAAAACAAATGGCCTTTTTCAATATTCCAACACATCAAGCTCAACTTTAGTTTTTGACACTTTTTAGCATCATCGCATCGCATGCCATGAAAATATATAAGAAGCCAATTAAAGTTAGGGCAAGATTGTGGAAAAATGGAAGTAATTTGGAGAAAAGTGAGGGAGAAGTGCTTCTTGTATCTGTGGCATGTCATGAGAGGTGTAGGCAAGTTGGGAAACACAATGGGACCCTTGTGCAGTAGCCAGTTCACACTCCATTGTTGAAGGGTCAACTTCATTGCTCTCTTTTAGTCCTTTGAAGATCCAACACCACCCATCATTCATTTCTCAACACAAAAAGGATCAATGGGAGGAAGAAAAAAATGAAAATTCAGAAATGGCAATGGGGACCAAAAAGGACCAAAGGAGAGACGTGAGGGACATATCGCACGCAACAAGGCATTTTTGTCTATGGCCCTGCAAGTCTACATGTAAATTTGTAAATTCTCTCTTAAGCTTCAAACTCTCGAACTCAAAGATTGCATGTAATGTAATTATCATCTGCAAACCCTCATTTCCTATGTGCACGTGTAGAGCAAAAAAAACAACATAATTCACATCCTTTTTTTCTTTAATTTATTAATTTGGTCCATGCAACATGATATATGTATGCATGGACAGTTATTCTCTTATTCGGACGTTTGTACGTTATTATTATGCAAACGTCATTGTAAATAGGAAGGGATAGTAGAAAATACATGTCGTATGCACGATAATAACGTCCGGACGTCCGCATAGGAGATTTTTTGTATGCATGGATATATGTTATAGAACATGGGTCATATAACGCATATATGCTATGATGCAAGGGATCGATGCCATGTTTTGCCCATGCACAGTAACAACACAGACTAGAGACTTGTAAAGCAAGATGGATGATAATTAATCTTAATTTCTACTTAAATATAGAGCAATCAAGCACCTAATCTAAGCACAAGTTGATCATTATTATTACTTTTTTCTTGCTTTGGCCGGCATTAGAGGACGGTAATTTCTCTTGAGATGATTGGCTAGGAAGAAATTATCTAATACGCAAAGATATTAATGGTGGTCATATCCAGCCAATGTGGTCCAAGTTTTTAGAAGATAAAAAAGATGTGGGCAACGATCAACCACCATTTTACTGTACATGAAAGAATATACTGTTCAAATGACATATATATATAAATATATATGCTTTTCTTTTTGTGAATTGTGATGGATGATGATAATGATGATTAATTTCATATATATGATGGTAACTTTTAATTAATTAAGTAAATTAATCATGGCTTGGAAATGACAGACTCACACATCAAACCTATCACAAAATATATGCATATGTAAGCCACTCACACAGACAGTAATAATTATGTGAAACAAAGACAAGGAAAAAAAGTCATGGGTGCATTGCATTTTTATCTCAATTGGATTTCCTCTAAAGTAAATATGTACTCAAATCACTTAACCCACCCCAACTCTCAACTCAACTCAACTCAACTCAACCTAACCAATCATTTTCCTTGACTGGTATCAGAAAATTTCAAACATTTGTGTTTATTGGTTGAGACCGCGCTTCTTAAGATGGTCCGGAGACTAGCCTAAAATTACCCACGTCCTCTGCTGTATGTATGCAGCACTATAAATAAATGTGTTTTCCACCAAAAAATGTCTCTCCTTGCAGTAGTGTCTGTAGGATTCTGAGTTTGTTGGGAGCCCCATGAAGGAGACACTCAGATACTTGGCAGGAATTGCAGGCCCAAGTGGTTATGGCTCAAAATCAACTGCTGAGCAAGTTTCTCAAGATTGTTGTTCCTCAGTCCCTTCTCATCTCACTGCCATAATCACTGGTTAGTTAAAAGTTTTCACATCATAACATTTCATTCTTTTTGGCAATTTGCATGGAATAAAGATATTCATTTGAATAAGAATTCTACGATTTGTTAAAGGAGCAACGTCAGGCATTGGAGCTGAGACAGCAAGAGTACTGGCAAAGAGCGGGGTGAGGATCGTGATTCCGGCGAGAGATTTAGGGAAGGCAGCTGAAGTGAAGGATGAAATTCAAAGAGAGAGCCCAAAGGCTGAGGTTATAATATTGGAGATTGATCTCAGCTCACTTGCTTCTGTTAACAGATTCTGCTCTGAGTTCTTGGCTCTAAGGCTACCCCTCAACATCCTCATGTAAAGTTTTCTTCATGTACTTTTTATCTTCTTAGCTTCTTTAATCAACTTGTTGTTTTTATGGTGCATGAAATCTTTGATTTGCAGAAACAATGGTGGAGTATTTTCTCAAGCTTTGGAGTATTCTGAAGACAAAGTTGAGATGACATTTGCTACAAACTACTTGGGTATTTTTTCTATTTTTTATATCTCTGATCCCATCTGATCATCAAAAAAAAAAAACAAGAACAACAAAAAGAACAAAAAAAAAAAAAAAAAAAAAAAAAAAAAAAAAAAAAAAAAAAAAAAAAAAAAAATTTTACAACAAACCATAAACCATGCTCAATTGCTTTAGAACAAATTTTGGGCTCACTCGATTTTATGTGTCCTATAGTGTGTGCAATGGACCACCAGACCAGACACGATCTTCAATATTGGTCACATACATACACATCACTGTTTTTGTTGTTGTCCCTTGCAGAAGCCTATTTGGGCAACGCATGGCCATTCAAATCATTTTGTTTTTTTGGGGGGATGAAGAAGAATTGAAGGTGTCGATTTAATTTAATTTGGGTTTTGATAATAAAACCTTTTTTGATTTCTTTTGCAGGACATCATTTTTTGACAGAAAAGCTGTTGGATAAAATGGTGGAAACAGCGGCCCAGACTGGCATCCGAGGAAGAATAATCAATGTTTCTTCTGTGATCCACAGCTGGGTCAAGAGGGATGGTTTCTGCTTCAATCAATTGCTCAACCCAAAGAAGTATAAAATCGCTCTATTTCTCCTGATCAAGCCATTAGTAAACTGTGAATACTGTTGTTAACAATTTTGTTCATGCAGTTATAATGGCACAAGAGCATATGCACAGTCCAAATTGGCTAACATATTGCATGTTAAGGAACTGGCAAGACACCTGAAGGTAGTCTCATTTCCTCTTATTTACCTTTTTGTCAAAGAATTTTTGTATGCGCCGGTTGCATATAGCGATCTTTACCACACTAATCTTCTTATTAAAAATTTACAGGCAAGAAATGCGAGAGTAAGCGTCAATGCGGTGCACCCGGGGATCGTGAAGACCGGGATTATAAGAGCTCACAAGGGCTTCATTACAGGCATGGATTCTTTCCTTTGATTTAAATTGGCATGTGAGTTAATAATGTTGCAGTTTTGTGAAATGAAATCTAATTTCTTGGAACCCTTTTTATTTCCATGCAGATTCTGTGTTCTTCATAGCATCCAAGTTACTAAAATCAACATCCCAGGTTTGCAACGGAGCAATAAAGCATGCATTTTTATTCTTAATTTTTAAAAATATAAAATAAAAATTTGTTTGTTGAAGTTTGCTGGAATTCGGTTTTACAGGGTGCTTCGACCACATGCTATGTTGCTTTGAGCCCAGAAGTAGAAGGGGTAAGTGGGAAATACTTTGCAGACTGCAATGAGAGTGACTGCTCGAACCTAGCAAATGATGAATCTGAAGCTCGTAAGTTGTGGAAGCAGACCCGTCTGCTAATCCATAGACTACTATATCAACCAACAGCTTAGAAATGTGTATTTTTTTTTCTCTGCCATTAAAGCCATGCATATAAAGTGTATTTATATAAGCAAAGGGTAGATAGAGAGGCCTACTTCACAATAAACTCCAGGGTAATTTAATAACTGAAAGAACTTGGATACCTATTTTCACTGTTTATAATACAACAAAATCTGAAATTCGGTTCTTCGATACAACTCTGCCTACTTTTCATATTACCGAAAATACGGGCATGTGCAATGTAAATTCTAACAGCATATACAATTAAAATACATGATTGGCATATTTAATTGTCATAAGAATAATTTTCTTATAATTGGCGTGTGAAATACATGATCACAACCAATTAAAAGGAGATACAAGAAGACCTGAGTCTCATGAGAAGGTGAAACTACTACAACCAAACAAATTGTGAAGAGAAACAAAGATATAACCCATGTGCTGTACTGCAGAGAAGTAATAACACACAATACATGAAATGATGACAAATCAAAATATAAGATATTATTAAATACAATTGAAATGCACGCACACACTAGCATAGTATTTTGGGATTACAAAAGCCTTACATTCAATCACGCATCAGTGGCTCAGTTCAATGAAGAGTACATGAGTAAACCAAATCCAGCAACAAGGTGCTGCTGTCACGTTGGGCTGCAACACTTCATCGATGAAGTTGTTTCTTTCTGTTAACTTAAGTTATCTAAATACGGAGAAATCAAGCTTCCTGACTCCCATGTCAAACATGAATGCCGTCAAGCATCCTTAGTTGTGAATTATGATTACTCTGAGGAGTTTAGAGCATGTGATGCACATTTGCTCAAACTAAAGATGACCGACAGCCTCTTTCCATCTTCATTTCTTGACCTATCATGGAATTCAGAAGATTTCATTCCAAAAAAAATTCTACAAGAAACTATTGTAGAATGGTATACAGGTGTGAGCCATGTACACAAGTAGCAGACAAAAATGAGAAGAAAGCAAAAACCTATAAAGCCTAAAGAAGGAAATACCTTAAAACGAGGAGACCGACGCACAGACGATGCAGACCTAGGAGATAGGAGTGCATATTTACTCCCCTTTCCATGGTTAGGTTTCTTGAATTGGCTATTACCTTCTCCATATTGAATTTGGTGCTCACCAATCTTGGCCACAGATTCACTTCTCTCAGTTGACACTGAAAAAGCTGGAGCAGACCCAGAAATCGAGGAAGAGTCTTGAGGAAGAACAGCGGTTAATCCTGTTGAATCATAATGGACACATTACGCCAGAAACAATGGGTAACAGAGTGGTCTAATCCTTAAACTTCTACCAAATGTCAACTGAAAACACAATGTTTCGGTAAGTGGACGAGAGTCAGGCAGAAACTGTTAAATTTTTTTTGTTATAATTACTAAGAAAATTGACTATGTTTTACAATAAAATATGGGACCCCTATTAGAGGGTGTCCCCGTTCCAGCATGCAAGACTCAGGAAAGATGCAAGAGAGAAGTTCTACCTTGAGCTGCAGCTTCTTGAAACTTCAGTCTCATATCTCTGACAAATTTAAATAATCCATTGGTTCTGTTCAATTCACGAATCAACTCTTTGATCTCATTCAAGTGCGGATCACAATCTAACACTAAGGATTACAAGAAATGAATATCAGATATACATTAAACATCAAACTATAACCAATAAATAAGTGCAATGCTTACATGTGTAAGTATCATTTGCATGGCGGACAGTGAAAGAGAACTCCTGATTTGGATTTTTTGAACAAATGTTCTTGAATGTGAATTTTACCCCTAATGACAGAAGGTTGTAAGTCATTCTCCACATATAGATACACAAAAAAATGTTGCACAATCAAATGACGTCAATTACCATGTCCGCCTTCAATATGAAAACCAAGAATCCTATTATACCACGAGATGGCCTCTTGTATTTCATCTTTACTGTCTTGGTTAAACTCTTCTTCAGATTCTGCCAAAGTTTTGATGTTACTAAAATTTATAATAAAATATAATATAAAATAAAACAAAGGAAATATGGCACAAAAGAAGTTGTCAACACAATTATATACTCCTTTCCTTCAAAATGCAGTCTCCCCCCATTAAGCCACAGTGCGATCAAATAAATAACAAAAGTTTAACTATTGATAAGTATTTAAATCGATATAAAGTTATAAGCAAAAGGCAACAATGACTCCAATCACTGAAACAATTAAGGAACTTACCGGTAGATTGCTGAGCAAGAATTGCAGCATATTCATCCCTCGTATCCCTTCGATCTTGCACTGTTCTTTTAATTTCTTCAATCCTAGCTTTCCTAGCAGCAATGGCGTCCATCAATGCCATCCGCTTAGCCTCTTTACGTGTCTTCACTACAAAAATTTAAATAAAAAAAATACTAACACAGGTTAATTTGAAATAAATAATCATTAAAAAAAACAAAGATTTCAGCTAATTATAGTAAGGGCAGCAATGGCAATGGAAATGAATGCATATCATGAATGTTGAGTTGAAGATTAGCTTCAGGGATATTACTACTAAATAATAATCAGTGTCATTAACTTTGAAATTTCAATTTCAAATTTATCACTTACAGGTGCAAAATAGAAGCAGAGATAGATACCTGCTAGGGCTTTAAACAAGTCATCCTCAGCTTCCCTCAACTTAGCTTTAGCCTCTCCTACTTTACCTGTAATTGTTGGAAAGAAATTAAATTTCAGTCAAATTGATATTCACAATAATGTGGAGCGGCAGCCCTCTCGTGGATCCAATCTGAAACCCTAATTTTGCACGAACCATACATTGCCTAAAAACTCAAATTACGTACGAATCACAAGGTTATTCCTAAATTTAAGTATCTCAAGAAACAAATAGATTCATCGAGTAAACCACAGAGAGTTAAACGAGAAGCTGGACCTTGGTATCGGAGGGTTTCTTGCACTGTGGCGCTGATCGAAGCCAGGTCGCCCTGAAACGAGGCCGTGAAGGTATCCATGTTCTGCTGCAGAATCGGAATCTCCTTCTCGCAGGCCATCCGTAGCGACTCCATCTTCGTCCGTACGGACTCTTCCGGTTGGCTGTCCATTGCTGCTAGACTGACGAGTGAGTCACCCCGAGTTCAGAGTTTTGTTTTATTTAAATAAAATTCGCATTTAAATCCCGCCAATTTCATTTTCATTAGTGGGGGGAAGAGAGATGTGTGATAAACTGGGCCGTTTTGGGGTGCGGAGATATATTGGGCTTTTGGGTGGCATTAGATTGGCCTTCTTTGGAATTTTTTATTCTTGAGTGGTGGAGTGATCAATTGTTGGGTGCATTGTAAATGGCTCCCTGAGGTCTCAGGGAGGGAATGGATTGTCTTCTTTTGATAGCAGAGAAAATCATACCAAGCAGCTTGAACAATACAAATCCAGGAGCATCCAGTTTTGGTCCAAGTCGAGGAGCTTCTAGAGAATGAATGAAAGTCGAGCAGATTATAACAGAGAAAATTATAGCAGAAGATTCGAATCCGTATATATAAGCATGTGAAGAGGAAAAACTTGAGAATAAATTAAGAATTCTCTGACCTTATTGACCAATATTATCGTTTGAGCTGGGTAAGAACATGTAAGACCCACTGGATATTACCAAATGTAGGTTACTTGAATTACAAATATCCCTAAAAAGTACAATTATTGTATGAAAAACATTATATTTAAAGAAGAGTCGTAAATGATTGCCTGTATGTTCATGAGCTGACTTGTACAAAAATTAAGGATATTTTTTTAATTAATCCAGTTATAGATTGATTCAATAAACCTCTGCTAATCACCGCATTTTGTTGTCGTTGGGCACATGTCATCCATTCCTTACCAATCTATATATGTAAGTGTATATATTAGGTTTGACCATTTAATTTCGAATTTCAAGGTGAATTGATGTCGTATTAGAATATGAGCATCCAACCTAATTTGTTTGAAATTAACGGAGATGCGAACAAAAATCTTCAAAACCACTATGCAAGCCCTACCAGCCGTCCAGTTCTTACGTATGTGAGATAATGTTGTCAACATTGTGGACAAAGCTTTCTTGCATGATATCTGAATTTCCGGTCTTAAAGAGATAAAGCTATGCATATATATATATGTTTAAACAATGTAAATTATATACAAAGCGCCGAAAGAAGAAAAGCTAATTAGGCCATTAACCTTGAAAGAAGGGAAGAACATTCCATGAATTGAAAGCGATACAACAAAAACCCACCAACACATAAAGAGCAGCAAAGAGATAAAAAGCTAGGGCAAATCATGCCTCTCGAAGTCAAGGGAAAGAATAGTTAACCTTCGTAAAGTGCTTAAAATATGAGATTAATTGCAATAATGCACGTAATTAACTTCCTAACTGATGATGATGACACACACGTATCAATCAAATTAATGTACTTAATTAATTCCACTCGTGTTGTTGTTGATCCAAACGATCCAATGGGCCATGCCGTGGATATGAATATGAATGTACTTGGAAAATGCAAAAGTTTGTCGGTCAAAAAATTATCATGGTTCTTGGATATTTTTAGCTCAATTATTGTTGAAAAACTTTTAACATATACTATGAGAGCCTGTTTGCGTTGCATCATGCAAGATGGATTGGCAATAGTTGTGTCTACATTTTAATTAACAAATGCTGCCTAACAAAGCATATACATTTTAATGGGGGAGAGTAATATTATCTCTCTCATTAAAATGTAAGTAAATTTAGATTTTAGCCATAAAAAAATTTTCACTTTTGGAAAAAGCCAAAGTTTTTTCAAAAAAGATAGAAAAACCTCTCAACTTTTAAATTAAATACATGCAAGTGTAAATGATTTTTTAGGAAATCCAAAAATAAATAAGGGCAAATTTGTCAATTTTGGCTTCTTTTACAAAATTTCTCTCTCCTTTAGGTTTTTCCAAAGTCGTATATATAATGGGGGAAAGTAATATTATACTGGATTTCGAATATCCAACATCTCGTTTCTTTCTTTTAAGTTAATTTTTAAAGAGACTAATTTCATTGCATATGCAATCACATACTCGAGACACCAGTTGAATTCTTCGCACATTTGGTATCACATTGTTCCAAATTCAGTAGAGTTGTTGAGATTTACAGCAATAATGCTTTATTAAAAAAAAAAAAAAAAAAAAAAAAAAAAAAAAAAAAAAAAACAAAAAGGACACTTGGTGGGGGAAAAAAAACATAAAGAAATGAAAAGAAGTTTGACTGCTAAAGATTTGGGACAAATTATAAGATGGGAGATGCCCAAATCTTCCATTAGTATGCGTCTTAGACCACTAATGAAGTAGGATACATTGAAGTATTGAATTAGATTGGATTGGATCGGTCAATTTAAGCGAATTGGATTAGATCTTGTACACCTTTAATGCTATTTCTATATCGATGTGATTTAACATTTTATATACAAACATATTCTCGTGCATGCTTCAAAAATTAAAATTAAAATCACTTTTTTTGTTTTCTTTGACGAATGATAATACTGATTCGCTAATTATTAGAAAACATTAATTTATTAATGTAAAGCACACTGATAATGGACGTGTATGTATTTTATAAAATAAAGTGGAGATCCATGTCAAGTATATTCATATAAGTTTCTAGATTTTGTTGGAGGACTTCACAGCGGAATTCAATTCATAGTTTGGTTGGTCTTTGGTGATTCTTGTTTTTTTTTAATATATATAAATAAATCAATCAATTACTTTATGTCACCATCGTTTCCAAATTTCTGTTTAGTATAACGAAAACAAAAATTCTCAGTTTGTATAAACTATTATTAATGCTATAGACTCAAATAATTGAGGTCACATAGATATAGAATTATGTACAATTTGACATGTTATGTTATCCAAATATAATTTATGGTGTATTTACTAATAAAAAATTGAAATTTTTATTAAGAATTGAATTCCGCATATGGAGGATTCATGTGTTTTACTTCATATCAATGAATTAAAAAGTAAGCGGAGCTCACACAAAATTAGAAATTGAATTCTTGATTTTGGAGGAATTGAATTCTTGGATGAGAGGTGGTATTCTAATTTCTAGATAACTAACCCATTATGAATTCATTTTTTTTATACCAATTATATCCTCACATAATTTTAAAAATTCCAAATTTGTCATTTATTTTAACCCAACAACGAGGACATCTTAGTAATTAGTATCACTTATACTCTAATTCCATATGGTTTCGTAAACAACTTCAATAGGAATCCGGAATCTAATTCTCATCAATCCAACTCATTCTCAATTCAATTCTTCATAATCCAATTACGGACTAGTTAGGAAATTTGATGTGATGTCATTTAAATTATTGGGTTGACAACACAAACCACTTGGTAAGATCATGCATCACTACTTTATTATTTGAGGACATTTTTACGAATGAAGACTTGAAAAATAAACGATTTATACTATCAAACAAATTATGAAGTGGATGAAAACAAGTAATTATAATTGCTGGTTAACAATCAAAACGTACGTGAAATCGGGCATGAATAATATTAGACAAGGGACCTCATCCCCATCTTGAATTGGTGTGACATGCTATACATAGACACTAGTCTCTAGCCAATATTGAAAGCATTTTAGATCTAATCATTCCAACACGGAACGGAACTATCTTCTATATTTCATCAACTAGAAGAAACACCTGATAATATTTGTTATCCACTAAATTCTTAATCTGCCTGCTGCCGACTTTATCCCCACTTGTCTACGTACTTGCACACTCGAAGCCAATTTCAGTCATATCATGTTAATTGATCGGTTGAATAATGCTATATTATGTTTTGTATAGATGGCCCCAAATTTTGTTTTGTGCGGTTCAATTATCAGTGTTAATTATGATATTTTTTTTTCTTTCGGAAATAGAATGCCAAAAGACTAATGCACGTACCAGCACATGGTCGTGTGTGCATTACTATTAATGCACGCGAAATTCACAATTGAATCAACATACATTTACGGATGATAGCAAGATCCATTGCAAAATATTAAATATAAATATTTTAGACTTTTAAATTTAGCATATGCAAACCACTACAGAAGAAAGCTTTGCGGTTGAAATTGGAAGTATCAAATTAAAGGGTGACATGGTGACCCTAAAAATTCTTACCCACTATGCAGCTTTGGCCAAATCTATTATGTGCACATGATGTGCTTACCTTCAATCTCCATGCAATTATATCCACCAAGCTTGGCTCTCAAAATGTACTGCCACATTTTCCATTTTGTGTATATAGCCCATCTATATATCTAAATAAGCTTCAATCTATTTTTTTGAATGCCTAAAACCACTTAGTATGCAAGTAGATGTTCTTAACCAATTGAACTATAATAAGCGCTTACAAACTTATAAATATATTATATTAAAATAATTTTACATGTGGATTCCGATTGACAATTCTAAATGCATATGTATCACACACTAACTTATCTAACAAGATAACATTAAGGCATTGTGTGATGGTTCTCTGTTTTTTATTTTATTTTATTTTATACAAATCGATATTAAAGAGGCAAGGGCAGAACTACACTATGCCTAGTGCAAAATTTGGGGAAAAAAAATCAGTACTAACTTTTTAGGCATTATACCTCAGTTTACATAAATTAGACCAGTTCATTTAAGCAAAATTAGCCTATAACCAAACATATCTCTAGTTTAGCTTCTAGTTTTCTCCGTTAAGAAAATGAATATAATTTTATTTATATTTTTGTCTATATAAGAAATAATAGCCCATCCCCATAAAAATTCTTGATTCCGCCCTTGAGAGGCGATTAATAGAACACAAACCTCATCATTTTCTTTTGATAAGTTTAGTTAAAGCATATGGATTTTCAGTAGTGGTCGATAGCAAATATTATAGAAGACAAATTAAGGAAATTAGTTGAGATGTATATATATTAGGGTAGTGGTACGTCTAACTTTTGATGGGGTGTGCTTTGTCTCTTTCCCTTTGCCAACGACAATGCAAAAAGACTGAATAACACAGAAAGCTGTGTCCTACACCG